TAGGGTGCTTTTTTGATATTAAGTTAAAATAAGGTGAAAAAATAAATATTTTGAATCAAGTAAATTACAGTGTATTTGGGACATAATAAGGTAAGTTTTCACCAAATTTCGTAGAATTTTTTTTTTTTGAAAAAGATAAAAATAAAAAACCAAAAACTTGGTTATTAGAATTTTTCACCTAAATTTTGAGGTTATGTGAAAAAATTGTAAATACAAAAGTTGTAGATCTTTTTATTACCTACAACTTTGCCATTTAACTTTTTTCCATAGGACTTGTAGTTTTGCCGGAAGCCAAGATTAACCATTTTTTACCCTTAAATACTCACCCCCCACTTCCCGAACACGGATCGACCGTATTTTATTTTTCCTTTCATTTTTATCATATTCCTCTCCTTTTCTAATCGGTTTCATCCTACTGTAAGTTTTTTCATTTTTTACCCTTTTTGAAGGCTTCGGCCCTGGTCTATTAGTTACTACTTAGTGCTAACAAGATAAACTGTGTAAATTGTAATCTCTCTTGGAGAAATTGTCGTAGGTATATCAGTTGTATTGTAGGTTTTTCTGTAAACATTTTTTTTATATAGACAGATTTGTTATTGATGAAGGTTGATTGTTGGAAATCCTTGCTTTTACTTTTATTGTAAATGTCAACGCCAAATAGGGATTTTAGCTACTTTTTACCCTGACGTCATTATCCCGTGGGATTTTTCTGAATGTTGCGCTGAATGTAGATAGAGATAGAAAATATCTTTTCTAGCATAGCGAGTATGTCGCTAATAGAAAAAACTTAACTTCTTCTGTGGTGTAGTGGCTAGCATGTACAGCTGGACATCCGGATCCGGAGGTCCTGATTTCGAGTTTCGATGTGGGCCAAGTTTAGTTTTTGGTATTTTTGTTTAGTAAACCTCTGTAACAACCCGGAGTTGGGAAATTGGCGTTGTTTCACCCGCGTGCCTCGGAGAGCACGTAAAGCCGTCGATCGCGCCTTAACTCTCACCGCTCATACCGAGCAGTCGTTTTCATATAACTTTATTAGTTTACATGGCGCACGCCAATAACGCTCCCACTCGGCATGATTTTTTCCCGACATTTTCAATAATTATCGTCAAATTTCTGCCAATTTACACAAAATCCTAATGAATTATACACTTTAACCTTCCTCACAAAACACTCCATCAACCACCAACCACCAAGGTGAAAACCGTACGAAAATCCGTTTGGTAGTTTTTGAGTTTATCGCGTTCAGACAAGACAGATGCGCCGGGGAATTTTATTTTATAATATGTAGTGATTACTGAAACAGTCGGATGATTTAGACATTATTTAAATTCCTATTGATTAACGCTAATTTATCATTTGTCGCTAGTTTATTAAATATATATTCATGGAAAATTTTAAATTCGTCGTTGCTTTAACTATACTCGTATGTAAAGATTTTTAAATAGTTAAGAGCAAGTGGTATTTTACTAATACTTTGATTATACATAGATTTTTAAATAATAAACATAGTCCTCAGTGAAAGATAGATATTGTATATATCTGAAGTGAGCGCGATAAGCTATCGTCGTTATTGATGCTCCCAATTCAATACAAACTAATCCGATAGAGGCAATTTGCATGACGCACTTCAATTGTTTTTGCAATTTCCGACCATCAACCTATAACATTGCAACGTTCAAGTAGCCGAAATATTACAAGTGTCGATAGAATATAATGTAATGAATGAAGTAGTTAAAACGATTTTGATAAACCTTGTACACAAGATTATATAGAAGTTTACTAGCGCCTCCCACCTTGATTTGCTCGGGTTCGTCCCTAGTTTTCTCAAAGATGAGATATTTTCCCGCAGTAAAATGTATCGTATATGTTGACCCGGATAACCAGCTATCATCGTACCAAATTTTATCAAAATCTGTCCACTAGTTTTCTTGTGATGCGATAACAGACAGACAGACAGACAAAAATTCTAAAACCTATGGATTCGGCCTCTGTATCGATAATAATGACTATTATATGACTTCATAAGATTTTTCAAAAAATTTTAATGTACAGATTATGCTCAGAATTTTATTATATGTATATTGTATATGTAGATTATATGTAAGTAACATTGTTGTATACATATGAAGGTATTATTTTCCGTTGGGTTAACTTTGAAATTTATAATAAAGACGAACTTTTGACATTAATTCTGCAGAAAAGTGAAGGTGGACCGCAGACACCTATTGTGTACTATATAAAATTTAGTTAGCCTATTTCTGGGCATCGACATAAGTCTAGATTCACGTGATACACAGTAATAATAAAATATAACACTCATTTTTAAGTTAAAGTTATTGAATGCTAGGACTTAAAAAATATTTAGTAAAATCCTTAAAATATAACAGTTTATTTTCAATTTTAGTGATATCAATTGAACTGATAAGTATTACTAACTTACTATCTATAGTCGTCTATTATTTCTATTTAGTAGTCAGTTAATTATCGATATTCTTAACAGATAGTTTTGTCAATACACATGATTAGCATTCACAAGCTACTTCTATTCACCCGTAAGAGATTGAGGCCGGCAAAACCAGCGGACGTCCGCTCAACGTTTAGTAACAGTTATGCTAATTACGCACAATTAAATATTTAATCGCAGGTACACGTTTTATAGTAGACTAGCGACTCACCCTCGCTCGGGTTCGTCCCTAGGGAATTCTTTCAATTGATGTAACTTTTTTATTTATGAACCGTTTGAAATAAAACAAATACTAAATGTTAAGTGAAGCTTACCACAATATACTAGTGAAAACCGCATCCAAATCGGTTTAGCTGTTTCCGAAATTAGCGTGCACAAACGCACAGACAAACATACAAATAGACAAAAATTCTAAAAATCATTTTTTTTGGTTCTATCGCGTAAATAAAAGATACCCAATGATAGTTTTTCTCAAATATCTTACATGTACAGACAGCGATCAGTCATATTTTTTATTATACATATATATAGATTTTAATATACTTCAATAGATTTAGAGGCAGACATTACATAACTTATTATCTACTAAGAACTGGTACTTATTCAAATATATGACTCGCACGTCTGATAATTTCATGTGAGGAATCATTTTCAACATGATTACCACTTGTCTTACGGTGAAGGAAAACAATGTTAGGAAACCTGCATGTCTGAGAGATCTTAGTAAGTTTTCGAAAGACATGTGAAGTCCGCCAACCCGCACTTGACCAGCGTGGTGGACTATGGCCTGATCCCCCTCGTATTGAAGGGAAGCCTCCCCAGCAGTAATACTTTTAAAAGGGATGAATGTAGATATATATCTCTTCAAATATCAAGTATATATAAAATATATAAGAATGTATGGAAAATGGAAGTAAGTTAAATTATTATCTAAATTTTATAGAGAGAGAGAGCTATGAATAAAAGCTAACTAAGCGATTCCTTCAGAACTTTTTTCTTATCAAAATTTCTGTTAAATATAAAATCTGACAAACATTTAGGTCGATGCCCAATTAGTGCTAGTCTACGATAAGTTTATTTATTTAAATTTTTGTATTCGCCTATTCATTAAAATAATCAATAGAGTCCTATTAAAGTTAAATACATTGTTGTTAACAAAAAAAGATTAAGTAATAGACAAACTTATATTTTTTAAATAATGTGATTTTGTATAAAATGTTTTACTAAATATTTCAATACTAAGAATATTTTAAAAAGAACTACAATTTTTATATAGAATCCGTATTAATATTCAATATTAATATATTAATATTAATAATATTTTAAATGTCAAAGTTTGTTAGTATTTATCGATGTTTGTAACTCTTTCACGCCAGAACGGCTGAACGGATATGTATGATTTTGGCACATAGATAGATTATAGTCTGGAATAACACACAGGCTACTTTTTATCCCGGAAAAATATACGGTTCCCATGGGATAAGTTTGTTTTTGTTTCTCTAGAGGCGAACCTGGGCGAAGTGAGGGTGAGCCGCTAGTATAAATATAAATAAATATGTTGGGACTTTAACACACAGCACCATCTAGATCCATGGTAAGCTACGAGGCTTGTGTTATGGATAATAGATAGTTTATACACTAAACATTATTATATAATTTTAAATATATACATATTATAAATATAAACACCCATAATTGGAGTACAAACATTCGTGCTCTTCACACGAATGAATGCCACCCAGCGGGACTCGAATCCGAGATCGCTGGCACCGCAATTAAGGTCACTAAAATCTGAGCCAAACGTGTCGTCAAAAGGTAAATTTCACTTTTTTCGTGAAAAAAAGTGATGACATGACCTTTTTTCATAAATATAATGGGAGATGAAAATTAATAAATTACATATTATGATGATATAAATCGGTCAAGGTGCGCAAGAGTCATAAAGAAATGACTTAGAGTTGATTGCATATTCAGTGATAATTGTTCGTAACTGGGCTATCTCTCGCGAGAGTGATAAAACGATGTTTATGAGCCCGTCTGAATGACACATGTTTGTACATATAACTTATAAGATTTATGTCAACCATGAATGTGTTCTGTGTATTCCAATGCTTTTATTATTTAGGATTTATAGATATTTTAATATATTATAACTAGCATACCTACTTAATCTATACTAATATTATAAAGAGACAGAGTTTGTTTGTTTATTTGCTTGTACGCGGTAATCTCAGGAACTACTGATCCGATTTGAAATATTATTATTGCATTAGATAGCCTGTTTATTGAGCCATGCTAAAGACTATATATCAAATAATATATAGTCTATTTATTCATTACTAACCGTTAAAACGTACCCAGGGACGAACCCGAACGAAGCGAGGGTGATTCGCTAGTTTGATATATTTCAAGGACACGCACACATACACACAGTTTTATTAAGTCGCTAATGAAAAAGTCAACAAGAATAAAAATACACCAACCATCATTAACCATAACTTTTAAGTACTAATGATAAGCATTTCTTTATTTCCAGTCTGTTTTAAAATTTTCGATTTGGACCGCGATGGGATACTCAATAAGAAGGAGCTTATCGATATGATTGGGATTCTATGCACTGTTGCCAACGAAGCTATAAAGAACCAAGGCTCCCGGTCCTCAACTCCCTCAGATGGGGAGTCAGAGGGTGAGAAAGGATTCGACCCTGAGGTCGTATTAATGAATCTAAAGGATAAGCTGGTGACAGTCCAAGGGGAGGAACGAAAACCGTTCTTCCATTTGGGGCCTAATGATGGGGAAGATATGGTCATACTGAGTGAGGTTGGTTTGATTTTGACATACGAGTATATATGTACATATATTCTAATCTACACTTGTTTACTAATATTGTATAAGTAAATTGTTCAATAGTTGTAGAAATGTCCAAATTTTTCAAATCGTCGAAATGAAAACCCCCGTTTCGTTATTTTTTACTTTTCAATGCCTGGAAGTCGGTCTTTTTTTTAAGTTTTTATTTGTAAAAACAACTTTAAGCATTGCATTTAAGGTTCAATTTACATTGTTGTATATTTATTTCAACTACAATAATTACCTAAACACAATTGGTGACAGTTTTAAGAGAACTTCTGTATGGTATTGCGTATGTAGTACTTTTTTTATCGATGTTAACACTATAAATTCTCTCGTGTTCGATGTACTTTAGTTATATTTTCGCATTAATGTGCCCAGCAAAAAGAGTCGCGCGAGGAGTGTGGGGGCGCGGCGCTGCGCGCGGAGGAGTTCCTGATCTGGGCGGTGGAGAGCGCGGAGGCGCTGGTGGCGCCCTTCCTGGAGCTGGTGTTCGGCGTGTGCCACGTGGCACTGGGCCTGCGCCCGCAGTGCCGCCACCGCGAGCGCGACATCGGTGAGTGCCTGAACAGAGATTGCACATTCAAAGTGTTCGAGATTCCTTTTTTACCATATAAAATACTTGTGACAGGAGACTCCTGTCTTTGCGCGCCTTATGCTAATAGTATGTATATAATAATGTTATTTATCTTATTTGAAAAATAAAGACTTAATTGCGTTTCTGTAATAATAAAAGATTTATTTCACTATTAGAAATTAAAATACAAAAAATATTTAAAAAATTACACTTATAATAAAATATTATCTCACCTGTAATAATAAAAGAAACAACATTTAAAGCCTCTATTTCAATCTAAATAACAATAAACTAATAAATAAACTCTTCTCGAGGAAAATTTATAATTACATCAATACTATATCAATTATTTTATTAAATGTCAAAATTAAAAACTAATAAAAAATAAAGTAAATTTGGAATCAATTAAAAAAGTATTTATGTAATGAAAATAAACTTAAAAAAAGCACTCGCATATGAAGTGGTTTTCATTACATGTATATAAATAACATATACAGAAAAGAATCCAAAGAAAGTTTGCGTGTGTGCGTGTCCGTGTGCGCACGTGCATAGCGCGTGTATTCAGCATCGTCCTGCTCGTCCAAACGACCAAGTTACCGAAACAGTTTTTATTTTAATACATAATTATTGACTTATAAGTTTCAATTCTATTGATATATAATAAAGCAGAAAATACAGTGCTGTGAAAAAATTTAGACTCATATTCAATTTTCAAGATTGTAAGTGGAAATAAGTATGTAGTTCTAAACATTGTTACATTAAATAAAGGTCACAAAAAAAGAAAACTCTTAGTGTATGTGAATATTTTTTTATTCATTACAATAAATATAAAAATGACAGAAATGCTTAAAGGCAAATATTAACTGGGAATAATTATAAACTCAATGTCTACATAATTCATATATAAAATAATATTTCGTCAATTTACCCTTATTTTTAATGGTTTTAATTAGTCTATCGGGTATACTATCAATTAATTCTTTTTTATAAAATTTTAGTCCGAAATTTGATCAATTGATGTAATTTTGGATCAACAAGACTGCAGTCTTTGTTTAAGTTGAGAAATATTATTGATTTGGGGTTTTTTGATTATATTTTTTTCTTGCCAAGATCTCCCAAGCCTTTTTCATCGGATTTAAACGACTGCTTGCTGGCCAGTCGAATAGTGGTATACCGAAGTCTTGAAACCACTTTTTTGTAGTTGGAGCAACGTGTATTGGAGCGTTGTCCGGTTAAAAAAATTATATTTTTGTCTTCAGTCAACATAATGAATGGTAGAAGATGGTCGTATAATAACTCTCGATAATTAGCAGCGTTCATTCGATTACTACAGTACGCCAATTCTATCTTTAAATGACCAGTAATACCACCCCAAACCTATCTACGCACTAATGTCAATGATGATGCTCCAGTACTTGATAATTCTTTTAATACTGCTCGTTTAACATTAGGAGGCAATTTCGGCGGACGTTCTAAACGCTTTTCACCACACTGTGTTCTACAAACAATGTCAGCTATTTGCGTTTGAGTTGTACCGCAGCTTCTCAGATCAATAATTATTTGTTTTTCAATAGAACTTATTTCTTTACCGCGAGGCATCGCATAAGAAAATAAATATATTAATTAACTATGATTAACCACGAAAGTCAAAGCTGGTAAGTAATGTAGATTTCAAGAATAATGATAATAAAACACTTTAGTTTCAGTAGATTGCCAAAATGCTACTGAGTTTATAAATATTCACAAGTTAATATAGCGTATTCAAAACAATATCACATCACTATAATATGAAAGTCACGCAAAAAAAAATACATATAATGAATAAGGATATAATATTGTGTAGTTAACAAAACTTGATGTCTTAGATTATTTTGTTACATAAAATTTTTCAAATAATGAAAAAACTTTTTGAGTCTATATTTTTCCGTAGCACTGTATGTAACTTATTTATGTATAAAAATATATAAGTGTTAGAAATAAAGGTTTCTTTTTAAAATAGAGGAAAAAAAGTAAAATAAGAACTAAGGTGACGTACTGTTAGACTTTTAAGAGGGCACCGAGATTTTGGCGGCGCTAATTGATTTAGTAGGACGAAAACGGACAGGGCGGAGTATGGCTAGGAGGACCGAACGCCTCCGAATTTAGGTATTTCCTTCGTATTATTAAAACAAATACACATTTTGAAAATGTACAGTGTATAGAAATAACGAACGATATAGAAAACGTATAGTTTTGTTATGATTAAAAAACTGATGAACCTCCTTGAATTGTTTACGCCGCACGAAGGGGTATTTTGTTTTTTAAAGATCATTTTGGATTTTTTTTCTATCGAACAAACTACAAGTAATCATTTTTCTAAAGTGTACGATTTATAGAATAAATCCTTAAATATCCTACATATTAATTGCATAATTAAAGTTTTAGTAATAACAAAACAGCAAAAGATCAAACGCACGTAATTATTTCGTAATAACGTTTCGCTGCCTCGGTGCGCCCTTATGAATGCATCTGAGAAAAGCGAGAGTAAATCATTAGTCCAAACAATGTTGTTGCAATTTCTGCTTTTGTAATTAAATGTAATGTAATTAAATAATAATGACTATTTCAATGAGATTTACCAAAAAATATTTAATGTACAGATTCGGCTTAGTTACAATTTTATTATATGTATAGATTAGCAGTTAATATATTAAATTGGTATCACTTCTATATCTTATAATTATCGGAATGTTCAATGTCTGTCTCGTGCGCAAATCGTATCGCAGTCAATCAAAAAGGTTATCTAAATAAGTAAATTGGATTACAAAATAATATTTTCTTAGTTTTACGGGAATATTTGACATTTTAAATAAAACGACCATTTATTAAAAATAGTTAAATAACCTGGTTCATGTTATTTTTATTTCCCTACGTTTCGAATGCTTTACAGCAATCATGGTCATGGGTGAGACTGAAAGTTTTAGACGTTTGACTGCCTCAGTGGTGTAGTGGATAGCATGAACGGCTGCACATCTGGAGGTCCTGGGTTCGAGACCCGGGTCGGGACAAGTTAAGTTATTGTACCTTTCTGATTACTGATTAGTAAGTCTCAGTAACAGCCCGGAGTTGGGAAGTTGGCGGTGTTTCATCCCGTGTCTCGAAGAGTACGTAAAGCCATCGGTCCTGCGCCTTAACTCTCCCCGGTTGAGTCTCGTATCGTCCCACCGGAGTATGAGAGTGACAGGAATAGAGAGTGCACTTGTGTCTGAGCGCACACCGACACACGTGCTGCGCTATGATATCTCCTGCGCAGCTAGCCGCCGTGGCCGAAATCATTCGGGAGGACATTATTATGTCATTTTTATTATTTTATAACCTTATTTATTGTCATAAAACATTGTTTGGCTTCATGTTTAATTCCATGACATTGTCTCTATTATACCACAGTATGAGGTGTATCTAAACTCCGCTTTTTATCAAGAAATTTACATTTCCGTTATCGTTATCGAAAAGTCATATAAGTAACAGGTGTAGCGATCTTTTCTTATCACTCTTTATTTTTAGTGAATAAACATATTATTTAACTATTTTTAATTTTAATATTGAAAAATATGTTGCCATTATTTTTATCTTAAGTATTCATCCTCCTTTGTTATGTTACATAACAATTATTTCTACTACGTTCTTTGTTTTTTGCTATTATTTATTTAAGGCCACGTACGTATGTAATGTATGTATACATATCAAACCTGTACATTAAATATTTTTCAAAAAATCTTATTGTAGTAGTCATTATTGTCGATACAGAGTCCGAATCTATAGTTTTTAGAATTTTTGTCTGTCTGTCTGTATGTTACCGCATATCGAAAAAACCACTGAACAGATTTTGATGAAATTTGGTATGATGATAGCAGGTTATCCGGGTCAACATATAGGATACTTTTTACTGCGGGAAAATATCTCATCTCTGAGAAATCTATACATATAAAAGGCAAAAGTAATTGACCGATGTATCAACGCACAGGCCAAACCGTTAAGGCTAAAAAATTGCAATTTCGCACACGTATTCCTCATATGACGAAGGCATCCACCGAGGAAGGATTTTTCAAAATTCAACCCCCAAGGGGGTGATATAGAGGATAAAAGTTTGTATGAAACTTTTTATTCCTTGGACATATTTGCATGAAATTTCGTTTGAATTCAGTACGGCAAAAATAATGAGTAACGTATTTCAGCGTTTTCTAAAATTCAACCCTAAAGAGGGTAAAATAGGGGTTAAAAGTTTTTATGAAACCCAAGTTTTAGAGATTTTTGTTGTTTTGCGCGAGCGAAGCCGCGAGTTCTGCTAGTCTATACTAAATGTAAAATTTTTATTTCTTTATTAAATGTTAAAACGTAACTAGGGACGAACCCGAGCGGACCGAGGGAGAGCCGCTAGTGCTACTATATGATTAGGGATCGTTTTGGATGTTATTATATTTCAGCCCTATTAAGTCGCTCTCATTGCGCACAGGCTTAATGGATTTTTGTAATAGTCGCGTTGCGATGTTTTTCCCGAAATAAAATATAATTATTATCATAACCAATTTAGCACGAACTCTGAACAGGGCTTTAATACAACGAGAATAAATCAATAATATCTTTAAAGATAAACTTTCACTTATCACTTTTTATGGAGTTTCAATGTTCAATGCCGTCTTATAATTCAACTTCAGAAAGGCTTTGGCCTTTGTCTGATGGAATTGGCAAAAAAACAAACAACATTAGTATAGCTTTATTACAGATTATGTGTTAGGTTTTTTAAGTTATACTTTTATGAAAAAAGATTAAAGAGCAAAAGCGACTGTTGAGTTTTTCGCCGGCTCTTTACAGCAGAATTGCTTTCCGAGCCGGTGAAAATCCTAAAAGATAGTTTTATTTCAAAGTTTAGGCCTAAAACTAAAAATAGACGATACACGACAATAGATAAGCAGTGATGAGAGCGTTATAATATCACGCGAACTCCATTATCTACAAATTTGGTTTTGTTATCAAGGTCAATGTTACATGCGTTTGTGTCTAACTTATTAAAAAGATAGCGGTCGCATAAATATGGTCATGGTTTTATGTCATATCTATAGATTTATAGCCAATTGTTGCGATTATTGTATCACTAATCTAATCCGCGGCAACAATCATTGCTCATTTTGCAAAACAATCATGATTATGATTAATAGTGAAAGCATGTGTTTTATTGCAAACTAGCTGATCCCATAGATGTTGTCTTGACAAAATTTCTTTTTTTTTATAATCTATAAATTCATGCCGACAAAATTTCTATAGAAAAACTTTCAGTTTTCCAAATTTTTCGTAAAGTCATATTCGAACTATTATAATGAATAGGTATCTTAAAAAATTGCCAATTCTGCCCAACCGTTCTCAAGTGATACGCTCTTCTACGAACCACATTTCATTTTATTTATATAAACTGCAAAATATTTTCAATAAAAAGCTGCTAGATGTTATTAGCAGATGGGAATAAGTTCAATTGAATGATCACTTGTTATTGCATTTGCGTTTGTGTGTTCGAAAATGTCAATTTTTTTTTGCCGATGAATATACGAATTGTTGAAAAGAAGAATAGGCGAAAATGAGGAAATACTCAACTGCTCTTGGTAATACTTCAAATCTTTACGGTGAAACGATTTGCTTATAAATTATAAAACGATATTCAAGATTATTTTTTATCGAATACTCTAAGGCTATTTAGTAGGCTATAATTGGTGCTAGCTACCCTAGTAGTTTTAAAAAAATGCTATTACTTTTAAACTAGACTCAAGTTTAAAAACCAAATTTCAAGTTCCTTTTTAATATTTCAAGTTAAATTTGGATGAAGCTTTTATTTATGTCTGTTTTGAGTTGTAAATGTGTGATAGTACGTGTGTGTAATCTGTAATGTGTATAGTGCTGGGCTGGGTGCGGCGCGAAACGTGCCGCGGGCTGGCCGTGGGGCAGTTCTGGTACCTGGTGGCGGCGCCGTGGTGGCGCGCCTGGTTGGCGCACGCCGCCGCGCCGCCGTACGCCTGCTGCCGCGCGCGCGCGCCGCACGCGCCGCTCGACGACGCGCTCGTCGCCGACGACAGCTTCACTACCAACTCTACGGGTAACTTTATTGTATTTTAATAAGGTCCTGTTTTACTTATAAAATGTGTTTTTTATTTACTTTGTAAATTCTCACAAACAAAATCTAGTAATTAGTATTAAGGATACTTGTGTCGTCGTACAGAGTCGATGGGGTCGCTACTGTGGCGCGCAGAGAGCGCGTCTCTGGGCAGCGCGGGCAGCAGCGGCGTGGGGTCGGCGCGGCGCGCGGCGCCCGGCGCGCCGCATCCGGGGCCCGTAGACAACGCACCGCTGCTGGCGCCGGCGGGAGCGGGCGGCGCAGCCAGCGTGCGCACGCTCACGGGCGAGGGCGGGCACCTGCGGCGCGACGTGACGCTGGCGCAGCACCGCGACTTCGAGCTGCTGCCGGACGCCCTGTGGCGCGCCGTGGCGCTCTGGTATGGCGCGCCAGACCCGCTGCCCAGGCAGGTGTGTCTTGTTCGCTTTTACTCTATGAAACTTGACATGAGAACATTTCTCATTTACTAGACTTCAAAAGATCTTATGAACACAAGTTTTATAATCATAATTTTTTTATATCTTCTTAGTAACAACTCTTGCAAAAGCAACGCCTCTGCTATTTTTATTAAAGCGGGGAAACTCATTTTAAATTCTTATTTTTTAATATTTCATTATTGGTCCAATGCACAAATTAATGTTTTTGATGAATAAATTATTATTATTATTTTTACTAATTTATTTTTATGTATCTTTTTTTTCTTATAGGTTATAAGGCCACCCAACTCTGAAGTGGAATTGGAATTATATCCTTTACAACTAAAAATTTTACGTCACGTCCCTAACACTCAAAGTAAGTATATTTTACCTTTCATAATGTTCATAAAATTTAATATTAAGTCAACATTATTTTATATAAACGTTTTTGATAAAGATTTTTTACAAATTTTAATTTATCCTATAAGCTATTCGCACGCGTACGGTTTCCTTCTTTTGATCATTCGATTTTTGAATTTGTTTTCAAATTCGAACACCGAACGCACTCATTTTATATAACAAAGTCTACATGATGTACATATATTGTCTGTTCGGGAATATTTTGCGACACTCAGTCCGAAAGTCATTCCGTGTGTTTTGTGTTCGGAAATGAAATGAGTAAGTTTTGGAAGCCGTACGCGTAAAGCTGTCGAACTGAGTGTAGCGTGTGGTCAGGGGGCGCGCCGGCGTTGGGCGGGCTGGGCGGACTGGGCGGTCTGGGCGGCGCGGGCGCGATGCCGCCGCCGGCGCCGCCCGAGCGCCACCTCGCCTACACCGCCGCATTCTCGCGCCTCGCCACTGTCAAACAGGTACGCTTCCTTTTTTTATGTTATGTTATTAGTGGAAACTAATTTAAGACACATACGAGTATAGTGATTTTGAAGTCATTATATAAAACGTTTTAACATAAATGAAATGAAAATATATGTAAAAAAATTGTTTGTTATATTATTAAGTCATGGTTAGATTACATTTTGTCATGTTTCAAAATCTCCATAATTAACGATTACAGGTGACAGAATTCCTGTGCAACGCTCTCGGTCTGGCGCGCGAGGACGTGCGGCTGTGGGCGCTGGGCGGCGGGAGCGGCGGGGGTGGCGCCCTGCTGCTGGACGACGAGCGACCCACGCTGGCCGCGCTGCGCCTGGACGAACGCGCGCGGCTGCTGCTGGAGGTGCGCAACGCCGACCTGACGTGGCCCGAGGAGATCGGCGCGCTGGGCGGCGGCGCGGGCGGCGCGCGCTGGGCGGAGCGCCGCGACACGCTCACGGCGCCGCAGCTGCCGGGCGCCACGGGCCTGCACAACCTCGGCAACACCTGCTACATGAACGCCGCGCTGCAGAGTGTGAGTGTCACCCTCTGTGCGCTACACATTATACTTGAGCGTTGATCGTTGTGTGACCAGTAACCTCTTGTAGTCATAGCTAATTATATGGATCTGTTTCTTTAACATCCACTATTTTTTATACTACTTTAAATTTGATTAAAATAATTTAAAGCAATATTTGGAATTATTTATGATGTCTCTTTTTGTATACGAATTCAGTTAACATTTTTTTTTATATTACAGGTGTGGAATACGGGACCGTTAGCGCAGTACTTTAATTCAGGCATGCACTTATATGAAGTGAACACCAGCAACCCGCTCGGCACGAAAGGTTCGCTGGCGATGCGTTTTGGAGAGCTTTGCAAAGAGGTGAGTTACATATTTTGTGATAAACAAAATTAAGTAACCAAAACCAAAAATTATAAATTAAGTAATAAAATTATGTTTGTTAAATTGGCAATACATAAAATATTTAGACTCATATTTGTGTGGGAAATGGAACGTAAGAGTGAGTGAAAGGGACAAAAGTATGGGAGAGAAAGGAACATAGGATATGAAGATTCAAGATGGAGGATTGTGTGTAAGACGGTGTGAGCAAACTATGTGTGAGAAGTTTAAAATAGATTATTAAGAAGCAAATTCTGTCTTTTACTTTGAGTAATTATCCCACATATGTACAATGAGTATTTGATACGTACGGCAGGTGTGGACGAGCGAAGCGCGGTCGGTGGCGCCGCTACGCGTGCGCTGGTGCGTGACGCGCCACGCACGCGCGCTCGCCGGCGGCGGCCAGCACGACGCGCAGGAGCTGCTCGCCTGGCTGCTGGACGCGCTGCACGAGGACCTCAATCGCGCCGCCCGCCCATCGCCCGCTCCCGCCCCGCCGCCGCCCGCTCCGGCGCCCGCCCCCGGGGGCGACGCGCCGCGGCCCGACCGCGAGGCGGCGGGCGAGGCGTGGGCGGCGCACGTGGCGCGCAACGACTCCATCCTGACGGAGCTGTTCTGCGGGCAGCTGAAGTCGAAGGTGCGGTGCAGCGCGTGCGGTCGCGAGTCCGTGCGCTTCGACGCCTTCAACATGCTCAGCCTGCCCCTGCCCATGGAGAGCTACGTGCGGGTCACCGTCGGCGGTGAGCCAGCAGTATATACGTACATGCTTTTAGTATCAGAAGTTAAATAAAAGTACTATAATTTAAATCTGTTAACATGGGCACAGGTTTAACACACAATGGCATTATATCATAGTTCATCTAGAAGACAGTAATCCAGCAGTAACGCGCTCACTTGAGAAATCAACCCATAGATACTTCATACTACATATAAGTAAAACGTCTCAATGTTTATTTGCCCATACGACCAATTTACCGAAAGAATTTTTAATACAAAATTATAAGACTATTAAATGTCAATTCTATTGGTATTAAATACACCTTGCAGTAGTTTAAAAAAGCAGTAAAAATGTATTTTATCTACATATATATATATATATATATATATATATATATATATATATATATTATATAACAAATCACAAATATTGGTAGTCTGAACAAATAAGCACTAAGGTAACTATAACGCAGGTAAAAGAAAAGTCGAATTTTAGATCTAGTCGGCTCGCGGCTCGTGATGAGTACAAAGTAAAAGTGGCGCGCTCTCGCGAAAACTAACGTAATCGGTTCCCCCCTTGCGCCCGCGTCCCCTTAGCATCCATATCGTTCACACTCATTACAAACCGTTTACCATAACTTTAATAACATTTTTATACTTACTAAAAAACATAACAAAATAAAATATACAAATATAATATATTTTTTATAATGCGTCGCTTACAATATCTTCACCCCAGTGCTACATCAGCACTCAACATCCATAGGTACTTTAGCGACGCGTGCTGCCGAACGTTGTAGCAAGCTGGTTTTGGTTTTTACTTCAACCACTCGTACCCGGCCATCCTTTCCGGGGATTACTCTTTGTATGATGCCCTTGGGCCAGGTATTTCTAGGGCTTTCGGGGTCAGCGATTAATACTAAGTCCCCGACTCTTAATGGTTCTGTGTCGCGGTTCCACTTCTGCCTGGGCAGCATAGTAGGTAGCACTTCTCTCACCCAGCGCCTCCAAAACATGTCAGCTAACCTCTGTGTTAGTCTCCACTGTTTTCGTAAATATAAGTCGGAATCATCAAAGACACCTACAATAGGTAGATTGGATGATGAACCTAACAAAAAATGATTAGGGGTTATTGTTTCATTACTATTGGGCTCAACCGTCACATGTGTAAGGGGTCGACTGTTAACTATTTGCTCAACCTCAGTCATTAACGTTATTAAGGTTTCTTCACGCGGCGCCCTTTCTCTTAAGACAACTTTTAATGAGTCTTTTACAGAACGAATGAGGCGCTCCCAAGCTCCACCCCAGTGAGGACTAGCTGGAGGAATGAAAGTCCATGTAGTTCCATAGTTGACGGCCTCAGCTTTTAATATATGTTCATCCAAGTCGAGCGTTGCCTTTTTCAGCTCGTTATCGGCCCCTCTTAAATTCGTACCGTTATCTGAGTAAATAAATTGAGGCCGTTATTAAGGTTTCTTCACGCGGCGCCCTTTCTCTTAAGACAACTTTTAATGAGTCTTTTACAGAACGAATGAGGCGCTCCCAAGCTCCACCCCAGTGAGGACTAGCTGGAGGAATGAAAGTCCATGTAGTTCCATAGTTGACGGCCTCAGCTTTTAATATATGTTCATCCAAGTCGAGCGTTGCCTTTTTCAGCTCGTTATCGGCACCTCTTAAATTCGTACCGTTATCTGAGTAAATAAATTGAGGCCAGCCTCGACGAGCAGCCATGCGTCTGAGGGCCATGATCAAGGAGTCCGTGGTCAACGAAGGTACTAGTTCTATATGAATAGCTCTTACGGTAAGGCATGTAAATAATACACCATATCTTTTCTCTCTGCGTCTTATTACAGTAATTTCCATTGGTCCAAATAGGTCTATACCACAATGTGTGAAAGGTCGACATCTGGATGCCATTCTGGCCGCAGGTAAATCACCCATTCTGGGTGGGCACGGTTGTGCTTTTCTTATTCTACAAAACATACACTGTGAAGCCACTCTTCTTACTGTCGGTCTTAATTTTAATATCCAATATTTCTGTTTCAGTTCATTAACAACAGCTTCATTGTGACCGTGCGCCGCTCTCACGTGGTAATATCGTGCAATAAGCCGGGCAACGTGATGACGTCCATCTAATATAACAGGTTGTTTCAGATGCAGAGGAACCTCGGTAGCTGCATTTATACGGCCTCCCACGCATAGGATTCCGTGCTCATTCAGAAAAGGAGATAAGGTAAGTAATCTACTTTTTTTATCTATTTCTTTTTTATTTTCCAGATTGGCTATATCCCCAGGGAAGGACTGTAGCTGAGAGTATTTTATTAGCCATCGCTCAGCAGCCGCCCTTGTGTATCCATCAACGCTAGTATCCAGTTTCTTGCATTTATTAATAAAGGTAAGTACTTTACAGGTTGAATTCAATAGATGTAACCAAGATGAAAACCTTTCAGGATCAGGAACAGCTGGTAAAGATTTATTGTAAGTTTGCATGGTCATAGTATATTCGAGATCCAGATGGGGCGTCTCCGGTAGCTGTGTGTCTACTGGCCATTCAGTATCTCGATCACGAAGAAACGCCGGACCATAAAACCACTCATTCTTTAACACAGATAAATCACAAGTCTCCTTGGTGGCGATATCCGCGCTATTAAGTTTCGTAGGTATATAACGCCACTCGTTTGGTTTTGACAATTCATCTATTTCTCCTAAGCGATGAGCGACAAACGCTGTATAATTGCGCATATTGTTTCGAATCCAATGAAGTACAACACTTGAGTCACACCAAAAATATCTTTCGTAAGGTTTATGTTTAAGTTCTTTACATAAAGTATCTGCTAATCTCACAGCAAGCAACGCAGCTTGTAATTCCATGCGAGGTATTGACTGATATTTAAGCGGAGCAACTTTGCATTTACTCGCGACGAACGTAACATAATAGCGATTATTCACTGTCCAACGCCAGTAAGCTACGGCGCACATTGCTTTAGTCGAAGCGTCAAAAAATATATGTAGCTGTAGGTTTGTATAACATGAAGTTATCTGCCCGTTAGACGCGCACGCGAGAGATTCGCTAATACAAGACACTGGCAACGGCGGCCGCTCGGGTGACGTATGCGTAATCGCATCGGAAGTGCAGCGTAGTTCCGTCTCGTTTACTCTTGCGGCCGTTACATAATGCCTTGGGATACGCAGCTGATTAATTTCTTTTAATAATTGTAGCCATTCAATCCATTTTTCATAAATAGTATCAGGTATTTTTTCATCCCAATCTAATTGTAATCTCCATACGTCTTGTAACATAATTTTTCCTTTGATTGTAAAAGGCGAAAGAAATCCAAATATATCGAAAATTGACATTAAAACTTTAAGCATCTGTCTCTTGCTAGGTCGCGTGTCGCCTGTTATTATATCTACAGGAATCTTCTTAAAAGAAACGTCAAAAGACAACAGATCTTCTTTCGGATACCAAATCAATCCAAGTGTACGTTCGCCCTCATTTGGCTGTTCAATTTTGAACCTTACTGCAGTCGTTCCTAAGGTCTCTTGTGGAATGCAGTTTAATACCGCTTCGTTGTTACTCGTTATGTTTCTTATCTCGAAGCCACCTTTTTTATGTATATATATAATATCTTGTATAGTTTTAATAGCCGTAGCTTCATTTTCTATATTATCTATATAGTCATCCATATAGTGTTGCTTATGAATAGCGTCCACGGCGGCCGGGTATAATGACTCATACTGCTTTGCATTTTTATTTTTTATAAATTGAGCAATAAAGGGCGAGCAATTAGCACCAAAAATTAAAGACGTCATAGTGTATATAACGATAGGGCCATTTTGTTCTTGGTTGTCCTTCCAAAGAAATCTTAAAGCATCTTGATCTTTAGGTAAAATTTTTATTCTTAAATACATATCTCGTATATCTCCGGTTATGCCTATTTTATTCTCTCGAAATCTCAACATGATGCCAAATAATGCCATAAGTAGGTCGGGACCCTTCAAGAGGTAGTCATTTAACGAAACTCCACAGGTCTTTGCAGCGGCGTCGAAAACTAGACGTAATTTCTTTTTATTAGGGTTATCGACTCCAAAGTGCGGAAGGTACCAGGTTTTCGAGGTATCTTCTTGACAGGTAAGTTTTTTAGCATAGTCGTTCTCAAGTAAGTGGTTTATTCTTTCAGTGTATCTTCTAGCATAAGCTTTATCTGTCTTCAGTCTCTTCTGTACTCCTTTTAATCTTAGTGCGGCGTTAGGGTACGAGTTTGGTAGTTTACAGTTATTATCTTTCCAGGGTAAACCGACATGCCATCTTCCATTTTTAAGTACAGATGTTTTTTCTAAATATTGTATAGCTTGAATATCTTCTGGATTTTTCCTGGGTCTCATGCTGATGCCCATTGATTCGATTGTAAATGATATTCGTATTTGTTCTTCTAAATTTCGTAACTTATTTTCATATTCTTTATCTGAATCGTTAGTAATGAATAACGCTGAATGATGTACTCGCTTAAAGGGCGGGGTCTGGTGGAGCGGGGATGGTTCGCGTAAACATCCATGAATGCATAAGCCTAACTCAGTACGTGTAACATATAATTTACTATTTTTTAATTTTATTATTTGAAGCGGTAACAATAAATCATAATTATCTTGACCAATTAATATTTTAGGTTTACAGAGTTCATTATTTAAACATTTTTTTATGTCAGGTATAGAATGTACATAGTTAGTAAGATCAATCGACGTTGAATCATGTACAGGTAGGTTTAAGTCTTTTACACTTCTCACGCCAATAGGAAACATAGTTCCGTCTTTGTTTGACACGCTTAAGTCTACTATCTCACAAACACATTCTAATGAGTTATTGTTCCATGCACCACTCACACGCATAATTTGTTTATGTCCATTTAGTCCGAGTTTTTTTACAAGTTCATAATCTATTAACGATACGGTCGACCCGTCGTCTAGCAAAGCGGTAGCACTAATTACACCGTTTGGCCCATGAATATTGATAGGCACGGTTTTCAAAAACACTTTACAGTTAGATAAATTAATGTTCGTCACTGTTGCACTTTCTGTTATTTCCGTAATGTTTATATTACCCGGGGAACGAATATCTTTTGTTATAGGATAATGTAATAACCGATGATGCGACTGTCCACAGTTCTCGATATCACACGGCGCGGCCGGACATGTATCTCGATCGTGACGCGATAGTAAACACTTATAACAGATGCCGTGTCGTTTAACGTGACGCCACCGATCTTTTCGTAGTGATTTTTTAAAGCGCTTGCACTCTGTTAGCTTACGTTTAGAAACACGGCAGTATAAACACTTAAAGTCATGATTGTCTGTTGTCACTAGCACCGTATTATGTACGCGGTTGAAGTTATTGCCGATGAGATGAATATTAGATGTCGTCGAGATTTTCACCGCTTCTTCTTGTAAGAAATCTGCTAAAATATCCAATCGTGACTTCTTGCCCTCGGTGATAAGCGGGAAACTATAGTCTGACCATTTTGAGAGTAGGACTGTAGGTAATTTAGACAAAATGAGCGACACTATATTCATTCCTTGTAGATATTCATCGCGTTTGACGGATCTAATGGCTTCTATGAAGTTCTGTACTTTTACTGAGAATGAAACAATATCCTTCTGATAATCTTGTGAAATTGGGTACAGTTTTTTAATATCTTGCATAATCTTAATCACAATGCCGTCGGGGTTACCGAATCGTAGCTCTAATGTAGCCATTATTTTCTCAGGTTCCGTGGCACTGATTAAGAGGGCTGCGACAGCATCCCTGGCGGGTCCACGAAGACACTTACGTATTCTCCACAGGTTTTCTTTAGAGCTGAAATTACACACTTCTGTTGACTCTTCATATGCTTGTTTAAACTGCAGCCATTCCATGGGGTCGCCGGAGAAAGCAGGTAAGTCTCGAGGCGTGCTTAAGCGGCTCAGTAATTTAGCGTTAGAAGTAGTATTGTTGGAGGAGGCGGCGAGATCCCTTAGTGCACTAGCCAGCATCTGGACTGTTCCATGTGAAGTTCCAGGGTGAACTGACCCTGGGTGATGCAGCTCGCCTAAATCATTACCATGCTCGTTGACTGGCTGCACCTTTTCCATTTCTTGCTGACTGCGTTCTAACCACCTGTTCACCGTACTATGTGAGTAATTATCTCGAGGTTCACTTTGCTCATCTTCTAAATCTGCTAAGTCGGTTGCCAACCTCTTGTCAATTAATTCCATCTGTATTTTAGCCTTAGCTTCTGCAGCTAATAATTCCAGCTTAGCTTTGCGAGCCTTTATAGAAGAAGATGTAGATTTTTTAGATTCACTTTTTTTTGATGTGGGTATTTCAACGGGCCTGTCATCTACTTTTTTACACTTTTCAGGTAACAATGCTTTATTATCTAGGTTTCTTCTTATATTTTCCTTCTTAATCAACGTATTATTTTCAGACTCTTCAGCTGTCTGCACGTTTGGCTGGTAAGTTGATGGTTGGCTGGTCGACGCTTCCATATGTTTCGACATTTCGCGTTCTTTACGCACTGTACTTCGCGTGTTGACCATTGTAGATGATGGAGGTGTGGTGAACATAGATATAACAGTATAATCCGGCTCGAAGGACCACTTTATAACGCAGGTAAAAGAAAAGTCGAATTTTAGATCTAGTCGGCTCGCGGCTTGTGATGAGTACAAAGTAAAAGTGGCGCGCTCTCGCGAAAACTAACGTAATCGGTTCCCCCCTTGCGCCCGCGTCCCCTTAGCATCCATATCGTTCACACTCATTACAAACCGTTTACCATAACTTTAATAACATTTTTATACTTACTAAAAAACATAACAAAATAAAATATACAAATATAATATATTTTTTATAATGCGTCGCTTACAGTAACATCTAATTTGCTCTTATTCCATGTAAAAGTTTTGTTCATTTCCAGTGATCCTGCAGGATGGCTCGGTGCCGGTCAAGTACGGGGTGAAAGTGAACTCTGAGGGCACGTATTTAGATCTGAAGAAAAATTTATCCGAACTGTGCGGGCTACCGCCGGAGTCGTAAGTCAAAAATGATTATTATGTATGGCGGGGTTGTGTTATTTTGCTTATTTTTATTTTGTAGAACAGAGTAATAATGCTGGAATTTATTTCTATTATCTTGAGTTTTTTTTTTCATTTTATTTATTTATTTTATTTTATAAAATATTTTTTTTTATATAAATGAAAATGAAGTGGTGTTTGTTTCAACGAATAAATAAATCACTTGAGAACGGTTGGACAGATTTATTTTTTATTTATAAAATGTTTGTAATAAATCGAATACGGGTAAAAACATAAATTATTTTTTTATTACATTATAATATTATAAATGTCAAGGCTGGTGCTGGCCGTGGTGGCGGGCGCGCTGGTGGCGCGCTGGCCGCGCGACTGCGAGCGTGCCGGCGCCGAGCCCGACCTGCTCGCCTACCAGCTGCCCAGCGCCGACGACGACGACGACCGCGGTGCGTACCGCTCCTCCCACCCCTCCCACCGAGGTTATTGAGGAGTTCATGTGCGCTCTGACCGTTAACAGAACCGGTTTTTACCGGTTCGATTGAGCCGAACGCGTCACGCTCAGAAAAAGACGCACTGGGGTGCCACGTGCCCCGACGTGATAAGGTTGTCGTTGCGTCGCGCACGGGTGTATGAAGCTTTATGTATGTGAGGATATTTACTCCTGTGCAACATACTTGTATCACCATTCATATATTATAAAGAAGTCGGTTCGTGGTACGCTGTCTTCACTTGACTCATAAATTACATCTTTAAATAATACTTTCTTAGTTTTACGCATATATTTGACATTTTAAATAAAACTATCTTTTCGGATTTTTTCGCGAATTTATCATATATTTTTTTTATAAATATTTTGGGACATTAATACACAGCGGCATCTAGTTCCATGGTAAGCTACGAGGCTTGTGTTAAGGATACCAGGTAGTTGATACACTACATACATATAACTTTAAATACATGCATATTATTATAAATATAAACACCCATGACTGGAGTACAAACATTTGTGCTCATCACACAAATGAATGGCCCCAGCGGGACTCAAAACCGCGACCGCTGGCACAACAAGTAGGGTCACTACAAACTGAGCCAAACGTGTCGTCGTTTCGATTTTTGGTTCCCTTGTCCTTAGACAAAAACAAATCTTACCCACGGGAGCCGTACATTTTTCCGGGATGATATATAGCCTATAGCCTTCCTCAATAAACGGACTATCTAATGCAAAAAGAATTTTTCAAATCGAATTAGTAGTTCCTGAGATTGGCGCATTCAAACAAACATACTCTGCCTCTTTATAATATTAGTATAGATGTAGAGCCCTGTCATAAGAGTGCATACGAACTCCTTAAAACTTACATTCGCCTGGAACTTATGACGATGGCACATGGGGTGCTTCTTATAAATAATAACTCCTTCTTATAAATAATAACTCCTTCGTAAAAATATACGCTTTCCGTCTCCCTCTCATTCTACCTCTATTCTTATTCTACTCTCTATCGCACGTTATACGCCAAGTGTGTCGAATAACGTGCGATAAGTAACGTCGGTCCAATAATAGTCTCACTTTATAAAGCAGACTACACCGGCGAGCTAGAGGAGACAGACTCGGGCGTGACGGAGGGCTCCGGCTCAGGGCTCGGCAGCGAGGCGGAGGGCGAGGCGGAGGCGGAGCTAGAGGCGGAGGGCGAGGCGGAGGTGGAGGCAGAGACGGGGCTGGACGGCGCGCGCGGCTCGGTGAGTGTGGCCCGCTCCTCGCTCTGCATGCCGGCACTCTTCTGCTTCAAGGTTAGCCGCACCCCCCGCCGCCCCCCACCGCATACGCACAAGCACACACATACACGCTCACACACACACACACGCACACACACATAAACACGCTATTACCGTAAAGTGACCTTTTATAAATTATAATATTTGTGTGAAAGTTTGAAGTAAAAAAATTAAAGTAATCTTTATTGTACATTATTACTCCTTAATTGAGATGTCCACTATTTTGAAGTCTGTCAAAAATAAGATTTAATATAATTTTAAGCGAGACAACCAGCAAACTAAATAATCCCTCCACGACCGCGGACACGCGGCGTGTCAGTTAACAATAGATTTCTTAGAATTTAATTAATTTCTCAGAAATTTACCTGGAGATGTTAACATTTAATGAAACAAAATATTGTTGTATAAAAAATTGCAATAAAAAAATATATTTAATAAAAAAATATTTGCAAAATAATATATAGAAAAATAATAATACAATGTTTAATTTTATATTACAATGAAAATACTGTTATTATAATATTAATTATTATGTGATATGTTTTTATTAAAGTACGCCGGACATTTTATTTCTTGACAAATAAACCTTGTCTAGTAATTTCAACATCAGGTACAACATATTACTTATTATTTACTCAAACCATTCGCTACAGTAGATATAGTTTTGCCATTTTATTTGAAATAAGAGATTTACCCTTGCTTCGCTTGGGTGTGTCCCTAGGTATATTTTATTTTTTTGAGCGGAACCCTAATTATTTTTCTAAAATTAAAGTAGCCTGAGTTACTCTTTATAACATCATCTATCTATCAGTGAAAGTCCCGTCAAAATCAGTCCAGTCGTTTCAGAGATTAGTCGGAACAAACAGACAGACAAAAATGTTAAAAATTGTGTTTTTCTTATAGGTAATGTAAAATAAAGTGAGCAATGTAAATGTAGTAAGTGTATAATTTCATATACATTTAGTAAAAAGCTTTTATTTAAACATTACAAAGAGACACTTCAATTTTATTTATCTGTATTGATAAACTACAACACAATATCTTGTAAAAGAATATAATCGACGTTCAAAAATAATTAAGAGTTTCGTAACTAATATATAGTCTTTTACATCACTTAAGTAAGTAGTTGTGCAAAGTTGAGTCGAGATTTTTTTTATTTTTAAATTAATAATTATCACAAAACTTTTTGTTTTGAATATAACGATTTTATCAAATTTGATTTGATTTTAAATTTCTTGAGAACAACTCTTTGCTATGATTATTTTGATAACCTTATTGTACATAGTATATCGCTAAGTGTGTGGTTTTTTTTCTATATAATTTAGAAACTTACTTTTTTTATCATTTTTTTCTGTGATGCTTTTTTAGTTTCCTATACAATAAAATAGATGTGGTTTTATTTTTATTTCTGTAAATAGTTTTTTTTATATCATTGTGGAGTGGTAGATATGTACATATTATATAAAGTTGTAAATAGTTGAACATGCCGTTGCGCGCTTTTCGAACACGTAATATACATTCAGACGATTTTAAATCGTTTTTTTTTTAATATTTTTGGTATAGTCTGTATGTATGTGATGTATGAAGGCGGCCGTCTCGCTATATGCCATGCCCCAAACAGCAAGCACGCCCGACATTGCAGCGCTCGCGCTCCGAGTTGCTGATGCCGCCCTCGCCTGCCCCGGCGCCGCCCGCCCTCGCGCCGCCCGCCCCCGCGCCGCCCTCCGCCGCCTCCTGCCCCGGCGGCATGTACCGGCTGGGCGTGGCATCTCCGGGCGACGACTCCGTGGAGTACATGGTGGCAGTGCACAGGTAACATAATATCGCAAAAGTAGTCATAATATTTTGTAATTGTTGTATTTATCTTAAATATAACATTTTTTTTAATGGAATACTTAAGTAAATTTTGAGAATCATTATATTTTTAATTGATTTGAATATTTTCATAAATCTTGGAAGGTGATTAAATGTAACTTAAAACTAATTAATTGATTTTTTGTAATATTGTATGGTAAATCAATTGAATTTTATTATTTTCTATTTTTAGGAAAACTTTACATCAAAATAAATTGTATACTCTTTCACAATTACACAACGGTGTTTGTGTCGGCACTTCAGAAAGCAGGTGGGCGCCGACGCGTACTTCGTGCCGTGGCAGCGTTCGCGCGTGGCGCTGTTCGGTGTGCCGCTGCTGGTGCGTGTGGCGCGCGGCGCCACGGGCCGCCGCCTCTACGCCGCCGTGTGGCGCCAGCTCGCGCGTCTGCTGTCTGCGCCCGCACCCGCCGCCGCCAACCACGCACGCGACTGCGACGACAGCCTCGGCAACGAGTTCCCCTTCACGCTGCGCCTCGTGTCGGCCGAGTCGCGCGCGCGACGCTGCGCGCTGTGCGCCTGGCCCGCGTTGTGTCGGGGCTGTGCGCTGCCGCCCACGGGCGCGCCGCTGCCCCGGTGGGCGGGCGCGGGCGAGGCGCTGCTGGCCGTGGACTGGGAGCCGCCGGCGCTGCACCTGCGCTACCAGCGCGCCCGTGAGCGCGCGTGGACGGAGCACGGGTCGCTGCGCGCGGCGCCGGGCGCGCGTGCCGTGGACGTGGCCAGCTGCCTGCGTGCCTTCACCACGGAGGAGCGGCTGGAGCAGCGCTACCGCTGCGACGCCTGCAACGCCGCCATGCCCGCCACCAAGAAGCTGCAGATATGGCGCCTACCGCCCATACTGGTATATACTGATACTAATTACGTGATAAATAAAATTTTAAAACTTAGAAACATACTATAAACAACAAAGTCAAAAATAAAAATTAAAGAGAAAAAGTCGAAACGTGTGTGAAGTTGGGACACTCGTTAGGAGTCGCTAGAAACAAAGATCCTTTAGCTGTCTACCCTAAGCTCATAAATTAGGTCTTTTTGTCACGAGTACTAGAATAATATCATCTACATTCTACATCTATTCTAATACTATAAAGAGGTATAGTTTGTGAATTGTGAGTTTCTGACGTTGTAGGGGGTAATCTCTGGATCTACTGAACCGATTTAGATGAATTTTGGTAAGAAAATACTTTTTATCCCGGAAGTCTTCGCTTAAGGAGGTGAAAATGGGGATGAAAGTTTGTATGGGGAATCAACCCAGGGACGAACCCGAGCGAAGGTTAAACAATATACATATGTACATTATACATAATGAAAGGTCTGCACAGACTGCACACGAATTTCTAACATACACTCGTTCGCACTTAAGTTCGCCTGGTACTTTTGATGATGTCACGTGAGGTACTCGTACTCCTCCTTTTTTTGAAGTCTGTTCAATTGTTGTGAACCTATATTGATACATATAACATTTTATAAATGTGAAAGTTTGTGAGTATGGAAGTTTGTTACTCAATCACGCCAGAACGGTTGAACGGATCTGGATGAAATCACAAAGACTACTTTTTATCCTGGAAAAGTATACGGTTCCCGAGGGATAGATTTGTTTATGTTTTTCTAGAGGCGAAACCTAGCGAAGCGAATATGAGCCGCTAGTAGTAAAAATATAATACTTTTTCTAATTTAGAATTCGCCGAATTCGAATTATTTTAACATAAAACAAACTTTCCAGATAATCCACCTGAAAAGATTCCAATACGTGAACAACAAATGGATCAAATCGCACAAGGTGGTGAACTTCCCGCTGGAGGACTTCGACCCGACGCCGTACCTGGCGTCCGTGCCGCAGGAGACCATCCTACGGCACAAGGAGCTGAAGGCGGCGCGCCGTCGGTCCTCCATGTTCGTGGACGTTGACGACGCCATCTCCGAGACGGACTCCGACCACTCCGACGACGACCGCACGCACGAGACCAGCGAGTCCATTCAGGCGAACGAGAGGAGAAGGAGTAGGGAGAGGAAGAGGCGGGAAACCGTCGAGGTGAAAGAGAGAAAGAGACTGGAGTCAACTAGCTTGACGAACACCCCCGTGATGGACGACAACCTGGTGGACTATCATCAGCACCATCTCAAACCTGAAGAGGACCCCTTCGATTTGAAGTACAATTTATATGCAGTTGTGGTGAGCTTAATTTATCTATCTTTTTTATATATGTACATTCTGCGTATAGAGTCTTATTCCTAAACGTTTGACCGAAACAAACAATCATGCTATATGCAAATTAGATGTGTAACTTCCAATACAGTAAATGAATGAAGAAAATTGTTTTTGCACTTTGTCTATATCATCTTGTGTGATAAGTATGTCGATAAAAATGCTTATGGCGCTTAATTCAGAATATAACCTAGCTTTATTCTGAGTTTTGTTTAAATCCGTTGGACATTGGATCTGTTACTGTAATGATAAGTAACTTAATAAAATTAACATAATACAACATATATGTGTGTGTGTCCGCGTCGCAGTCGCACACGGGGCAGCTGAGCGGCGGGCACTACGTGGCGTACGCGCGACACGCGTCGGGCGCGTGGCTGTGCTACAACGACTCGTCGGTGCGCGCGCTGCCGGCCGGCGCGCCCGCGCTCGACGCCGCCGCCGCCTACCTGCTGTTCTACGAGCGCCGCGGCCTGCGCGCCGCCGCCTACCTGCCGCGCCCGCCCACCGCGCCGCCGCCGCCGCCGCCCGCCCTGGACGACGACGACGCCGACATGCGCAACCTATGCTCGCTCGTGTAACCAACATCACCACCACCGTCACGATCATTCCTTTTTATTTGATGAAGGTGGCGTAAAGGGCATTAGCTATCTATCGCCATTTTGTTTTTTTTTACAAAGTATAGCGCATAATGTAACCAGTATAAAATAGAGGACACATAAAAAACAAATAATATGGACTATATTATAAAGTAAACTTCAATAATATCTCTGAAATGTTACACTTTACATTATATATAATATTGATATATATAATATTAAAGTAAAAATCGATTATATGAAAACTATGAAAGCTATTTTTTAATACAACATAAGGCTATTAACACATAATTCATTTTTAATGGTTGTTATCGTTTTTGTATGGTAATATACGTTTACCTTTAAGTATTTCAGACACGTGGCACTTTACAACATTATATTGTTGATATTTTTATATTTATTTACATACTCGTTTTTAGTGCGTCACAAGTTTAAAAAAAAATGGCCGAATGCTAGTAATCCCACAAAGACACTATCCCCTTTAAATTACACATACTTTATCATTCAAATAACAACTGAGATATTATAACAATATAATCCATACTTTGTTTTGTATATGTAATATTATTTTTCAACTACAATCTAAAATATAATTGTATGAACTATATTTGTTATCAAAACAAACATGATCTCATATTGTACATTTGAACATTGTATATACATATTACACATGATGATACACATGAACTCTATGAAAGCTAATAGGTAATTTAAAAATATTTAAGTATAACTCTTCATTACGCAAATATTTAATATATTAAAACATGTTCTATACAAAAAAAATTCAAAGATATGTTTCAATAACTTAAAATGTAGGCTCTGGCATTATTTGATACAACTATAGCGCTTCTATATTTCTTAAATACATTATCTGTGTAAACTGTCAAGTGTCATAGTTACAATACAAATGTAAAAAAAATATTAATACATAGTACCTTGTTCTTGTAAATACGAATAATTGTATATAACAAAAATAAGCGATTCGATATTTTATTATATAAATGTATTAAAATTACTAGTATAGAAATTTCGCATGGATTTTGTACATCTAGATTTCAGTTTAGGCTCATTGGCGGGTCCAAATCCTGTGAACTCTTTTTCTTACACAAAATGAACTACATATTTATAATGCAGAAATGTCAAAAGACTATATTATATACGAGTAAATGGAAACATTCTAACTTTTTAATGGAGACTGATATGGAGATGAATGATACGTGCTATATCGTGTGATTAGTAGTAGATATTGTAATATAATATAAATAATACGTATGTAGAGTGTAAGGCTTCGTTTGTACTTCTCTTATATTTTTATCAAAATAAGTTCAGGCGAATTATTGTATAGTAATTAATATATACGCGTTAGTCACAATTCTTTCTTAAGTATAGTAATAATGATTTTCAGTTTGATACGTTGTTTTTACGTGTTATGTATTGTTTAAGTTAAACAATACAAAGTAAGTTTAAATTATATGATAATACTACCAAATATTATATCGTTTTGTTTATATCATTTAATAGTGAAAAATGTTTCTTTTTTTTAATTGTTGTATATGTATGTATGTTGGCTACATTTTGTTTCGTACTTATTCTTACAAAATGTGTGGAAAATTATTAATTGTTTTTTTTTAATTATTTTATCAAATAATACTATGACATAATACCTATTATATAATTATATTGAAAAAAATAATCTAATTATTGATAATTAATTATGATATTTAAATATTTAGAATCTGTAAATACTTATTGTCATTATTTAATCATTACATGTATACATTGTGCATTGTTTATGTATTTGTATATCATAGGATATAGAATGTTAGATATGTAGTAGCAAGTGCTGTCGTGCTGTCCGCTACAAAGAAGGCACAGGTTCATTCCTGCCTTGTGTAAACGCAGCACACATCCTCCATCCCCATAGTAATTTAACTAAACTAACTATTGTTTGTAATATTTTAAATTATTATTATTGTAAATTATACAGTTTTAACAATTAAGGCAGAATGCTTTAGTATAGATAGTATTAAATATGTTATTTTATTAAATTAAATGATATTATTGTTGCCCTAAAAATATAACTTACCATATATGAGTTCTATATACAACATAATATTCGATTTAATGATGTTTCATCATAGGTTAAATGAAATTCAGTCATGTGATATTTTATGGATTGAATATGTTATAATAATTTACTAACAGATTATGTAATAGTTTAGTACAGCAGGCTCACTCTGTAAAGACATTTGAATATCAACCTTTGTTCCGAAGCAATAAAGTGCAATTCAGCTCGTAGATCATCTTCCTTCCCTTTCTATCGTGTAGCTCATCTCTTCTGACGCGTTACATGACGCTAGGGCTGCCTACAGGCGTCGACTACGCGGCGCTTGAGTAGGACGTTGATAATGTATTGAGGGCAGTGCGCGGCAACCCTTTTTTTTATTCGTGGGGATACCCCTTTGCGCGCCCCCATCGCACGGACACCAGTGCGCGGGGGGTGCGTGGGGTATGTGGGACTCCTGTCGCGAGAAGCGCGACAGACTACCCACTAAAACCACCACGGTGATCCCTATCGCAAGAGACAGGCCCACGGGATCTCTTGCGCATGCGACCGCGACCCTGTCAGCGTCGCTCGATGTCGAGCTTAATCTATCAATTTAGACTCCCTGCGCGGCAACCCTAGAGTGCTAAGTGAGAAAATTCTGTACTAAACTATTAGGTCTTCTGTGGCTAAAGCTATAAACAAATGGGGACTAGCTAAGAGGCTCAGTAGGCCTACGGGGCGCATGGGTTTTGTGCATATTAATTTTAGGTTTAATATTATAATAATTAATAAACGAGCTGTAATTGTCGCTTACGCTTTATAATGTTATGTCGATTATGTTATCTTTGTTGCATTTTAGTAAAGTTATTTATAGCTACAAATTAATATAATAATATTGTGTAACATTAAAATATATCAATAGCCTAATTTTGAAACCATGAGTGCCATCTGGATTTTATTTTCCTTTTTTTTCTTCGACGTCAATCGGATCGACGTAGATTGGTTGACAGATTGAAAAGGATAGAACATAGACATTTTCAATTTGTCTCTTTTTCCAAATCCATTGTACATCGACCACTACACTTAGTAAAAAGAATAGGAAGACATGCCGCACATTAAAGTGTATCTAAATCTACATAAAACAAACTATTAAAAACTTGCGGTATAGTATTTGATAGTAACTTGCGTTAGTATGTATGTACGTTAGCGTCCCTAAATACGTTTTTTTAGCGTAACCCTAATTCTTATAAAGGTAGCCTAACCCTGTTATCTAATTACAGAGCTTATTGCTGTACTTTGGCCCACAATGCCGAAGTGTGCTAATGCTTAATTGAAACGTGAATTAGTTCTCAAGTGCACCAGCAGAGGGCACTAGGTTTAGTGTTGAAAGAAAAAATATAACTAATATTTATATAATAACTATACATATCGTCGATGTTATAAATTCTATAATAAATATATAACTAATTAATATATATTTATATAAATAAAATATAAACAAATATTACTAATAATAATGTAAATAAAATTTTGATTAATGTCTCCTTAAAGCTTCACACATACTTATATTTATTTTCAAACACAGTATAAATAAACTTTTTTATATTTTATCAAACTACGTCATATGCTATACCAATTAGTTCAAAAATAATCGATATTCCTAACGATAATAATGTAAATTATAAATAAAATTTAGATCAATGCCACCTAAAAAAATACTACTCATATTATCTGCTATCGAGTTGGTATCATTGCGCGCATCACGTCAAACTCAAAGCAGTACTTTAACCAAAGAGTATAGTTATATACTGGGAAAGAAGAAAAAAATAAAACAACAATAACTGCAAGAGTAATCATTTATTGAGTAATCATATCATTATTTTATTTATTACAGAATAATTTCTATTGTACAATAATTCTTACATGTAATAATTTCATCTCATTTTTTATACTTTCTTAGATTTACGCGAATATTTGACATTTTAAATAAGACTATCTTTTCGGATTTTTCGCAGATTTATTTTGATTTTTGGTTCCCGACTTTTTGAATGCTTTACTCTAAGATTTTAGACGTCTCAAAGATATACTTGTTACAGACAGTGCCTATAAAATTACTGAATTCAAAAATATAAAAGTGGCACCAAAGTACCTTACAATATTTGTTGAATTTATTTTACGTTTTCGAAAAGATAATTTTATTTAAAAGGTCAATTTCTATTTTTATAATTCTTGTGCTTATTAAAATAATTTTGGGCTGCAATTTTGACCTCATCATCTTCATCTTTAACTTCTGCTTATAGCACTGTAATTGTGTTCTGATAATACAGCTGCTGTCGATGGTATGTGGTTTGGTTCACCTGAAATAATAAATATTGTTTTCTTATTTTGAAGACTTGTCAATCTTTGGGAAGTAATTGCTCGGGTTCGACCCCACGATGCAGAGAGAGATGAACAACTACATTAATTTTTAACTATGATACTACTAAGTTGTCCAATAGTGGGTAAGCAGTTGTGGCACAGTACACCACTCTTGTGATATATAATAATGAAATAAATAGCCGGGTAAAAAAAAATGTACTGAGGTAGGCTGCCTTGAGGTAGCAATGCCTTGTGAAGTGAGAACCCCCCCCCCCCCGCATTCTCTTCATCCTCTGCTGTCTGCCATCTGTTGATACTCATGTTAGTGTATATTTTATATTTAGCATTAAAGTTACTTTTAAAATACCTGTATTTGTATCATGAAGTGGAGGTATCACAGCTGGAATGGCAGGTTCAGAACCACTAATACCACTATTAGCTGCTTTGGTGATTTTGCCAATGTTACCTAAAAAAATAGAAATATTTATACTATTCGACTATAAAAATTTCATTATAAATCTTTGAATCCCCAACACAGATTTTGTTTAACTCAAGATCTTATGTACAAAGGAGGACCTAACAGTCAGTCAGTCAGTCAGACCTATAGTCTATATTTTCTCTATTTCATTAATTTTAAAGCAGTTAACATTTCCAACAAAGAATGGATGAAGAATAATGCAAATAAAATATATTTATAACATACCTGGTAGATACAATGTTGGCATTGCTAATGCATTAAGGCGCTTATACCGATTTCTATGTGCATCAGTGAAATGTATATCACAAATCCTCTTTCTTAAGTAGATTTCATGATCTGATAATCTTTCAAACTTTCCTCCGAGAAGATTTACCCATGCATGGAAGTGCTCAGGAAATCTTTTTGGATTTGGAAACATATGCATCACCACACCTGAAAGTAATAAGTTTTACTAAAATTTAATGTACTACCAGTAATTACATATTATTACATGTCTATTTCAAACATTGCTTTTAAACAAAGCTCTGTATTTTAGAATAAAAAACATTATTCAAATCTATACATTACTGGTTATTTTATATTTTTGTTTTTACTTTTTATAATTAAAAGTGCCGGCAAGCAAACACCTTTTGAGTACCGCGGGCATGAATTCGTTATGAAATGAGTATATACTAACCACTGTTGGTGTTTTTACATCCAAAAGCGCAGCGATGAGGCATCGTGTTGCTTTTTATAACTCACACACCACAGAAAAGCGTCCTTATCGCGAAATATCACTAAACTACAAAGTATGTACGATAATTCGTCACACTGTAGCAGACACAATAAAATTGTGTTTTGGTAGTAATTTTATATATGTAGCAATATACTCTATGGTAGTAATCTTGGTATCAGGACGGAGGAGTAATCTCGACTCAACGTCTGATGAATAAGAAATGCTACAAAAACGAAAAATACACAAAAAAATAAAAATGGAATAATCATAAACATATCTATGAAATTTGAATAGGAAATTTGAATTTTGTCGTTACCGCAATATTATTGCCATAATAGGAATATTAGGAATTGCTTGTAAAAATATTAAAATTGCCACTTGGAACAAGTATTGATAGTTTATTTTTTTATTTTATAAAATATTTTTGTATATAAAATAATAATCTTCAGTCTTTAATTATCTATTTAATTAATATGGTATTAATTACAATTAGTACAGGATCGAATATTATTTAAGCGACATCTATCGGCAAGTAAATAAGACACTGAGCATTTTTATCAGTTAGGAAAAGTAGATGGCACAACTTTCTTTAGAAAAATTAGCAATGACTTGAGTGTCCCCCCCCCCTGGACCTCACTCTACATTGGCGCCCTCTCGCGGCGAATTCAAGCGCGATAGTCCTCATTTAGTTTATTAAATAGGTTCTTTAAGATGTATATAATGTAAAATGTTACAGAAACCTAAACTTAAAGTAAACCTAAGATAAAACATAAAAAATCCATATAATATCCAAGAAATAAATTATATAAAAATATTTTCGAATTTCCGAGGACATGTTTACCTTTAATGGTTATCGAATGCTACTAAGATGTCGGTAAAGCAGTGCTACGGCTGAAACTTGTCAATAATTTCAACATTTTCTTACTTTAATACTATTTTTTCCTGAGCTTGCTGCGGTCAGACATATGTCGTGAGCTATATATCTTAAATAATATTGATTCAATTATATATTTTTTTAAATACATTATTTACATCGGTAACTTTTGATAATATTTTATTGTTTGCCGGCGAATAACGCCGCCCTCATTTCATTGCACGGGCTGGGTCGCTTGCGATGAGTAATACCGTTTGTCGTGCTGAGTGACGTCGTGCAGCGGCAGCCGGCAAGCGGCGCGCAGAGTGCAGACCTCAGTTTGACACAGAGAGGAGGCACGGCAGGACCCCCTCTGTTTTCAATTCTACCTAGTTTGTGCTACCGCACCCACTATTGATCACTTTCTTCTAGTCTTATTATATTAATTTGTCTCAAATTAAATATTAAATATGGATATCGCTGACACATTATTAGGAGGGCTCGCGAGCGGAGATAGCGCAGCTGGAGAAGTCCTCATCCCTGACGCGGCTGCAGCAATGAAACGTGATCAGGACTCCACGGATGACTTTGAACATTTAGATCGTGAAGGAAAACGCGATGAACCCGAAGAGTCACCGCTACATAGTGTACATACTGCTGCGCGACATGCTAGTCAAAGCTTCCTTGACAATGAACGTGACGAATTCGTAGACACACCTCGTGCGCCCTCCGTCGCTGAAAAAGCTGAGCATTTAGCTGACAAGTTTACTGACAGCGAATCCGACGCTGATACTGCAGGAGAATCCCCTTTACATCGACCCGAACTTCTAAAACCTAGTGCGCCAACTCCTGAGCCTCCCGCTCCCGTCATCCATGACCCTACTCCAGTCCTCGCCCCTACCCCGGCAGCCGCACCGGTGGTAGCGCCCGAACCCATTGTAGAGCCTAAGCCTGGGCCGAAAGCCGAAGCGGCAGTGCCACCTAAGCCGGCAGAGCCGAAAGCTGAACCTCCGCCGCAACCGAAGCCCGAGCCTGTGCAGCCGAAGCCAGATCCTCCTAGTGCCAAGCTTGCCGCAATCGATAGCAAGCCGGAGCCGCGCGCCCCGACTGCACATGTGATCGAGGCGGAGGTCATCTTCTGCCAGATGGGACTTGGTAAGCATAAAATATTTTATACACAATTACATACAAACGTTAAATATCGCCGAAATCTTTTATTGCGATACGCTTTTATATTACGTCACTATGAAACTGTCGAGATGTTTCTATTCCTACTCGAAGTTTAAATGAATTTGTCTACGATCAATAATCTCGAAACATAAAGTCTGCTACTATTATAAATCAATGTGATTTCATAGTCCATTTTTAAAGTTTCTATGAGCGTGACGCCTGTACTGTTTTTGCATAATGTATGTTAGGTGGAAGTGTGCATTCAAGGTAAAATACAAATTTCACATGACAAAGTCTTGCCACAAATGAGTCAGAGAATTTTGTTACGAAAACGTGAGTTTCAATAAATAAAAATAGTGTATGAATCGATAATGTATAAACGAGAAACATGCCTACGTTTACCCGGAATGAAAATGCACATTGTGAAGATATATATATTTTTTTATAAGTTAGTTTGAAGCAATAAAAATACTTATACATAATGCACATGGTAACAAAAGATGTTAGAGCATAATGATTGTCGCGAAAGTTGGAAGTGCGAGGGGTTGGCGGGCGGACGCTGTAGGTAAGAGTTGCGCCTGCAGAGGTGTCGGAGCTGGCGAAGCGGCAAGAGCGTTGACCGCTGCAGCGGTCGTGGCGCACGCCGCCACCGTCTCGCGCCTAAGCTAACGGCACCCGCTGAAAGCGCCTCTCACTCGGAGGAAAGGATGTCCGATTAATCATCACGTATAGAGAAAAGAAAATGGTAACATTTGAGGGACCCCAATTATAGAAATTTTAGAAAATTCTAAAACTTAAGTTCCAAGGTACATATATTTAAAATATAAAAATGTTACGTTGACGTGCTATAATGTTTGAATTTATCGATAACAAAATTTGCGTTAATCCAAAGTGCAGTTGTATACGCGACCCAGTTAATTTTGCTCACTTTTATAAATTTTCCGTTCACACAAAAATGTTGACATTATTCCATTTATAGTTTGGGTGAAAAAAGAGAAATTATTATTTAATTTGTGACATTTTTCAATAGGAAGATATAGAGTTCCTTATCTTATCGTAAGAACTCACTATGACAGCTTTACATATAACGTTTGCGATAAAACTTTTTAAACACTCAGGTGGTAGGTTCGAGTACATATATAAACAATACTAATTCATATTTAATATTTATCTATCTTAAAAGTATTGTATCCATTATCCATACATACTATAAGAAAAGTTTAACTGATCGTCGTCTCTACATGGAAGATATTTATAATAATTATTGGGAGTCTACTCTTTATAACGGGCTAGAGCCAAAAACAATGATTTCCAGATTTTTTCTGTTTGTCTGTGCGTTTGTGCGCGCTAATCTCAGAAACGGCTTAACCGAATTGGGTGCGGTTTTCTTCACTTAACTTTAGTAAGTATTTGTTTTATTTCAATCGGTTCATAAATAAAAAAGCTATGTCAATTTCAAGAATCATCTAGGGACGAACCCGAGCGAAACGACGTTGAGTCCATAACTTAAAACTATATTTCATAAAATATTTATAATATTGTTGTTGTTGTTAAAATCAACGCCATTGGTACCCGGGAGGCACCTGTGATAAATAACTAGTTTAGAGCGACAAAATTTGTCAAGACCATGAGAGAACATGCACGGTTCCGACGTGTCGAGTTAGCTTTGGATATGAAGTGATAAAGAGATACCTATAAATATGATGGTTGCATTGCTAAATTTAGCAGCGGTTCCGAAGCGCTAAGCGCACTACGCTCATAAGTGAAAAATTTGTAGTGGTGAGCTCACGTCTACCGTTCACTAAGTCGCTGCTCGTGTCGCTCGGACTTTTCGTGTCAGCCGTCCGAATAGTGAACTACGGAAAAATACCTATTCTGTGATATAAAAGTGACTTTTTAAACCAACATGGGAACTGACAGTGTAGAGATCACGTGTAAGTCTTGTTTGTGTCTTCTTCAGTTTACAGGGAAAATAATGTACCTACTAGCCGGATGTTTTAATTATGTAAATGTCTTTAAAACTCTACCAAATATGATGTCATTATATGCATTTCCTATATTGCGTCAGTTGAACTTATAACACTAGCGATGAAACACTTCCTTCAACTCGATGCGGTTAATCCTTATGAAAGATAAAAATTTCTAAATATTATTAGCTTTCATTACTTTCGTCAAAATTTATTTTTCAACGTTACGTTTTACACGATATACGTATTAATATGTAATATAAATTCCGTCTTATTTTTATTCACAGTCGTTTAGCCGACCGATATGTCCTCGAGTGTTCCGAAATACTGTCAGTGAGATTTATATGGAGATAAACATTCAGTACCTATAACGTTTTACTTTTTGTGATAGATATAATTACTTGTTAATTGTCTCAATATATTGAAAATAGCCTTTTTAATTGATTTAGGTAAAAGAATTTGGTTTAACTATGACCAAGATCGAAAGCTGCTGAGTCAGCTCTACATGTTTAATGATACTTGCGCGCGGCCTGAACACTATTGACCTAGTTCCTGTGGGTTTTTATACTTTGCCCTTTATTTCGTTGGTACCATAGCATTTTGTGCCCTACAGTATTTACTAAGAGAACAGAGAACAAAGAGAAATTATCGGCGTTTATCTCATCGTATGAAGAGCAACTGTCATTAAGATGAAATGTAATTACTGTTGTTAATTATTTTTTATAGCTTTTAAACTCTCATAAGACTTTAAATTAAAATTATAATAAATAAATGATAAGTTTCTTTTTTTTTAATATAAACTTAAAAAATTATATAAATTAATAGAGGCGAATTAATTTCATCAATACATCTGTCTATTACTCTATACATATAATAAAATTCTAACTGAGTCGAATCTTTGAAATAGTCATTATTAATTATTATCGATACAGAGGCCAAATCTGTAGTTTTTAGAATTTTTGCCTCTCGGTCTGTTTGGGAACGCATCACGAGAAAACCACTTGACAGATTTTGATGAATTTTGGTAAGATGAAAGCTGATTATCCGGTTCAACATAAAGAATACTTCTTACTGCGGGAAAATATCTCATCTCAGAGAAATCTATACTAAACGTTAAAACGTCTCTTATAAAATGTTCTTTCAAATTCTGTTGTAGATAATTTCGTATTCGTATTATATTATCAAATTCCCTTGCTTGCTTGCCAAGCCTCAACGTAAAAGTCTATTCGATAAAGTTTCTTCAGCACTGGTCTCGTATGTTCCGGAAAAGCCAGACATATTAGCAATAAAGTCTGATGTCGGGTGAGGGCGGGCTCGCAGCAGATCGATAATCCACGCGCGCCGCTGTACAGACACACTGTCTACTAGGCGGGCTCACATCGGCTTCTTGCTCGTTATCCTAGCGGTGCCAATGATGCCTATTCATTGCAGAGGCCAACAATTACTTATTACTAAAAAATATTAATTTTTTAGTAATAAGTGCTTTATTTCATTTGGCATAAGTTTTTAAACGGCTTGTGTTACTTATTATCAACATTTTAAGTTTCTAGAACAACGAGGCATTGACTATTAACTATGGGTAATTTTTAAATGAACAATTTTATATGAAACTAGTGACTCACCCTCGCTTCGCTTGGGTTTGTCCCTACTTACGTTTTAACGTTTAGTATAGATTTCTCAGAGATGAGATATTTTACCGCAGTAAAAAGTATCCTATACGTTGACACGGATAACCAGCTATCATCATACCAAATTTCATCAAAATCCCTCCAGTGGTTTTTCCGTGATGCGGTAATAGATAGACAGACAGTCAAAAATTCTAAGACTATAGATTCGGCCTCTGTATCGATAATAATGTTTATTTCAATAAGATTTTCCAAAAAATATTTAATGTACAGATTCGGCTTAGTTACAATTTTATTATATGTATGATTGTCGAATAAAGACGCTTAACGTTGTAATCAATATCGTAATGCAAAGGGGTTGAAATGATAACGTTGGCGGAAGTTCAAATGACTCATAGGGAAATTCTATTGTTTTTTGTATCATTCGCTGGCCCGCTGGCCCCCCGGGCACCGTCGCGTCGCCAGTCCGAGTATATTATTAATACTATAACTAGATTACATCTCCCTCAGTATCAACATATTTTTGTAAATGTCCAAACAATTATGGAATTTACATTTTTTATTAATAAAATCACGACTAAATCAGGTTTATTGATAAGAATCTAACTCTAGTTTTGTATAGAAGCCGGTCTCGTAATGTATGTAATTTCAACTTGTAACAGTTTGTTTATATTTCACCACAGTCGGAAGCCAAAGTGAAACTTTAGCCTGTTTTTTATGAAAAGCTTCTAACGATATATTTTTGTCCTTCCAGAACGAAGAATTCTGCAATTTGGTTGTTTGTTTCTTGTGTAGGTTACGCAATATCTTTGTCAATTGCAAATCGATTTTGAGAGTGATACCCCATATAAGTCCTATATTTAAAAAAAAAGTTTTACTCCTTAGTAACTTAGATAAAAACTTAACTTAGATAAAAATTATAAATTGAATTTTTGTGGTTTGAAATGGCGGATTTACACACTTTCCAAGTATAGGCTGTTAATTTTTTTCCGCCCTTACCTCTATAATTGTCAGTATGTCCTAGACTATTTTTACTATCTAACAATTTGGTTGAAATTAGACAAAAAAGTTTCTGGGTATATTTCCGAGACAATCAATTGTATTCCGAATTGTTACAGACAACAAAAGTCTTTATAATTTCTGTGAGACGCTTAAAACAATCTGCCTTAAATTTGTCGCGCCAGGCTTAAGCCTACTCAGACTGCTGGTAAATCTACCACTGAACTGGTTTCTAAGTGTACCTTTTTAATAATAAACGTTACTTAAAGTGAATAAGGCCAAGGAGAAGTTTAATCATCTCGAGAAAACTTCCATGCTATTAATATTAATGACGGCATTATAGGATTTGTTTACTTTGTCTTTCAACATTATGCAAGCTTCGTGTAATCGTCTAACGTGTCGCTAATTCGTGACTCATTCATTACCTTATTGCCCTTATCCCATTTCATTTGTTAACTCGAACTGAGTATATTTCGAACATATTATAATACTGATTCAATGTTTCTTAAATGTAATGATATAAATCAATACTTTCTTTTAAACATATTTTTAAAATAAACTTTACTTTCTAACAAGACTCTATTTTTTTACTTTAAAATTTACTACTGTCTTATTACATTTTTAAAATGATTTCTATCTAATACGTGGAAATTTTAATTAAAAATGTCTATTGAACATTCAATAATATATTTCAAGTGTATGTGCACTTGCATGAGTCACGCTTCACGATTTTATAAAAGGATCGAGGTTATTGGGTTCGTCGAGGAAGGCGATCGATCATGAAGTAATGTTCCATTAGCTAAGGAGATGGCAATGGTGCGTGTAGCGCGTGTCTCGCAGCATGTGCAGGTGCGGTGACGTCACGCCGGCCCGGTCGGCTCGCGACCGATTATATTTTTAACTCGCCCTGTCGCCATCGGGCCCGTCACTGTCGCTGCACAACGCGCTTTTTGTTCGTCGGTGCATTGTTTGATTTGTTGCTTTCAGTCTATTTCGAGATTTCTATTGTTCGTTAGTTAATTAATGGACTTTGTAAGAAAAGTAACAAAGTAGTCGATCATAATAGAGCCTTTATGGAATATCGAGTCATTGATAAGGATTCATATTACTTACATATAATCAATGACAATCAAATATCAGTTACATATTATGTATTAGTCTTCTTAGGGGTCTCATCACGAACAAAGAAAAAATAATTCAAAAAAATGTCAATAGATGCCGTTTTACATGTATGGATTTGTTATAAAAGATGTGTTAAATTAACAAAAGATAAAAAAATAGATGTCAAAAAGGTGCATATATTTTTGTTTTTAAAAATATTAGAATATTTTTTACTGAGAAGTGAAAAAAGAAGAAATAATGCGCCCGTAAATCAAATTTGCGTAATTTTACTGAATATTGAAATATCAGCAATCAGATGACTTGTAGAGTATGTATATTCAAATATGGAGCTTTTACTTTTTATGAATTGTTTATCATGGTTAAAAATTTGTTAAAATCACTGTTTTTTTATTCGAATGCAGAATGAATTTTACAATATTTGCTGTATGTTAGTTTGCGTTTAGTTAGTTAGCCCGAATTAGCGCTGCTCAATTTCTTTGTATGTAATGAGGCCTCTGTACTAGTATAGTATTATGTGATCTGTGATATTATCAAAACCTCAGATCATACAATAGTAAATAAGGTAGCCTTTGTCGTAACCTATATGTTTAAATAAATATACACGTCTGTACTACGAGCATAATAATATTAAGTGAGATGACGTTTCAATAACATATGTATGTATGTAAAAAAATTATCGCCACTCAATGACTAAATAAGGAGATACTGCTTCCTATAATTGCCACAAGGCATTGTTTTGTTAAATATATTTGGACGAGAGCTCAAGGGCATGAATTCAATATTATGCGTATTACAAACCCATACCAATAACAACAAAATCTCGATAGAGAATCCTGAATCAGGAGTTTGCTGCGGCAGTGACCTCCGTGTCAAAAACTCAAGCGATAACTATAAAAACTCGTAAAAAATTCTACGACATTTGCAACTTATCGTTGGAAATTAATCAAAAAATCAAGATAAGTAGTTATCGAAATACTGCGCAGTAAGGCTGAGTGCGATTTGCCCATAATGGGGGACAATGAGTCACTACTCACTGGTGACGCTATCGACGTAGCTGTAGGTAGCTGTAGTCTGTAGGTAGACACTACCGTGTCCTACTAACATAAGTCCTATTCCAATGTTTGCGACTTGCTCATTCCATACCGTAAGTTTCCTTGCAATAAGTTATTATCATAAATAGTGAATACACATTTACTAATAATAACAGAATATTTAAGATTACCAAACGCCACTTGATAAGTATTTAATTGAAAATGTTGAGTATGAGGGTAATAATCGGCAATTATATGACGACACAGCATTTTTTAATAGATTTAACCTGAGAAATAGTTCTTCTGGCTCTGACCAATAAAAAAGTTTTATTGGTCTGAGCCTTCTGGCTTCTTGCCTACAAATTAAAAAGAATCTATTATTGTGGATTTTTGGAATAAATCATAACTAAGTGAATGCATAATGCATATGAGTGAACGTAAATTAAAGTAATTTTTTATTATCTATATGAAATCAAATCTATTTACTTTCAAGTATATCTACTTTTGAATTAACCAAATATTAATTTCACTGTCATTACGATTTTTTAAATTAATAAATGATCGCTATTAAATAGCACAAAATAAATTTAAGGTTGATTGAATTTTTTCAGGAGTTAGTTGTAGGGTTTGTTGCCTGTATCCTTGAACTTGACGAGTCGTGCCGGCGCAATGCTCACGTGATCATTTTAAACCAAGGTCGCTATTGTATAGAACTTAAGTTTTTAATGACCCGCACTCCTCATCTCCTATTTCTTTTCCATGACAAGTATCTGTAGTGTAAAATTTTCCCTTATATTTGAAACTACTGACTTACCTTCGCTTCGCTTAGTTTTAATTAAAAGTTTGACGTTGATGTCTGCCTGTGTGTGCGTGTGTGTCTGTCTGAGGCATCGTAGCTCTCAAACAGATGGACTGATTTCGATGCGGTTTTTTTCATTTGAAAGCCAGTTTCCTTGCGGTGGTTTTCATCCATGTTTGGTTAATATTGGTCCAGCAGTGTAAGAGATCAACTCTTTTCTAAAATGATGTAAGGCATTTTTCCGTATGATAACTCGATTAGTGCTTCACGCGTGCCAGTGTAATCGTTAAATGACAATTTGCGTAGGGTTTTTTTAAATTTTTAATTTTTAATTATTTTTTCTAAAATAAAAGTAGCCTAAGTCTCCCCTTATAACATCAGTTCCGGTCATCATCAGTGCCAGTGAAAGTCCCATCAAAATCAGTCCAGCAGTTTTGGAGATTAGCCGGAACAAACAGACAGGCAGACGGACAAAAATATTAACAATTGTTTTTTTCTTATAAGTAAGAGAAAAAGTTGGACGTCTCATCAAAATTAAGCTACTCACGAAAAATTAGCTTGATCTTAATCAATTGTATAAATGGACCAGGGATCCCGGACTATAGCATAAGGTTAGGCAATTATTTTCAATACGTGTTTATTCGGTATTCGTGGTTCTGGTTGAGAGCATAACCCATCAATCACTAATATTTATTCTCAAGAACAACAATTTGACCAGATTACGTAAAATTGCGGCTTCGCAGTGCAGCATCTGAGAAACCGCTGTTCTCTACGGTGTGTGTACCTAAGTTTCTATAATACACTTCCTGTAAGTTAATTAAATTCTTTTTTATTAATTTATCTTATTTCTATATTGCATCTATAACTTTCGCTAGTTATATTAACAAGTAGGAAGAATCTCATTTGTGTATCATCTATGGTCTAACCCACGTACTGGTAAAAACTATTATGCATGACAAATGTGATATAATATATTATTTTTGTATGTACTTGTATATTAATTTGGAATTGGTCTAACAAGGTGGGGTAATATATTCGCTTGGTATTTATGCTAGTTATCTATATTCTTGATGCTCATGAACTATAATATGAAAGTTGGTAAAACAGTTATATGGTATGCTAACAGTCTATCAGCACTGCATGTTTGCGTGAGGTATGGTGGTGGTGGCTGGTGGTGGTGCTGCATGTGAGGACTGAGGAGTGGAAGGTGCGCAGTGTCGTCGCCGGCGACGCGCATGCGCGTGGCGCGCGGCGGGGGAGGGGAGGAGAGGGCGCTGCGCCGCGGCCGCCAGTATCGACGCGAGTGTCGGGCGCGGCGCGCGCTCAGTCCGCCGCTTCCGGTTTATTTCTAATATTACGTAAAGTATCACGATGGCGGACTCCGGGCCCTCCCTTTGCAGCGTACTTAACCCACGTAAGTGCAGGCGCAGGCTTCGCTTCGCCCGCTTGTCTCTCTCTGTCGCGACTAACCCGCTAACGCGCAGCCCTCTCTTGCAGATGCTTGGTTCGACCCGCAAAGGCTACACCCCGAAGGTGAGTGAAGGCGGATGGCGTGCAGATTCACGCATTACGCGAAATGACCGGGGAGCGACCACCGTGGCGCGGCCGCCTGGCCGGGGACGGACTGCTCAGTGACCGCTCTAAAGCATGGTGTTGTGAGCTCAGTGTTGCCGCTGCGACAGTACTGTGGTAGGACCTATCGATCGTGCTGGTGAGTGTGGCGGCGCGGCCACCGTCGCTCACCGTCGGGCTCCTCACTTGACACCACTACTCACGTAGCCGACCTCCGACAATAATAATACCTGTCAGACACGATGTGACCGTTCTAATTGTATCGCTAACTTCACTTTTATATGTTGCTCGTCACGATGAACATTAATTAATTGATCGCTGTGTGACATAGACAAAGTACTTGATTAATGTTCCTCTGCATCTTCGTATTACTAACATGCTCTTATCGTTTCATAACTACATCTCCAAAAAAATTTGTATTAATTAAACTTATATATGTACATATATTAATGTGAAAACTTTTGTAGGGTGAGCATTAGAATGTACTTATTTGTATTTATTATATTCACAAATCCATGGAAACCGTTTGTTAGGTCTGGTAGGCAAATTATTCACTTTAGAAGTTCGCAACTGAATTTTGGATAGTAATCATGGTGTAACAGATCTGATTTGCGGCGGAACATCGCATGGCAGCCGGCTGCCCGTCAGCTCGTATGCCATCTGCCAAGATGAAATTAGCATCATTCTAAGCGACATTGAAGTCTGTCTGTATGGACTTAATCGCGATGGGCCTAAGATATGTGTTTAAATGAGTCTCGTGGGATGTACTTTAAAACAATACTGCGCCAAAATTAGTAGATAATTGTTCTTTATCACCACCTGAGGTACGCTATTTTTCGCTGTCTGATGTAATTCGTACCTAGTCATGGCATAGTTGTAAGTCCTTGTGAATCAATAACCAGGAGCAAGCTAATTAAGTTAGGCTGTGAATCGAGGTTATCATATTCGTTAGCCAGTAATTTTGATGCATTTACGATACCTTGATGTTTCTTGCCGTAGCTGTTTCTGTTTTCCGGCTTCTACCATTACGGAAATGTGATATCTTACATACTGGGCAGTTTGTTTTATACAAAATATGTCACTAACCTGTAAACAATAAGGCTCATTACTCTGTGGCGATAGTGCCTTCGCCGCTTTTTTGTGCCGCAACAGTAACTTCATTGTTTGTCTTAATATTAAGAAACTTGACCCTCGATATCCATCGGATATACGTATTTTTTACCATATTTTGTAACGATATTAGATTTGTATTGTACTGTAAATATGTAATTTCATTCGAGTTTTAAGTTTCTGCGTTTCGTTTAGCATATTCCAAAGCATGAGGTAGGCTTTGTTAGTTTTAAAATTACTAATATTATTACTAATATTATTGATTAGTTAATTACAAATATATATAGGCCAGGACTCAGTAACCAAGTACGGTCTCATATCTGAAGTATAAATCAAAACAAATACGCATTCATTAAAGTTACATCTTATTGCAAGGCAAGGTTATTTGAATTACCTACACTAAGGTTGTTCCTTATTTAATATTTTATTCCTACGTGATATATTTTTATGATGTACTTAGTTTGTATAGAAGACACATAGCTTTCCGTGAGCGTATTATTTTAGCCATTGTTTTTTTCTTGTAGAACATATCAGGTTTACATGTTGACAGTGTTTTATATATACCTATATGTATACATATTGTTAGTTTAATTATGGGTTAGACTGCGCGAAAATCTGTACTTTAAACCTTAACCTTCCCTGACTCCTCCTTCTTAATCTTCTGAATCCTCCTTAACCTGAATTTAAACCGTGTAACAATATAAGTACATACGTACTTGTTATGGATTACGATTTTATCTAATACATACATACCTATCGAGGTACTATAAAATATTTGGTGCTAGAGGTTTCGACGGATGCACAGTGATGAAATGTTAATTGAAAGATATATTGTTATCTTAAAAAAGAGAGAGCTATATAATATATCTTTAAATGAAAGCGAGATGCCCATTTATTCAAAAACTAGTACATATATCTCATCAGGTGGTATATTCTTTAGTCTCGTGTCTCACATGTGCTTGACATTTGTGCCAAGTGAAATACATGTTGTGCATCTACATTCACATATATTAAACTATTCTATTGTAATATAAAAGTGCGATAAAATGATATCTAGAAGGCATGAGATTATAAGAAATGAAATTATTAGAAATGCTTTATAATATAGATCACTTAAATGTATTCCGAGCACTTAAGAAACCTATTTTATGAGAAACAGTGGGATTCCATTCCATGTTACTTTAAAAATAACCTTATTTTTTTATTTATAGCCTGATCTATTTAACAGGTTCCATAAACGTATCACAACGTATAGGGAGCCTAAAGTGCGCTGTAGATAGTCTGCTTCCCGTCTGTCGCCGTCGCTTGCTCAAATGTCGCAACATAAACATACAGGTCTTCAGATAACGTCGAGTGCAGATAACGAGTCCAATGCGATTATTTGTTGCCCGACTTTACATTATACTAGCGACTCACCCTCACTTCGCTCGGGTTCGTCCCTAGGTTGATTCCCCATACAAATTTTCGTCCCCATTTTCACCCTTTTAAGGGATGATTACCAGGATAAAAAGTATCCTATGTCCTTCCTGTATCTCAAACTATCTTCTTACCAAATTTCATCTAAATCGGTTGAGTAGATCCAGAGATTATCCCCTACAACGTCACAAACTCACATTTCACAAACTTTACCTCTTTATCATACCTATTACTCGTAGTATAGATTCCTAGACATTCAATATATCATTTTCGATTGTTCCGAGTGTTATGCAGTTGCTAAGTCTCTATAGTTTAAATACACACGTATTGGTATAGTCTATTTGATATAGCAAACCTTTTCTATCTTCGACTTATAAATGTTGCAATCCCGCCGTCTCTTCTGAACACTGGGTACATATTTGAATTTTAGAAGATATAATTTTACATTTTATACGTATATAGATCATACTTCTATGTGTACATAATTTATAGCTTAATGTAGTCCAATTCGTGTTCCAGATTGAGTCTAAGTTTCCTTAACCCCCCATAACCTAGCAAAGTATTTAAAAATTTACTGCAAGAGCTAGATCTTTGTTTATGTGTAATGTGAGAGAAGTATTTATTACACATATTTTAATACTAGTAGTTATTGTTTACTCAATGATTAAGTATGGTTAGGTGCAAAGGTGCCATGTGCAAAAGACCAAAAATACTATTAAAAAATTCCCAAAGACACTTATCGTGCCGCAAAGTATTTGCTCCTAATCTGTATAGTTGTGCGACAATAGATAACATATCACATTAATGCACAACTAGATTACATATTGTTAGATTGTTTATTTGGCAGATAACGTGATTTTTCCCATTAAAACATGTGTACAAATCTAAAGACGAATATTAATAACTAGCATTGCCCGCGGCTCCGCCCGCGTTCAGATGACCAAAAACCAAATTCTTAGGTTTTACATGTTAGTATACTCTTACATTGCAGTTTGCAGTTTTTCTATTTTTTCTCAGAAATGAGATATTTTCCCAGGGTAAAAAGTATCCTATATGTTGACCGGGGTTAACCAGCTATCACCATATCAAATTTCGTCAAAATCCCTCCATTGGTTTTTCTGTGATGCGGTAACAGACAGACAGATAAAAATTCTAAAAACTATAGATTCGGCCTCTGTATCGATAATAATGTTTATTTCTATAATATTTTCCAAAAAATATTTAATGTACAGATTCGGCTTAGTTACAATTTTATTATATGTATAGATTATATAAACCATGTACTTATTACTTTCGAAACAATAAAAACTTAATAAAACATTGCAAAATACACCTTGTATTGTCATGCAATGTCCTTTGTGCGAGTAGTACGTACAGAGAGATCACAGAGAACTTAGTAACTCTTCACTTAATATATTTTTGTTCAGTACCCAGATTAGAATTATGCTAAAATTTGTAGAAGGCTGCTTGCTACCCCTAACCATAGGTGTCTAACAGACACCATTCTGGACAAATCTATTATTTCATATGTATCAGTCATATAGTATCGTTTTTTTATTTATGCAGATATACGAGGGTCGTTTTGATAAATCAGTGACTTTTAAATTATATAAAAACGTTTTCGAAAATTTATTTTTGATTCATTCTTAGGATTTTAGAAACTCCTTAACTACTGCCGTTCTTTTTTTTAATTAACTCGAAAACAAAATTTTTAGAAACAGAAAAGTTAAGTGCATTCGAAACATTCTGTGAAAATGAAGAAAACGAATTTCGAGTCGTAATCGTCGTCAGTTCAATCAATCAATCCAAGTGAATTTCGTCGATACATAATCATTAATAAAACTTGATTTCACCATGAAATACCATAAACGAAACAAGAGTCAAGTGGATCTGTATCGGAGAATGTACTCCATAAAAGATAAAAACTGTTTGTTCGGTGGGTAAAGTGATGGTCACTTTGTTTTGGGATGGTCAAGGAGTCATTTACATATTTTTTTTAAGAAAGGCAGGACAATAGCCAGAGCTTACATGCTTCATTAATAGATAGGTTTAATAATAATTAATTGGTTAAAAAAAACCTAGCAAAAAAATGATCATCAATTACGATATCACTTATTGCCACGCCCACCCTATTTGACAGATTTAGACGTGACTTCTTCGAAGTCCTAAACATGAAGAAATGGCTTGGCGGGCAAAAATTTTTATCAAATGATATGTAATAGCCGAGGTTTCTGTTCCACAGTTTGTCAAGAAGTATTTTTAATGGGTTCTAGATGTTAGAATATTCTAGAATATCGCTAATTAAGTGTATAGAATTGAAAGGAGAATATGTAGGAATATAAAACAAATTTTGCCGAAAGCATTGATTTATCAAACGGCTCTCGTAAAATAATTCTTCAACGATCTGGTGACGCGACGGTGGCCCTTGGGCTCGACAGGACAACAGTTAATATGAACATTACCCAAAAATGGAGAATGAATATATTTTACAAATAATCACCAATCAGATATTTGTTGTATGAGTTCTGCCTGCCTAGAAAGTACTCATATATATAATATTTTACTTATTTTATCTAATGGCAAGTTATTTATGAAAGGGCAGTAATGTTTCATTTATTTTTAACTAGCCAAAGCCACGGCTTCGCTCGCGCTAAAACTACAAAAACTGGTTTTATGCTATTAGTAATAATGTAATAATATATAAAATCTGCCCCATTTGTTGACATTTATGATCACTGCGCCGCTCCCTTGGGTAGTAGCATGATAATATATATAGCCTATAGCTTTCCTCAATAAACGGGGTATCTAATGCAAAAAGAATGTTTCAAATCGGATTAGTAGTTCCTGAGATTAGCGCATTCAAACAAACAAACTCTGTCTCTTTATAATATTAGTATAAATTAAATGTGTTTTATTGAAATTAGCAAAAAATTTAGAAAGCTTTAACTACGTGGGTGGCGCCGATTGAAATATTTTTTCCTTTCAAAAATACCTTTTAATTAGTTGCCATAGTTCACGAAGGCACGTACAGCGTGCGACGGTGGCGGTTAGTCCCAGGCGTCGAGCGATATTTTTATCGCACGCCTCTCATTGTATTTCTGTTACTGTTCAGTTTGACTGCGAATGCTCACAGCCCACAGCACACACTTGCTACTGTTTGTTTCAATCATGTTTTATTTTCGAGCTATTTTCGTATAAGAAATGTAAATGGAGTTGACAACTATTTTCCAAGTTTCAGTTAAAGGTGGATTCCGAAGCTTTAATAGATTCGCGGCGCTCGTCTCGATCAGTCGGGGCTATTTAAATATTATTATTATGAAGTCTGCATCTGTAGCGTTTTATATATAGTGCACACTGTATCATATGTAGTGTTCTGATTAGCATATTTAAAGGTCAACATTTTCCCAATACCTACAAAGCTTGTTTTTAATTTTATACTACTTTTATACGTAGATCTCTTTTACGCTGAGAAAGTCACAAAACATGATAATTTTTGTGCAGTTGTCGATAATCTTATTTGAATGTACAGCTGATATGAATGAAAATCTTAATAGTGTAAGACGTAGAAAAGTGATACAATAACACTACGCGTAAATCGTCATGTAAACGTACACACCTTCATTCATAGGTTAGTATATTTTTCATAATGCATATTTTTTTCTTAAACAAGCTAAAGATAGATATCAACTCTCTATGGTCTTATGGCACATGTTGTTAAAAAGTAAAAGCTAAACAAAATCGATCGCATAAAAAAGCGATGTAAACTTTCAAAAGTTAGTGCTTATTGATTAGGTTTCCAAAAAATGTTGGCTAAAATATGAGAGTGCAGTCTTGGGAGTCTCTTGGCGATTGAATGTAGGCTACAGTGTTCAGTGTACACGGTGCAGTGTCAGCGTATCGATCGGCAACCCGCGGCCGTCGCGGCGCGGCGGCACGCGCGCTGAACACGGCCTTTTCAATCGACTTTCAGTTACTTTCTTATTCCGAGATTATAATAATAGATTGTGCCGTTTAAAACAATATATATAAAATTTTGAAAATACTTAACATTGCAAGATAATACTTAAAAATTAGTCGGTAAAGTCTTCAATTTTATAATATAAGTAATAATAAAATCTATCCTTTATTTGGTGATATTTTAAATCGCCAATGTCATAAGGAGAATAAATATTACTAATTAGTAATAAGAGTAAGGACATGCAGATGTCAAAGTCGAAGAGTCACAGATAATCTGTTTATAAACAAGCACGATTTATAAAAAACAAAAACAGTTTTTGTATTTCACGTGGCTACTTGATGACTATAAAAGTAATTTATACAATATCATTAAAATTTGGGCCAGAGTACTTAAACCTTTTACGAACATGATATTTATATTATAAACACATTTTTTTTTAAATTATACATAATATGTTTTTGTTGATCCGTTACAGCGCGGCGCGAAGAAATAACAAACACGCATAATATGAACATTTGTATTTATAATACTACGCATTTTTAAACAAATTTATAAATTATTATAATTTGTAGTCTTATAAGTTTTGAAATGTTAAGCGTAGAATAACAATCTTGTGTTGGATAATGTGAAATAAACTTTACACAGCACTGAGCAGTGAGCGTGAGCACACTAGGTATTACTCATATAAGTAAGATCAACACCTTGAATAATATACCTACTAAAGCCTATGATATGTACTGTACATATTAATTAATATAGGTTACTAGCCCGCGGCTCCGCCCGCGTTCCGATGACTAACAGCCAAATTCTTAAAAACATTAGTATACTACAATGCAGTTTTTGTATTTTTTCTCAGAAATGAGATATTTTCCCGCGGTCAAAAGTATCCTATATGTTGACCCGGATAACCAGCTATCATCATACCAAATTTCATCAAAATCTGTCCAGTGGTTTTCTCGTGATGCGGTAATAGACAGACAGACAAAAATTCTAAAAACTATAGATTCGGACTCTGTATCGATAATAATGTCCATTTCAATTAGATTTTCCAAAAAATATTTAATGTATGTACAGATTCGACTTAGTTACAATTTTATTATATGTATAGATTTATTAATTCATTAAGCTCTATTACTTATTAAAATACATTTATTTACTGTATAATATGAATTAAAAAAAGTATTCCAGTGTTTTTGTATGTTTATATGTATGTATTGTATAAGCTTACAGCGAGGGTAGGCTCTTATAAAAATCAAAAAAATGTACCTCTAAGGGTGAAAATTTACCTACGTACATAATCTCAAAGTAAGTGTAACTTTTTAGTTAAATAATAAATAATAAAAAATGAAACTAATAGTTTCATACGCAAAATTATGACGTAGGCAGAGACAAATTATATTACCAGTAGATAGCTTACAATTTTAATCAAAAATCTATGAATATTTCTAGAGTAAAACACGGTAATGTCGTCATTTTCACAGCATTTATAATAAAATGAGTAATTAGTAGGTGCTTATCACATTTATATCGCTGGCGACCTTTGCTCGGCGGTGCGGCGGTTGTTAGCTACAAGTTTGTTGACTTACAATCAACTAGCGACTCACCCTCGCTTCGCTCGGGTTCGTCCCTGGGTTGATTCCCCGTACAAACTTTCACCCCAATTTTAACCCCTTTTAAGGGATGATTTTCGGGATAAAAAGTAGCCTATGTCCTTCCCAGGGTCTTCTTACCAAACGTCTTATCTTCTTACCAAATTTCATCCAAATCGGTTCAGTAGATCCAGAGATTACCCCCACCTACAACGTCACAAACTCACAGTTCACATTTACCTCTTTATAATATTAGCATAGACGTACCTATAGGATAACAAGCCATTGTAGCCTGTATCAGTGGGCTTTATCTTTATCTGACTTAGAAAAGGGAAGAGGCTGAGTTTTTTGTACTGTTTACTAAATAATAGATATCTCAAGAAGGATATGAACTGCTTTTGTAATCTTTATTTATTGAATATATGTAGTCCATTATATCTGTTTCTGTTATTGGTACACAGGTTTCATTATATAACATAAATCATAATTTGTAGTGTATATTTTCACACGATATGTTAAAGGCACGTACAAGCAAATTGAATTATTTTTGCATTATTATTAATTTATTAATAAAAAAAATATTTTTAATTAAAATGTTCGTAATAGTGGGAATAAGGTTTATAGGGAGAAAATATAAATTTAGAATATTTTAATTAATTTCCGACCATACCTGACTGAGTGTAAGCTGCGATAGATGACGCCTGCTTGTTTATTTTGGCAACGACTTGCTTTCGCGTAATAAATTGCGCCAATCCACAGTGACTCGCGCTCGAGCTATGCCTGCTACATATCTCGTGACCCCGAATCGCTCTTTAAACTTTTAATTCAAACTATTAAAGATCATTGATTCATTTCACAATCCTGAGTTAATTATAGAGCGCGGTTGTTCAGACACCTTGTTGGTTCACTAAGTAGTTTAATTAGATACAAATATTATCTTCAAAAGTCAAAACTCATCGAAATATCGTATATTATATATTAACAGATTTTGCCTGATTTTATACCTAATACCTGTAACTATTCATTTTTTTTATATTAATTGCTTTCTACTGTAACAGAACCATTGTTAATTACTAATCAAACCAAAAAAAAACTATGGGGTGACATTGAGATTTTTCTATGTTTTATTGTTGGATTTTGGAGTCTTTTTGTTGGATTTTGGCAGATCGCCACTTGACCTACCTCTTTACAATTATGCTAGTATTTTTTCGGTACCGTGTCTCTAAATACCACCAGGTACTTTCGATTTCTGTAATACGAGTACGCAGAACTGGTTTTGTTGTTCATGAAAGCTTCGACGGTCAACTCACATGTACTTGATAGTCATGAGGCGTTAAGTCACTAGCCTGCTACGTGGGGCTTCATTCATAACACGCTATAGATACACCTTTCTCGCCAGCTAACTTTAGAGGGGTTGAACATAGTTAAGTGTAGCGTATTTACAGATGTTACGAACAATGTCTTACGAGTGCCTGTTGCTTTTTCAATTACTTTCATTCGAGAGTTTAAAGAAAAGTAAATTCTGTCGCAGCCGCGTAAGTTATCAAAGCATGGATCAAATGTTATCGTTTCGTATTCTGCCGTTTATCATCATCGATTAATAATACTTTTATGATAGAATTTTTTCTTTGTTACTCTTTGATACGTAGGCTTTTATTGAATAGGGCGACAATTAATTACCATTTCTTGAGACTCGATTATTTGTATTTTTGATTTTGTCTTATCTTTTTAGGCAGACTGATGCCCGATTTCACCAACAACCCATAAGCTACCACCTACGTATGGGATTCCTAGCTTAAAAGTCCTCTAAACTAGCCCCTAAATTAAATTTCGTTTTACGATCGTCTTTAAGCCCATATTTCGAGCACCTAAATTTAGGGGGCCTTTTAATATTTAGGTGACCTCTAACTGTCAGTGAAACAGAAACTTTCCCCTAACAGCCCCCTAACCATGCTTAGGGGATCCCTTAACTTTGGTGACGTTGGTGAAATCGGGCAATAGACTTTCATTTTTCCATTCAAAGCTCTTCGTAGCATACTTAGTTTTAATCAATAGAAAATAGTTCTGGTTTGATGTTAATTCTAATCCTATGTGATAAATATGGTTTATACTTTATAATAATATTTCAGTCGGGTCAAAAAATTTTATTGTCCAAATTAGCTGTTCTGTTATACGCGCTGTACAAAGTTGTTTGATGTTTGTAAAATAAATTGAAATAAATATACCACAAAATCGCAGGCTGCTACTTGTTTTGTTACCTATACAGTTCAACCGCCCCTTGCTTATATTATTGTTTATTCTTATGCCTCGAAGATTGGCAGGCGGACAGAATTTGGTTTCAGGATTTGTCGAAAATATTACACATCTTGTAGTTTTGTAGTCTGTACTTTATTTATTTAATACGAATTGCATTCCCTCGTAAGTAAACAGTAATAATTCCGGTATCGGTATGCGTTTATGCGATTATGATATAAGAGGATAGCGGCACTTCCTTCCGCGTCGCTCGGAGCCGGGACTTAGTCACTTGTCCGTATTCGCGGCGCGACGTGGGGCGCCTAGCGCCAGCGATGGGTGGGTGACGTGTGTAGAAAGGTAGCGGCGTGGCAGCCCGCAACCGCCGCATGTGCCCGGCCCGCCGCCGGTCGGCCACTCCGCCGCCATGGCGCGTCCCAAACAGTCGCCTCGCCACGCTGCGCAGTACGCCGATCTGCCACCCCGAGGACCAGGTATTTAAACTCGATCAAAATTAAGAAACGGAATGCATCTCGATGCACTCGCAGTGCTCTCCTGTGAGTCAAACGGGACGCGCTCGGAGGCCGGCGTCCGCCCAGAGCCGGTCCTAACGTGGACGAGACAACATATTGTTGAACTTGTTTTACGAGAGGTTGTGTGCACTTTACGTTTACGATTATTTTGGTGCTTTCTGTCATAATTTCTGTCCGGTGGCAGTTTCATTTATATTTCGCCTTAAACTTTTGTATAAATTTTAAAGTTTATAGTAGTTCTAGATTGAATGATCTCACCGTTTCATTTTAATCGAGAAAAGATGATGTGTTCTGGTGTGGGTTGATCTGGTGTTGTGATTGTGTTTAGATTATATCTTAGTGAATTATTATTAATAAACAGTTGTACCTGTTTGTTATAATTTCATTTATAACATCAACCTTGATTAAAAAACAACATTTTTTTTTTTCAACTTACAAAAGTGACTGTTTTATAGTATCAAAAGTTTAATTAACGCAGATTAAGTTCAGTATTTTCACTTATTTCCCTAATAGCTATATATATAACTCGATGGTATTTGTATAGAATTGACGTTTTAGAGCATGGACGATGACACTGCAGCGCCCCGCGCCTCCCCGCGCTTCCTGCAGTACAATTTAAGGCTTTCGAGCGCTATTCCGTTACGTTGTCATCATATCTAGCCGTGCAACTCGTTTTTTGCTTCGCGTACAACTTATTTTAATTTCCATACTTATTTTTATTTCCATATTTAACTTTTTATATTGAATTTTCATTGTTTATTAGCTGTAAATTTGCTTGTGATCGTTGTATTCATACAAAAAAATCCTGTTCCCCAATCTGTCGGGCTATTTTACCCAAACCTCCTGAAAACCTTATTCGAAATATTATGACTTTTATGAAAAAAAAACTTGCCAACTCAGTCCAGCTTCAAGTGATGCGCTAGTTCTCAAGTGTTGCGCGTATCAACGATCAGCTTTGCATTTTTATTTACACAGATTATTTTTAATTTATTTTATTTGCATTAAATTTTTATTTATAATTTCTTACTCTTTATAGACCATAGGCAAGATTAGATTAGATTTCGTATGTTTATTTACACTTTACAGTGAAGTCAAATAATTAGCATTTTAGAATTTTCTTTGATTTAATACGATGTAAATGCAGATATTTAAATAATTACCTATTTATGAGTGAGTTATCTCGTAATGAATGAATGGACATGTAGAGGCGCGGCGCTCCTCATCTGCGAGTGTTCCGCACTAATAGCTTCTTCGAGTTCGAACATTCTATCTTAAAATGAAAGTAACAGGCGAATTGAATAGAAATGCAAATAACAAGTTTTAATGATTACAATTTATTACCCGCCACATATTTAAATATTATACTTAGTACTCTCGTAGGTATTCCAATACACACATATTATTTGTAGAGGTTCTTTTCAAAACTTGACTATTCCACTTTTTGTGTTTTTTCACAATCTGAGAAAATAGTTTTCTATATATGCAGCTATGTTTTAACCCGAAATTTTGATGCATCATTTTAGACAACAACAATAGTTATTTATTTGTACAAGATTCAAAAATTTTGAAATTATATATTTTGAATAAATCCAAAATTTGAAATGGAATAATTTAGTTTTGACGCGGCTAATTGGATTATTCCAAACTCGATTATCCAAGTTTTGTTTTTTCCTACAATACAAAATACCAAAAAACTAACCTGTCTGCTGTAAAATGCTTGTTGAATCGAAGTGTGAATGATCAGTTACTATTCACTGATAAACTTTTAGAGAGTAAAACATAAAGTTCTGACTGAAAAATGTAGGGATAAAACATGTTTTGTTGCAATTTACTTTAAAATATTTAAATAACTTCTGGATTAATCATATTTTGTTCCAAAATTGTGTATTTGAAGTGGGTAATATTTTTGACAAAATCATGCCTTTTAACCGTTTTCTTTCTGGTGTAATTATCAAGTTTGGTCCAATTTTATTTTCGCGGAGTGTAAATTTGGATGTTATCAAACAACAACAAAATAAAAAATCAGTTTCATCAAAAGTGAAATAGTCAAGTTTTGAACAGAAGCTCCTCATTTACACCTCCAGGTACCTAAATTTCTGAGAGATAAAATAAAATTCTAAGAAATCTATTGTTAACTGACACGCCGGCGTGTCCGCAGTCGTGGAGGGATTAATTAGTGCTTTACTTTAATGTGTTTTGATAAGGTTCACATTACACACTACAATATCATAATAATACCATATAAAACTATACTAGGCACTACTGACAACACTAGCGCCGGTCTCTGAGCTGAAAATGAGGAAATTTAAGACAAATGTTCATTTTCAAATAGTAATAAGACAAGGACAATAAATGATACTAACACTACGTATATATGTGTAACCTATGTATATATGTGTTTCTGTAAAAGCTCCTGTATTTAGTAAATCTTAGGTTTTTTACTTATGAATCTACGGGTCTACCGTCGCTTGGTAAAAAAAGTCGTTTCGGGCATTACAACATGCGAGGTTTAGGTTTAATTAATAAATTCTAGGTTAGTGTTTGTTAGGTGTAAGTCCAAAATTAGCGACGGTCACAAATTAGTTCGAACTTTAACCATTATGGGTCTGTACATCTTAATGTATACAGGAAAATATACGGGTTTGCCCTAGTTGGGAGATTTTTCAGTAACATATATAACGAGAAGCTTATGAGTGTGCGTCGTGTTCCAGTGGAGTCCCTGATCTACTGGCGGTCGGCGGCGCGGTCAGGTGCGGCACTGGGCGCAGGCCTGGCGCTGCTGGTGGCGCTGGCCTGCTGCTCCGTGGTATCCGTGCTGGCCTACAGCTCGCTGCTCGCGCTCTCCGCCGCCGTCGCCTTCCGCATATACAAGAACGTGCTCCAAGCCGTGCAGAAAACTAATGAGGGACATCCCTTCAAGTGAGTGCAATCGTAACTTTGGTTATGTATGGTATATATTTTAACTAGTACTCTTGTAGACCTGTTGGTACAATATATCAAGTTAATATTAGTTCAATTATTCTCGGCTAATAATTGCGTCTAAATGTTATATAGGGTTCTTTTTCATGTCCAAAAACTATTCTTTAAAAATCAAATCAAAAATATGTATTTTTTTAATATTAACTTTGATACTTGGACTTTCTCTTTTACAATTTAATTACTCTTATATTATTCACGTAAACTTATATATAATAATTTTTTTCACAAATTAATTGCATCACTATTATCTAAAAAGTTTACATGTGTCACACTTAGTGCGGTTTTAATAAGAATTAATGTATTTAGGCACAACGAATGGACACTTGTGTTTATACAGTCTTTAGCGCTGAATCCAATTAGCAACTTTATTCAATGGTTTCTTTACATACAAGTTGGTAGTTAGACACTTGTCGCCTGCGTACTGTTCAGTAGTCAGTACTTACATGGACCTAGTATAGTACGGGAGGTAGCGTAACATTAAACATGTTTAATTTTCAATAATCAACTTACGCAGGCACGTGGAGCAGTGCGCGGCAACTCTGTGACGATAACTGACGGCTGTTTTCTAGTTAATTTATTGTTTAAAAAGTATAAAAAATCAGCTGGACAAATAAATACTTCTACGACTTTTACACTTTATCAATATGGTTCATCCTTATTTTCTATGAAGCTGATTATTCATATTTAGTTAAAAATAACATGAACAATATTAAAGTCAATTTTCTCCTTTAAAAATGTTCACCGCCGTTTGTGTAGTCGACACTCTCAGAGCTCCAATGTAGTAGTTAAAACTCCATTATTGTTGTACATTTCAGTCGGTATCAAATGACTAATTGTAAGTGAAAGTGAGGATAAATATTTGACTATGCCTATTCTCTGTTATCACATACCTATGTTTATTATAGAATCTATTATTCGATTATTTATATTATATTATTATATTTATTATTTATATTATATAATCTATACTAATATTATAAAGAGCTAAAGTTTGTGAGTTTGTGATGATGTAATCTCTGCATCTACTTAACCAATTTAGATGAAATTTGGTAAGAAGATAGTTTGAAACCCTGGGAAGGACATAGGATACTTATGCCGGAAATCCGGGGTAAAAATGCGGATGAAAGTTTGTACTGTTAAGCAAGCTAGGAGGAACAAACGAGCAAAGCGAGCGTGATCGTCGCTCTAGTATTTTATACATATATTAGATATTAAAAATGAACATTATACATTCCAGGGGAAATAGTATTTATATTCTTAATATATATTATGTACTTAGTACGATCTATTTAGTTTTTTTAACAAAAAAAAATTGTTGTGTATTAAATATGTTAAATGAGAGTATTCGTTATTTTTATATAATACCTATGTTAATTTTAATGGTTATTTTTTTACGTTCATTCATTATATTTTTATTTTTTCCCCACATAAATATACGGTACCAAAATTATTACAATTATTTTGTGCTGATAATATACTTATACCTAGATAAGCATCAGACAGGAAAAATAAAAAATATTACTAGTAAACCTTAAATAATAAAAAAAAACATTAAATTTCTATTAGCAAATCTGTGTGATGGATAAAGGGATAGGGTTAATGAATACTTACTTTATAAAGACTCCATTATTGTGCCGATATATCTATTTTAAAACACCGTGACATGTATAATTGCAGATGGCTGTTGGAGAAAGACATTAGCGTGCCGGCGGAGCGCGCGCAGTCGCTGGCGGCTGCCGCCACCGCGCACCTCAACGCAGCCCTGTCAGAGCTCCGCAGGTACACACGGCACACCTTACAAATCAATCTCGATTCTCACTGTTTCCCTCTCTTTCTAATCTATTATTATAATTCACTCTTATTTTCTCACTCACACCTTTAAGAAAATCACTGAACGTCGAAACTTCGTTAGTGAAATTTTAATATAATCCCTTGTCACTGCAGGTTGTTCCTGGTGGAGGACCTGGTTGACTCGTTGAAGTTCGGCGTGCTGCTGTGGTGCCTCACCTACGTGGGCGCATGCTTCAATGGCATCACGCTTATTATCCTTGGTAAGTGTCTCTTGTCCCATTGACACAAGTGTCTGGAAATACTCTACAAGGTTATAATTAAATTCAAATATAATATGCCTTTCTATTTTATAAACATATACAATTAATAATTAACTTAATACAGACAAAGTAGATGTTTCTGAATGTTACGAAAACTTTAAAGATAGTGACTCACCCTCGCTTCGCTCGGGTTCGTGCATAGATAGGTTTTAATTTTTTTTAAGCGGAACCCTAATTCTTTTTCTAAAATAAAAGTAGCCTATGTTACTGCCTATAACACCACCTATCTTACAGTGAAAGTCCGGTCAAAATCAGTCCAATTGTTTCAGAGATTATCCGGAACAAACAGACAAACAGACAAAAATTTAAAAAATTGTATTTTTCTTATAAGTGCCGTATATAATTTCATATGCATTTAGTAAAACGCTGATATTTTGATATTACAAACAGACAATTCAATTTTATTTATCTGTATAGATAATAATTTACTAACACTTTTGTATCATCATTTATCATCATTAGCCGCAACTCGCACAGTTACTCATTACACTATTTTTAAATGAAATATTTTTATTGATAGAATTTTTATTATTTAAATGGTTTCATATGTGTCCTACAGGCTGGATAGCGCTTTTCACGCTGCCCAAGGCGTACGAGATGAACAAGCCGCAGGTGGACGCCAACCTCGAGCTGGCGCGCGCGAAGATCAACGAGATCTCCGCTAAGTACGTACCACCACATCACCACACCACCATATTCCTACCACCACATCACAACTCAGTTCATGCCACTTATTACCATATTGTATTACAAATGCAAGTTTGTGAGCGGATACATACAAACGTGCTCGTTATCCCCGGATTAGTACGAAGGTTATTTTTTAATTGATAGAACACGTGATCGCAAGTTTTGTACATAATCCTTTACCAATGTTGAATACATTGCTTTGTTTTTCAGATCAATGTGCAAAGTAGGGATGTTACGGAGAACGTTTTATCAGAAACCGGAATGATAGGTAAAAATCGAAATCGAACGTCGAATGGAATAGAAATTAAATCGCCCTTGACAAAAAAAAACAATTTAATAGACCTAGCGATATCGTGAAAATAAATGTAAGGAATTAAGGTGATCGCCGCGTATCCGATTATATCTACGAGTCGGAGGTGCTTAATCCAAGTCCAAGTTTCATAACATCCCTACTTTGTAGCACAAAGGCATTAGCTGGCGTAAGCTGCGTTTCAACAAGGGATATCAATGACGTGGTTCTTGTGAAATAATCCATACTTATAATAAAATTGTAACTAAGTCGAATCTGCACATTAAATATTTTTTAGAAAATCTTATTGAAATAAACATTATTATACAGAGGCTGAATATTTAGTTTTTAGAATTTTCGTCTGTCGTCTGTCTGTCTGTTACCGCATCACAGAAAAACCACTGGAGGGATTTTTACCGCGGGAAAATGTCTCATTTCTGAGAAAAAATACAAAAATTGCAATGTAAAACCTAAGGATTTGGTTTTTGGTCATCTGAACGCGGGCGGGCAATGCCAGTGATATAATATAAAAATGATACCTATTACTGTACTTAATCTTGATGAACTTGCACAACTTGCATATATTATTTCCACATACCTTTTCTATCGGTTGACGAAGAAAACTTAGTGTCTTATTTGCTACCTTATGCTTGAGACAACGCTAATGTGATGAGGTCTTCAAATCCTCAGTCTCGAGGCCCTGGCCGGTGTCGCAAGTCGAAATAGATATTTTTTCGTTCGATATTTTCTTATTATTCTCGATGCAATATATTCAAAGGCAATAGTGAAATGTTTTAATGTGTACGTGTGCGTGTGTCCGTCTGTTGCAGAGTGCGGGCGGCCGTGCCTATCGGCCGGAAGGCGGAGAGCGAGAAGGACAAGTAGAGTGCGAGCGAGAGGCAACACCCAACACGCAGTTCTTTTAGCGCCGGAGTTTCACTCACTGTTTGTTATATTTATTATTACTGTATTTAATAAAGATACACCTACTTTATGTGTAAAGCTTTATGAGATGAGTCATGCGGAGATTATTGTATTTGCTTTTTGAAATTTTAAATTAAAAATAACTGTCGAACTAATTTGTATTGTTTTATTTCTGTCATTATTCTTCAACCTGTCAACTGAAACAATAATAATATTATTTTATTCTAATATTATGAAAGGAAAAAAATAGTTTTTTTGTTTGTTTGTATTGAATAGGCTCTGAAACTATTGAACCGACTTAGATGAAATTTTGTAAGATTGATGCATGAGGCATCTATACTAGTATAGTATTATGTGATCTGTGCTATAAGTAATATGAGGAGTTATCAATTTAATTCAATCCTTTATTTAATGGCTTTAATGCGTGCTAGTTGAGCATAAATGGAGAAGAAATTTGCTTTTTTCCCCCGCCAGATGTCGCGATCACTATAATCCTCAATATATATTGTAAAGCTCTGCGTGGATGGATTTTTTTATTTTATTTAAAATTTAAAATGGATATTATTGGTTCCCAAAAGACAAAAACTGAAAAAAATGTGGGCTAAAGACGACTAAAATTGGCCAAATCACAAATTTTATATTTAAGGCTATGTGGACATCATTTTACAGAAAATCATTTTAAAACTCTTAAATCGTGTATAGGTGAATATATTTCTTTTATTTTTGTTCTAATTACAGGCTTCAACATACAAACTTTCATCCCCCATTTTACTCCCTTATATAGGATTGAATTTCGAAAAATGCTAAAAGATTTATTTATTCGATTGTATTGAAGAGCATTAATACCAAGTTCCAAGTAATTCTGATCATAATTAATTTTTTGCTTATATAAAATTTTATTACCCCCTTTTTGAGGGATGAATTTGGAAAAAAATCTAATAAATATGTTTCTTATCTTTTATCTTAAAGCTAAACACTACTTTCTGTGTATTCTACCCACTATTATATCTATTTTACCCACATATGGGATGACTTTCGAAAAATCTTTTCGTATTGGATGCCTACATCATTTAAGGAATACGTCCTCCAAATTTCACTTTTCTAAGACCAGCGGTCTAGGCCGTGTTTTGATCTATCAGTCAGTCAGGAGTCAGGACCACCACAGGATGAAACTCTCCTTCTCAATTCTTCCTTTAGCTGGTCTAACTTTTAGGTACAATACACTGCACAGTCCACAGGTATTTTACACGTTTGCCGAGACTTAGTAAACGTCTACAAGCTCCAAGACTTTACAAACGCTTGGATGCCTTTACACGTTTGCGAGTGCGTTTCACTGCGTCAGTGTGTTCTGGACAGGCAAGCTGTGCAGACAAACATGGCAAACGTAAATGTTAAGTTGTGTCGACTATTGCGTTTGGCTTGACATATTTTTTAACTATAACATTTAGTAAAATTGTAACTTAGCCGAATCTGTACATTAAATATTTTTTGGAAAATCTTATTGAAATAGACATTATTATCGATACAGAGGCTGAATCTAGTTTTTAAAAATTTTGTCTGTCTGTCACCGCATCACGAAAAAAACGACTAAAGGGATTTTGATAAAATTTGGTATGATGATAGCTAGTTATCCAGGTCAACATCTAGTATACTTTTTACTGTGGGAAAATATATCATCTCTGAGAAATGTATACTAAAAGTTAAAACGTAAACAAAAAGAAACAAAGCGAAAAGTTCGGCAGAGAATATGGTGGGTGTTAAAAGGCCATAGTTATCGATTAACCAACTACTCATGGTTGATACACTGTTGTATACAGCGCAGCGTAAAAACACCCGTTCAGCACGAACTCGTGAGTGACACTAAACACGCACCAAAGTGTAAATACGCCACAAGCGCTTGCCGCAAGCTTCTTTTCATCTGTGTTCAGACTGATTTTGACAAGCTCACGCAAGCCAAACCAAACACCCCGTTCACACGCTTACACATTTGTGGACGCTTGTCGAGACTTGCCAAGCGTGTAAATGTAGCGTAAGATGCGAACACAATAGAAGCAACAAAAAAAAACAGGTATAAAAGAGATATCATAATGAATTGCTTAACCTCAGACTGAATGTATCATGAAAAAAATGAAATAGATCATACATGTAGCGCCCTCCTTTCAAGAAATCTTGACTATTTCATTTTGACGTTTGTTTATTTTCACGTTTGAGAACTTTATTAAAAGAGATAATTTTGCGGCCTGTCTTGTCGAAGTTTTGACAGTTTGACAGCTGTTCACTGTCGCTGTCAGTGTCAGTTGCACTCTAAATTAGATGATGTAAAAGTATTTTTTTGAATTCTTGATCCTTTGACCCCTTTACTTATTGCGAAACTGCACCATTTGTATTATTGAAATAAAAGGTTCATATTGATAAGTTGTATTAAATATTATTATATTGTGAATGTGAAGTGTTTATGTTACAAAGGAAAAGTTTACTTATGAATTAATTGTTCATTAATTTTGGTAAAACTAAACTAAAAAAATACCCAGCCAATCAAAATCATGTGTAGTTTATCAAGGTGAGTCGTATTATATTTTTAAGTCTTTGTTGTTATATACGCTCACATATATTATAGCTTTACGCTCGTTTTGTAATTGCACAACAAATGTATTGAAACTGTAAGGTATGGTTTTCAAATTTAGCTAGTAGCTAAATAAGCATTTCTTCAACCTTGCAGGTTCTAACAAACTTTTATGTGGTGTGTGTGGACACTAAACATACATGCTGCATACACTGCTCTGCACAGTTGGTAGATATATATTTTTTAATATGAATAATTGTCATGATCAAATCAGGTCTGCTTAAGATGATCTGATACACTAGAAGCTGTGGGTTCGATTCCTACAAGGAGGAAATGTTTTTATTGTATTCGCCATACATATGTTTTATTCAGTAGGCTATTTGTAGGTACAAAGAAGGTTATTAAACTCAACTTCTAATTCTTATCACTGTAGTTTCCACAGTAAATTAGAGAATTGAGATAAAATAAAATTTAGTAAGTTTATTTTTTTTAAATAGGTAGTATGAACACATGAATAAGTAATAGGTTTTAAATAATTGTTACATAATGATGAATGTTTTAAACAAAGATTTCAACTTGTTTGTTAGTAAGCAGTTATTAACAAATAATAATGTTTTAACATGAATTGACATAGCATATATACATAAATGCTGAAGATGGTTATATATATAGTTTCAGTAATTAAAAATAAATTATTAATAAAATGCAAATATTATAAGTAAGTCTTTGCATCTTTTTTATCTAAATTATACATTTCTGTTATTCCCTACTATTGAATTAGGTAACTGTTCTATTTTAATTATTATCTTTCACTATTTACTTTTCTTTTATATATGTATTTATCAGTTACATGAAGAAACCACATGCATTGATAAAATAAATTTGAAAATGTATGTTAAATTTATTTTTAACTTGTTTTAATTGTCATGTTTTCTTACCTCTGGTTTCATTAAACAAAATAGACTAGCATTACATTTACTATATTAGATTTTTATTTGTGCCAAATATAACTCACTCGCAGATATTTTCACAGATAAGTAATTTTCAAGTGTTGCAAAATAGTACTTTAATAAGTTCATTTGGATTATTTATCTTACTTTTGCATATTGTGTGTCAGACTAACTAATATGATAGATGGAGCATGGAAAACAGAGAGAAATACAAAATAGCTTATGGATAAAATCTATAAGCTATTCCCTACTATTCTATAATATTCAGGGACTAAAGAGATACTGCTTTAAGTGCTTTTTGAGAGAGACAATGATACCATGAGAGTCAGTCTCTTCCATGACCATGATTGCTGTAAAGCATTTGAAACATGTTGGAAACCAAAAATCTAAATAAATCTGTGAAAAAATCATTTACAGTTTTATTTGAAAATATCAAATATTTGTGTAAAACTAAAAAGTATTATATATCTTTAACGAAATTAAAGAAAATTTAACTGATGTTTTAAATACATACATAAATCATTGGAATTATGCATATGTGCAATATTACAAAACTTAGTTTTTACAATAAGAGATCCTTCTGAGAAGGATATTTGATGTAAGGCCACATTTTAAGAATATGTATATCTTATTATTAAATAAAATATTCACATGAATTTGATTGTTGGGTTACATAACTCTGTATATACATAAATTTTTATGTTTTTTATGACATCTATACATGTAATAAAATTCTGAGTTGAATCTGTATTGATTAAATATTTTTTAGAAAATTATATTGAAATAGTCATTATTTTTGATACAGAGACCTAATCTATAGGTTTTAAAATTTTTGTCTGTCTGCTGATCTATCGATCAATCTAAATCCAATATATTCCGGGAAGTGTTATGGTCAAGTCTTGGTTTTTCAAAACAAATTATAAACGCCTACATAAACATTGGAAACTTAGATCAGCTTTATTCTAAATGCTCTATCTATCTATCTTATTGCCTTAGTCTGAGTTTAAGTATCAATAAAAAAAAAACAATTGAATTAATTATTGAGAATGGCTTTAAAAATTACCTAGGTGAACAGAAATTAATATCTGTAGGTGGATGGTGTAGTGTAGCTCGGTGTAGGGGGCGTGGACGTCGGCGTGGTGGCCGCCCTGCACAGCACCATGGCACTCCTCGTTGATAGGTAACCGAACCGGTGACACCACTACTCCTCCATACTCCACACCACAGTACACACCGTTTACCCTTACCGGTTCGTCTCTCGCCACTTGCCAGTCATTGCCACTACAGCCTGCACTTAGCACGCGCGCTTCCACTGACGAACTGAATTACGCGGAATCATGTAAAGTATTTAATTTTTGTTTCTTTCGGTTTTATACATATAACTGGCAAGGCATTTTATTTTTCATTAATAGTCCTATTTCGTTAATTTTTCGCCAATTATAGCATGCGTTTCAATTCTAAATCTAAATAGCATTTAGAATTTATATTTTGTGTGCTATTTTTCTATTATATCTATGCGGCATGATATTGCAGTTCTAATTAGTTTTATAACGTAGTGTGTTATGTTTCTTACTGCTATTAACCTGTAATACAGGCAGTATTTGCTAAAATTTATTAAATATATCTTTTGAAATAAACGATGAATGTCGTATATTGTGTTATGTGATTTAATAAACCTTATAGCTTATTACTATCTAAGCTATTATCTGGAGTTAACGCGGACCAGACGTTGTTCTGCACTCACATTGTGTTTCAATGTTTTTTTTATTTCTTTTATTTGTTTTAAGATTTACATGTTTATGTTTTTAAATTAATTTCGATCAGTGTTTATAACATTGTCTACCTTATAATAGTTGATATTATGATTGTATTTGAGTAATTTTATTTTATATGAGATATTAATTAGATACCTATCTATACATACTACAAATAAATAGTATAACTTATAAAGAAAAAACAATAGGTAATTTACAAAAAAACCGGACTGCGTAAAAAGAGAACTAAAAAGATGATTCGATTTGGGACAGACATAAATTCTCAAAACTATAGATTCGGCCTCTGTATCGATAATAATGACTAATTCGATAAGATTTTCCAAAAAAATATTTAATGTACTGATTCGCCTTAGTTATAATCTATACATATAATAAAACTGTCTGTTACTGCATTAAGGAAAAACTACTGGAGGGATTTTGATGAAATTTGGTATGATGATAGCTGGTTATCCGGGTCTACATATAGGATACTTTTTACTGCGGGAAAATATCTCATCTCTGAGAAATCTATACCTAACCTTAAAACGTAAGCTGAGATTGCGGACGAACCCGAGCGAAGCGAGGGTAAGTCACTAGTGTATGAATAAATTAATGAATTTAAATGTGACAGAATGGGGCGGTCTCTTATAATTTGCATAATATTATCACAATAATATTTACTTGTACCAGATCAGGATATAAAAATGCTTAATTTATTTTTATAAATCGTCTTTTTATTAAAATGGTCGTTTTGGCGTAATCACCAAAAAAACATATATTAACGGATCTAATTACTTTTTAATGGGATAGTAATGTACTGTAGTATACGCTTAAAATTTGTAAGTTATTTAATGACGATTATGATTTTTATTAAGATGATACCGTTAATCGTTCATGATCAGGTAGAGTATACTATCGCCATGGGGTCTCATCACGAAGAAAGGAAAATTAGTTCAAATAAATATTCATAGATGACGTTACATGTATCGATTTGTTATTAAAGTTGTGTTAATTAACAAAAGATAAAGATAGATCCTAAAAAGGTATATTATTGTTTTAAAAAATATTCTAAGTAAAACAGAATAATGTCAGACAGAATGCAACGAAACATCAATCAGATGATGGGTTTGTAGTGTGTATTTACAGATGGCGCTTTTACATTTTATGAATAATTTATCACCTTTAAAAATTGTTGAAATTACTGATTTTTGTTTTTCGAATGCAGGATAAATTTTGCAATATTTGCCATACGTTACTTTGCACATATTTATAAAATAAAACCGTTTAATAAAAATCCAATAACTATTTGAGAATCAACGTCATCCTTTATCTATTCAAGCAAACAAAAATAGCCCGAATTAACGTTGTCCAATTTATTTCTATGGGATGAACATCTGTACTAGTATAGTATTATATATATGATCTGTGCTATCATCCAATCGGGCGCACTTAAGGCCGGTTTAGACTAAGTCATTATACACGGTACACTCAGTGTATAGTGTCTTAATCTAATAAGGACATACTACATATAATAATTATCAGTTATCTTATTTGTCGCAGACGACAACCTATCTTTGTTTCTATTTTTACGCGTATGCCTCTCTGCGTCAATATTTGATTTGCTACTGACTTACCTTACGCAATAAAAAAATCTTCAAATCAATTATTAAACGAAATGTGTAAGTAAAACGAAATGTTTTCATTGTACGAGAATATTCACCTGCAAAACTAATTTTAAAGTACTTTTGTAAAGTAAAACTACAAAAAAAGCTCTGGCTTTATGCTATTAGTAATAATGTATGGAAGTCTGCCCGATTTTTTTACATTTATGATTATTGTTCCTTAGATTAGCGCGTTCAAACAAACAAATAAACTCTGCCTCTTTATAATATTATAGTATAGATGATCCACTGATGTTGTTGACACTTGTTCGAGTTCTATTCACTCTTTCACCGTATCTACATACATATATTTATATATTTTATCCTTTCTTTCGTAGTTATTCTTCCTACAAGAACGTTTCCGAACATTTTTTAAATATAATCGTGTTAAATTATATATCGGTTATTCTACGAACTAAGGATGAATCTGAGACTAATTTCGGCCAGTTTTTTTGTACATTCTAGTTGCGATATTTAGTTTATTATCAAGAGTATAACGTCTTTTAGTCTATAATAAGTGGAACAGTCAAAACATTTTGAGATTTTAAATTTATGTCCATTTAAAGGAAATCAAATCACAGAAAATTTTCGAGTGTGACCAGGAAACTAATTTTAAATGAATAACTCGGAAAGTATTGATTTTTCGAAAAACTTCTATAGTACACGTTTTGCTTAGAATTGTTCCTTCTATTGACTCCTCCTATATGAAATGTGCTCGCTGATAATGGTTCTAGCGGTCGTGATCAGCCGACTAACTCGTATTTTAAAATTTCCTAGTTTATTGAAAGTAAATATTTGCATATAACAACAACCTTAAACCTCCCTTTTTATTAATACATATTTACTTTTGTATTTTAACTACTATAATTAGAAAAAATGCAAAACGATATTGTCTGTGTAACGTATAACGGCGTATTAATCATTTAAAACACTCATAATGCACTATGTTGGCAAGCGCACCTGCCCTTTTTTAGTTGGTCTTATTATATTCTTGTGGTATTTGTTTTATGAAGATGTAACGTTAATAAAATAAATTCAGAGCCGTGTATACTTTAAAAAAAAAAAACAAAAACTGGAATTACTAAAAGGTTAAAATGTTAGTCCGTACTTGGACCTTCATCCTTTTTGAATTTTCGAATTCCAAGCCTTGATTTCCGATAATTGAGTTTGAATGAATATTAATCAAAATTAATATCTTTTGTACACTTTCAAATACCTACTACAGACCAAAAATTTGTTTTTATTTTAAACACGTGAAGAAGTTACATCTACCACGAAACATAAACTAACGTACTCACTATATTTCGCGTCGTCATCGCGTCGACCTTAAGCGACAGCTATTACTTATTAATTAATCACAATAATTAAAAAGTGCCGGACTGTCTCTGGCCGGACGTACGTGGGCTGTGATTATTTGTAATACAATACTAAAAGAAGCGGTATCGATGGTATCTGATAAACTGCACATAGATAACGTGGTTAAGACTCAAAAATTAGGCTGATTGACTTTCATATTCAAAGTGTTTTTATCAATCAAAGCGAAATTATATTTAACGCTCTGACTTAATAATTTAATTATAACTCTAGGTTGAACGACGAAAAGGAGCGATCACCTTGTCTAGAAAGCGAGAGTAGTGAAAAGATGTGGGGAGCGCCGCGACGGATACTGTTGGACGTACTGATGGCTTGCTGGGGGCTCGGTACCTGGCTCGGTGTCAACGGACTCTACGTACAACTGCCTCTCCTCGTGGAGCGGCTACCCGAAGGATGGGCTCTGCCATCCTCCATGACAGTCGCCATCGTACTCGCGAACGTTGGTCTGATAATTTACGCCGTCATGAAGAGGCTGTTCCCGCGCATGTCGGACGCGCCTTACATATATTCGTTGCTGGTAATTGGAACCACGGCTTTATTCCTCAACTCGTTCCTGTACACCGAGACCGCTCCTATCGGTGGTAGGGATCGATCAGTGTCATTCCTCGCATTAACATTTTTCGCGGCACTCGTTGGTTGCACGAGTTCTGTGCTGTTTTATCCGTATTTGCGGCATTTCCGTGATATATATCTAGCTACTTATTTAGTGGGTGAAGGACTTAGTGGTTTCATACCGAGTATCCTTGCACTCATTCAAGGAGTTGGCGGCGAACCAGAGTGTATATATTCGCCGGATAACTCGACTGTAGAAGCCATATATCCTCCGCCGCGTTTCAATTCGACGGTGTTCATCATATTGCTCGGTTGTTTGTCAGCCATGAGCTTCATAAGCTTCACAGTAATAGACAATTGCTCCATATTTAATTCGGAGCGTGTGAAAGTATCAGAAGCGGCGAAAGAAGAGGAGGCATCGACGATGGACGAGTCGATTTTCCAGCCAAAGTGGGTTTTAGTATTTATATTAATGGCGTGCTTAAACGCGTTAATGAATGGAGCTCTCCCTTCGGTGCAATCTTATTCGTGCATGCCATATGGTACGAGCACCTACCATCTTGCAGTGTCTCTGGGGGCGATGGCGAACCCGATGGCGTGCTTAGCGGGCGTGTGGCTGAAGCCGGTGTCGTCGCGGATACTCGTCGCCATGCTTTCTTTTACGCTGTTGCCTCTGAGCTACATTCTGGCCACGGCGCTGATGAGCCCCACGCCGCCCCTGCACAGAGAAACTAGCGGACAAGTTTTAGTGGTAATGTTGATATCATTTTAGTTTTTATTTTCAGTCTTACACTAGTCAGACTAATTTAGTCTTTATTCAAGAAAAACATTTTGACACTATGTTTTTAACACGCTTTTATAAGCTTCACTTACTTTTAATTAATTTCTTAGAAATTTACCTGGCTACCTATCTATCTAACGGAATCTTTGAACGCGATTTTCACCCACTTCAAAACTTCAGATTGAATTGTAACTTTGCACATTTAACAAATACCAAGGAGAATAATAATTTAAAAAACTAAAAAAACACGCTTTTATAGCAGATCGAACCAAAAAATAGACAGTAAATTATAGTTTAAAAAACTAAAAAACTCGTTTCAGGTAAATTCCTAAGAAATTAATTAAATTTCTAAGAAATCTATTGTTAACTGTAACGCCGGCGTGTCCGCGGTCGTGGAGGGATTAATGATGAACTGAACTAAAAAGTAAAAAAAAATTACTTATACTAATAATAAGAATAAAGTGATTAACGAAAAAAATAATGCAATTGTGGAAAAAGCACGGAATGCTTGGTATCAGTTGCTATAAATATTCCATTGGTACTATGTATTTCTAAAAGCATAGTTAGTATAAAAATATTGTACAAAGCTGTCCACGCTTTTTTCGCAATAACATTAATTTCCTCACTTTATTCACTTTTATCACTCTGCTCACTTTAATCACATTTTAGTTTTTTAATTAATGTTGACAAAGAATCTAACTAGTGTGTAAAATTTTGTTTTTTCTGCTCTCTTCAAATAAAGAACTTTTTTATAATGGTTATACTGATTTAGTCTAGACTCCGTCTGGTGTGACGGTTAAATCAATTCTTTGGTTATGGCTCTTAGATAAATGTCATGTAGTCGTGAAGTTTCTACAAAGTGTGTCTAATCTGCAAGTAAAAGTTAGTCAGAAGAGACACATGAAAAAATGTAATATATTGATTCTTTGAAATTGACGCATCCGATTGCTACTATTCGATATACAAGTATAAAAATTAAAAATTTACATAATCCCTGACATCTTGGACCATCGATCATCTTGGACCGAATTTCATCAAACATAGCTAAGAACACTCCCGACTAATTCACCTTTCAAACAAAAAAAAAAAACAATCATAATTTGTTCATCCGTTCGGGAGGTACGAGGCCACACACTGACACACGCACAGACACGTCAAACTTATAACACCCCGTCGTTTTTGCGTCGGGGGTTAAAAATGGTGTTAAGGAAATTTAAAAAAGGTACATATACTTATAATGTAAGTACTATGTATATTTTCATTTGTCACACCAATATTATATGTACTGTCCATAAGCTTGTGAGCGAGTGTGTTTGTTACTTCATCACGCTATTTTGGTTCTTTCCATTAATATTATATTAATAATTAAGCGAAACTATAATGGACAGTACTTTATATCTTGAACTAACCGAATTGCGGAAATTAGTATAGTATGATTTTATATAAGACCAGCAACTCACCGGGTGCCTCCCTAGACGTTTAACAGTTACGGTCAAAACTACTCAACGGTCACATTTTTCAGCTTCAATTGAATGTATTATGATCTCTGACAGTAAACATATTTTTATCGGATTAAAAAATGATCTATAATACTCGACGGTAATGTAGCTTCTAATAAGTTAAAGAATGATCAGAATAGGATCAGTAGTTTCTGAGATTACCGCCTCCTACAAACTGTATCACTTTATAATATTAGTGTAGATGATATGAGAGATTTTAAACATCTATTGAATATTGCTTCCCGTTCCACAGATCCTCGCGTGGGTGTCGGTGTCCGCACTCATCTCGTACGCGAGGATGTGGGTGTACAGCTTCGCGCGGAGCGGAGGAGCGCGCGGCATGCGCGCGTGCGGCACTGTCACGCAGCTCGGCTCCACCCTCGGCTCGCTCTCCTTGTTCTTCATCGTCAACTACACCCACCTCTTCACGCAGCCCGAGACCTGTCCGCTGCCTATATAGCGCTACCCCAACTACAATCTTTCTACAATCGTTATCTCTAATAGTTATGAAAACGTCTACAAACAGCAATAGTACCTATTTATATAGTTTTTTATATCAATTGTAAAATAGAATCGCTCTGAAGCCCACCGGGTTAAAAACATTGCCAGGTTGTCAAATAAAGCAATCATTTTGAGTTCAATATCCTGCTATCTTCCTAAGCTTTGAATGCCTCACAAGAGTTAGACAAATACCTATGTACCTGACATAGATGCGTATAATATAATAATGAAATATAAATAATATAAGGCACTGCGGAGATAGCGCCTAGAAATGTGATTTAAGTGTAAGCTAAATTATATTTGTATCATTTCATTAGCTAGTATCGTCTATAGTCAGGTTAACCAATGTGTCTCGGTAACGACATGCTACTCATATAACTAATTTCGAAAATCGAATGGATGGGCAAAACCCATCTATCCCTGTCTCTTTTTTATGGGCAAATAGTGTGTGCATACGCACTTTATTACGCCAACCATAACTGTGCATACTGCACATAACTTTGTGCATTTGCACTTTCGATTGATAATATAATTTTCATTCCCCTCGAGGTACGACAATATTCACGTATTAACACGCGTATATTATTCCTAGCAACATACAGGTATATCGTAAGCTTCAATTTATGTATAAAATATATGTAATAGTAAAAATATTGAACATATTGAAGATGAAAATGAAGAATGCAAGGTGACTAGAATTAGGAGCGGGCGGAGGACGAGTGAGATACAGGTCTAGGAAACATTTTAGCTTAATTTAATGTCATAGTTTTATTATTATTTCAAACTTACGTTTATAAAAGCCGTGATCGTTTTATTTATTTTGCAAAAATGTAGTTTTGATTTCTGCGAAGATAATAAATATAGATATTATGTATTTATAGCGGTTGTCTCATGTACTTAGGTATGTATTCGTTATCATTGCGTTGTACGTAATATTTACGTAACTTAATACTTGTACTTATTTTTGAAAATATGTGCGTTTGACGTGTCACAAGTAACTATGACAAATATATACTGTAACACGCTGAGTGTGTGCACGTACATAATATGTATGTACATGGGACGTCCTATGATATTGGAACTCGCAGGCCGCAGCTGTTATATTAAAACATATTCTTAAATAGTGAAGTAATTTAAAAATATTTTTATTTATGTTATTGTTATGCGTAAGTCGTAAAGAAATCGGTTGGTATTCAAATTAATGAATTGTGGCCAAACTTGTACATCGAATATTCATGTATAGGGGATGTTTGGGACATACTAATGATTGTACGCATGTCGTCAATGTTTACAATTTTTATTTCTTTTTTTCATCGATCAAAAAAGGACTAGATACAGAATCCCATGCAAAAGTTCTCTTAAAACTGTCACCAATTGTGTTTAGGTAATTATCCTGGTTGAAATAAATATTCAAAAATGTAAATTTAACCTTAAGTGCAATGCTAGAAGTTGTTTTCACAATAAAATTTTACAACCGATACGCCAACCGCCGGACGCCGACGCGCGTCGTCGCCGTCGACTTAAAAATTGTTTTTACGATGATTTCTTGACAAAATATCAGTACTTACAATATAGTAATAACAGTTATATAATGATAATATATAATTAATTATATAGTGAAAATATGAAACTACCTTTTTGGCGTTCTAAATGTGTGATTTTTGCAATTTTTAAACGAGCACCGAGGCATGTTTGCCGTCGGAGCGTTCGAATGCTACTACGTTAAGAGCGCGCTCAAATGTTTAAATGAGCGCTCGTTCGGTGATGACATTTTTGGTCGCTTATAGTGTATCTAGTACTTTTTAATCAATGCTATTTTTCTGTCTTCTCCCGCTGCAGTCAAACGTCTGGACGCTGGACGGATTTCAATAGGTCTTTTATTTTATAGGTAGTTTAAATTATAAAGAGACGTCACGCTGAGTGGTTTTAAGTTCGATAAAAATCAGCGGGCAGAACCGCAAGTAGTGTAGTACGCGTATCATACCTAAATGCGCCGCTCTGAGAGATACTTACTGAGTGATTTTACTTTGTTAGCAATATTCACGCCTGCGCAGACACTTGCACCTTCCAGATATAATACGCGTACTATAACCATAGATCTAGAGAATGGACTGAGCGATACTCTCATGAAATTGAACACTCTCTAGAAAGAGAGAAAACGACCGTGGGCCCAAACCTGTCATTTATTCCTTCATAATAATTTTAATTTATAAATGGCATGTAAAAAGATTATAAATACATATTGGAATATAAAATGGTTATAAATATTTATCTTCATTAGGTAATTGTATTTCAATGAATACAGAAGACTTCTGGCCGTACATTCGTTTTATCTCTGTCGCGCCTTTCCGCCATTTTTAGCTGACGGTTGGCAAAGAAACACTCAGTCCACTCTCTATGTCTATGACTCACATAGTGTGAGTGAGAGTACCTACTTGTGTAATTGTTGATGGCAGTGACGCTTCCCAGATGTGATAACGCTCCACGCTCGCCCCTGGCGCGTGGGGACGGTGCAGAGTATATCTTTGTTGATAATTGAATAGACAATAAAAGATGTTACCTTTTATCTGCAATTTTATTTCTTTTATATACTTCGTAATATAATTTTACTTCCATTATCTTTAATAATCTTAGTTATTCTACCACATTCCCGTGTTATTTTTTCCTTCTATTGGTATTTTACTTTACACAAAATAATTTACTTTTGTTATTTCCTTCCAGGAAAATTCTATGTTTAGTTTATGTTTGAAAATTTTATAGCCATTTTATGTTCTTGGAAGTTCTATTCTACTAAATACCTGCATATTATTAAAATGTAGGTTTCGTGTTTGTTGGTTTGCAAAAGTGCCAAAATTATTAAAAAAATCACGTAAAATAAGTACTTGTTAATTTATTTCGCAAATATTTGCGCGCTCATGTGGTTTCAATTTGGAGTTTTGGTAATTTTTTTATTTTACATGTACATTGTACACGTACGTATGTATAAATCTATACTAATACTAGCGACTCGCCCTCGCTCCGCTCGGGTTTGTCCCTGGGGTGGAGTCTGGGAGGACCACCCTTATCCTTATCACTTAGGGGTATGAAAAATAGATAGTAGCCGATTCTCAGACCTACTGAATACGCATATAAAATTTGGTAAAAATCGGTAAAGCCGTTTCGGAGGAGTACGGTAACAAACATTGTGACATGGAAATTTTATATATAAGATTATAAAGAGGTAAATTTTGTGAGTTTGTGACGTTGTAGGGCGTAATCTCTGGATCTACTAAACCGATTTCGATGAAATTTGGTAAGAAGATAGTTTGAGACCCTGGGAAGGACTAGGATACTTTTTATCCCGGAAATCATCCCTTAAGAGGGTGAAAATGGGGATGAAAGTTTGTATGGGAAATCACCCTAGGGACGAACCCGAGCGAAGTGAGGGTGAGTCGCTTGTATTCAATATATATCTAACATAATTTGAGGGTCCCCACCTAATGTTTAGGATATAGTAGTAGCCCAATCAGGAGATTTAGAATTTTGAGCGTCTAGTATGCACTATGTAGATTAAAAAAACCTATATTTTAGTAGGTATTGTACGTTCCCTGCCTCATTTGTTCAAAGTTTAAAAGGTACATGAATACGTATTAGCCACTTATTTGCAGCAAAAAATGACTGAGAGGCGGCCCACCTCGGTGGGTGGTGTACCTACGCGGGTTGCTCCTGGTACTTCTCTGACAGCAGAGTGGACCGTGGGAGCAACCCCATGATTGTTGTGGTCTGCTTCGGCAGACCTGTCGTCGGGGCGTTGTGGTTAGTGGTAAGCGATCCTGCGACGGCTCATTAAGACGGGGGAGTTCCGTTGGGTTTTAGTGTGTAGTACTAGCTTTGCCGGTGAGTCTTACATAACCACCTATGTTTAATAATAATAATATGTTGGGACATTAACACACAGCACAATCTAGTTCCATGGTAAGCTACGAGACTTGTGTTATGGATACCAGATACTTCATACACTACACACATATAATTTTAAATACATACATATTATAAATATAAACACCCATGACTAGAGTACAAACATTCGTGCTTATCAAATGAATGCCCCCAGCGGGACTCGAACCCGCGACCGCTGGCACAGCAAGTAGGGTCTATACAAACTGAGCCAAACGTGTCGTCAAATTTATGCAGGCGGTATGTCTAAATGTATTTCCCAACGTTAAAGCAAAAGGGTTAATTGACTCAATCGAAGATCAGCGAAAGTAAGTTAATTCTTTTGAGAGGTATAATATAAAATTCTGGTCGTCTGTTCTTTTCAAAAGTTAGGTAGGTACTATTCAAGACTACTGACAATCCCCTGGTGGGTAGTTAACATTTTTGTAGAAATCTTGCTAATTCAAAAAAGGAAATAATGATATTAATATTATAAATGCGCAAGTTTTTTAAAATTGTCGTAAAAATGAAACTTGAAGCGGGTGAAATAGGGGTAGTAAGTTTTCTTTAGGAACAAATAATTTCTTAAGTTAAGGTCATTAAAATTCGGTATAATGACAAAGGTAGGTACCTATTATAATTTTGGTAAGAAATAAATATTAGGTACATCTAGTCAACAAAAAAAACTTTTTAACAAAAACATAAAACCCGACTTCAAACAAAAGCACTAAAAAGTAAAAAATAACTGATTGCTAGTTTTCATTTACTATACATACCTAATCAAATATTTTCGAAGTCGGTGTGCTTTGCATTGTATCGACTAGCACCGACTTCGAAATTATTTGATTAGATATGTATAGTAAATGAAAACTACCAATTAGTTATTTTTTACTTTTTAGTGCTTTTGTTTGTAGTCGGGTTTTATTTTTTTGTTAAAAAGTTTTTATTTTTCCCTTTTTAGTGTAGACAGTAGTAGCAAAGTAAGAATTCTAACGTGTTAGGCTTGTCAAATCAAACAAAATAAGCCCAAACTCAAAGTATCTACTATTAGCGGTTGAAGAGTTCCACCTATCCACTTTCTGGCCTTACCATCAGATCAGGTCAACAGTACCGAACCACTGTACTATCAACGGAAATAGAAACACTTGCAAAGTTTCAAGTCAATATGACAATTAGAAGTAGGTTAAATTCATCATTAGCTATTTTTCCACCCTTAGGGGTGGTATTTTTTTAAATTTAAATGGGACCAATCTGGAAGTATACACTTTCAAACAAAACAAAAATTGTCCAAATCGGTTAATAAATGACGGAGTTCTGAGGTAACAAACATAAAAAAAATATACAACCAAATTGTGAACCTCCTCCTTTTTGAGGAAGTCGGTTGAAAAGAGCATGTAACATGTAAATATATTTAAATATCACCAATATCGTTAATTAAAGTGTTTCTCGATAAATTACTAACTTTGAACATTTAAAGCTTTTAATATACAAACATACATACCTAACAGTATTCGACACATTCAGACGGACTCGCCAAGGCCAGACCTATTATGCGTTTCCTGCTTTATCTCTTACCATTACTATTTTTTTTATATGAGAATGTGTAGACAAAAAGCGGCGCAAAATAACTTTTAATAGGTAAAAGGTTTAAAATTAAACAGGACTAGAGAAAAGAATTTTCAATTGTGGTCGGGTTGAAAGTGTCACTTAAATAACTTATACAAAAAATAAAAACTTTTTAACAAAAAAATAAAAACCGACTTCAAACAAAAAGCACTAAAAAGTAATAAATAACTGATTGGTAGTTTTCATTTACTATACATACCTAATCAAATATTTTCGAAGTCGGTGTGCTTTGCTTTGTATGGGCTGGCACCGATTTCGAAAATATTGGATTAGGTATGTATTTAATAGGTAGGCTTTAATTACTTAGCCAAAGCACACCGACTTCGAAAATATTTGATTAGGTATGTATAGTAAATGAAAACTACCAATCAGTTATTTATTACTTTTTAGTGCTTTTTGTTTGAAGTCGGTTTTTATTTTTTTGTTAAAAAGTTTTTATTTTTCCCTTTTTAGTGTAGACAGTAGTAGAAAAGTAAGGATTCTAACGTGTTAGGCTTGTCAAATCAAACAAAATAAGCCCAAACTCAAAGTATCTACTGTTAGCCGTTGAAGAATTTCACCATCCACCTTCTGGCCTTGCCATCAGATCAGGTCAACAACACCGAACTATGTACTATCAACGGAAATAGAAATACTTGCAAAGTTTCAAGTCAATATGACAATTAGAAGTAGGTTAAATTCATCATTCGTTGTTTTTCCACCCTTAGGGGTGGTATTTTTTTTTGAAATTTAAATGGGACCAATCTGGAAGTATACCCTTTCAAACGACACAAAAATTGTCCAAATCGGTTAATAAATGACGAAGTTCTGAGGTAACAAACATAAAAAAAAAAAAAAAAAAAAAAAAAAAACATACAGTCGAATTGAGAACCTCCTCCTTTTTGAAGTCGGTTGATAAGAACAAACCTTTAACTAACTTATTAAAAGAATTTTTCAAAAAAATGTATTCAGCCTTTATAACAACCCGCTGCCGGGCACGGGCGTCCCTTCAATACGAGGGGGATCAGGCCATAGTCCACCACGCTGGCCAATTGCGGGTTGGCGCCGGTGGACTTCACATGTCTTTAAAGACTTATTAGGTTCGGTTTCGACTTAAAAATATTTATTTCCATAAAAAGGTTCTCTCGGATATGCAGGATTATCACGATATTTTCCTTTACCGTAAGACATATGGTAATCATGTTTGATGTTGGAAATGATTCTCAGACGAAAATATCAAAGGTGCGAGACCCGGGATTTGAACCCGCTTCACTCGTTTTCACAAGTGTTCGCGTTACCACTGGGCTATCACTGCCACTCTTCAAAAAAAATAAATGCAATGAAAGTAAATATTAGGTCTTTGCGCATGAAATTGTCGTTTAATATACCTACAGAAAGTTAAAGTAATTTTTTTTTATTTCTTTTTATTTCTATAAATTAAAAAATGCTTCCATGCTATCGATGCATCTCTGCCAGCGCCAGTGGTAATTTTTCAATGCCCTTCTTGAAGAAGCCAGGTGTACGGGAGCCAACAAACTCTTCAAAGGCATTTAGTACTGCCTCTCGGGTATTAAATTTTTTCCCTGTCAAGAAGTTGTGTCGGCGCAAGGTCTGATGAGTACGGTGGATGACGCAAAATTTCTAACCCTAGCTCGACTTGTAGCCCAGCAGCCCAGCCCATCTGTTGTGACGTATGAGGTCGAGCATTGCCTTGTAGGAGCAGCGGGGACGACCGATTTTTGCTTTTACCGAATTATTGCCGGCCATTCATAAATTACGTTTCAAATGGCCAGTAGTCGGTTTGCCTTTCATGAAAGAAAGGAACAAGCCTATGACGCCATTGTAGAGATTCTTTAGGCCTTTTGTCTTGAAACATTAAATTGTTCTCATGAAAATAATAGAATATCTGTCTGTGGCTGAAACTTACCTAGAAACAGCTCCGAGCCAAGCAAGTGCAACGTTCCAGTATAATATTATAGTGCAAAATATAAATATATCTACCAAGTTGCCGCTGGAGATTAACACATTTATATAATTTAAAGTATGTAACGAAAAATAAACTACTAGGTAAGTCGATTGCGTAATTGCGATGTCAAGAAAATTGCCTCACTTTTCATAAACGCAGCATTAATGTATTTGTTTAGCTTTCTTCTAGTTTATTCAACTGCTTCAATCCCACGTTAAGGCTTGTCATACACTATTTTGACAACACGTTTGGCTTAGTTCGTAGTGAACCTACTTGCTGTGTCAGAGGTCGTGGGTTCGAGTCCCGCTGGGGGCATTCATTTGTGTGATGAATACGAATGTTTGTAATCCAGTCATGTGTGTTTATAGTTATATGTATGTATTTAAAGTTGTATATGTGTAGTGTATCAACTATGTGGTATCCATAACACAAGCTTCGTAGCTTACCACTGAATTAGATGGTGCTGTGTGTTAGCACAGATTATATAATCTATATTAGTAGTGTTAGTGTCCCAGCATATTTATTTATTATTATTAATAGTTCAATAAATATTTCCAATAATTAATTAATTTAAATATTTCATGTAGGTAAATAGAAATTGTCAAGAAATCTAGATATTTTTTTTCGTATTTTCGCGCTTTATTAAAAATATTTTTCCCAAACATACATAAATAGTTTCCTTACATTTGTTGTTGTAACTTACCCTTAAGTGCCTATCCATTAATATCTCTATAAATGCAAATTTTCATAGAAGCACCCCTCTATTGCGTCCAAAGATGGACTTCTTTAGTTTCATAATCTCCTACTTCGCCTCAAAGAAGTTGACTTTAATAACAGCCTTCTTATGTTGGAAGCCAGGTAAGTGACTAACTGCTACGTTACTAAGACAGATATTGAGTTCATGTGGTCGAGCCCCGGGTCTGTCTGTCTGTCAAAAACTTATCTCCTGCGCAGATGGTTGGTTTATATTTTTTGTTAATTTAACATAACATTAATAACAAATTGATACATGTAATTGTGTTTTTTGTTCTTGATGAGACCCCATGGTAGGTACTTGTATAATATGTACATTATAAATATTAATAATTAAATCTCCAACAGAATTTGTGAATAATAAGAACATAATTGCAGGTGGGTATTAAAACTTTTCAGTTTGTTTTAATAAAGATTTTTATTTGTATTAATCTAACCAAAATGATTAAACATAATATATAAAAAATAGAAGCTAACTAAAAAAATGTATGACACTACAATAGACAATAGTAGATATATTATCAATACAAACAAAGTTAAATATGTTGGGACTGTAAATGTATCTTTTTGAAAGAAAGAGGAAACGTACGTATGTAAACATAAATAGTTAATTCGATTCTCTTGACAGTGGCTCTTAGAAAGCATAAATATTGATAGAATCTTTGTTTAGAAAGTGCAATACGCTTTACACGAATTAAGGAGTAATTCAACTTGCTTGCCGTATTTACCGTTCTGATAATAAAGCACCATACCTATTTATGTAAACGTAAGATGGTCTCAATTTTTAAAATGACTAAATTTCCGCACTTAACTCTAAATCGATCCTTTGTGCGTCCTGAATCCTTTTTTTTTATCGTTGGGAAATGCATTTACGCACGAGGTGTGGGACTCACCGGCAAAGCCAGTACTACCCACTAAAACCCAACAAAGCCTTCCCCCGTCTTAATGGGGCGTCGCAGGATCGCTTACGCATTCAACTACGACGCCCCGACGCGACGGCAGGTCTGCCGAAGCAGACCAAAACAACCATGGGGTTGCTCCAAGGTCCACTCTGCTATCAGAGAAGTACCAGGAGCAACCCGCATGGTACACCGCCCTCCGAAGAGGGCCGCCTCCCTGTGCGTTTCTTGGCTTCGCGCCCGGCTGTATTGCCGGGCACTACTGAGCCCCCCCCACCACGACAAGGTGAACGCACGTTGGGGGGGATGTGTCCTGAATTCTGGCTAACCAAGCCAGTCCAACTACGCCCAGAAGCGCAGAAGTTTCGTGGGTGGGTGGGTGTTACTGATCCGAAGATTTCTTTGCGTTGATGATCATTGCCTTGCATTCCAGGATTACGTGTACGAAATTTTAGTGAATAAAGCTAAACAAATTTAATATTACTAAATACAAAATTTATTTAAATATTAATTTTAGAAGATGTAAGTGAGCTATTGCGACATGGTCGTGAAGCGGGACTACGAGTGCGCGTGGTCGGCGACTTTCGACGGATTCCAGATCTGCCGCCTTACCGCACATTCAGAGAAGGGATGCTGCTTGACGTACGATGTGAAAATGTTTCTCTTGTGCTGGATGAAGTGAGTGTTATTTATTTTTTACAATTTTAGAATGTTTTCCTTGATGTATGTTATAAAATACATAGAAACCTATTAATAAAATATAATTTTCAGGCATCACAAACACGTGCTTTCAATTTACGACATTCTTGGCTTCTAATCGATGATTCGTTTTTCAATGTAACAAGTGTGGAACGTATTTTATCCGACACTCTGGTCCTGCCTGACGGAGACGTATCATGGATGTCACGGGACAACATGGTAGATGTGTACCGTGTTAAAAGTGACCAAAAATTGGTGGTGTCAGAGCTGGGATTTTGGGAGAGACAACCAGAACTTGAAAGACTTTGGTTGAAATTGCTCACTGCGGTGGCGAGAAGAAAGAATCTGAATAATGTTTATTTGGACTCAGCTACCATTGTAATTATGTTAAGGTTTTTACAATCACTGTGTGTTGTGTTTTAAAAAAACCTTTTTTTACTTTCTGTCTAGTTTTGCGAATCATAATAAAACAACTAATTCTCATTAAAAATTCGTACCCAATTCTACAAAACGTCTGCTTCGAAATCCTATACGCTTACGAATAGTAACCTTGTCATACTTGTATGTATCAGAAAATATGTAAGTAAATTGTTTAGACGAATATTAAGTTAAAATTGTTTCTTGTAACTAAAAACCTGTCCACAGATAACTCAACCGCAATATTTTAAAGGCTGGTCTGACCTCAGCAATCGGCAAATTGATACTTTCCCAAAGGTGACCTACCCGCTGCTCATGCTTTGCGGTGAAGATTTAAATTTTAGGTAGGTTGGTGCGGTCAGTGGGGTCAGTGCTGTCAGCAGCACTAATACTAGACACTTACATACGATTGATAAATGCACACAATGCGCCAATTGCTGCGAAAATATATTATCAAAATAAAAAATAATTGAGTTTTATCATTCATGAAATAACACATATACTGCACTGGAAAATTATTATCAGTAAATGAATGTAAATTAGTAAAAATTTAATGGTATATTGCTGCCGACAGAAAGTACTTACTCAAATTTTTGCTAAAATGTAACGCTACCACGGCCTCATTCTATAATTATGCCGCCATTCAATAATAGCTTTCTTTAATTTTTTTATATAAATTAGGACTTTATACTGTACAATTAATTACAAATACACAAATTATTTACAATTGGACAAATCAATATAATTAAGGTTTAACTTGAAATTATTGTCGCTTATTAATGTCGCAGACATATATGTTGTATGATTCGTCTGTTTGCAAATGCTCGAGCGTTTGTAAAATGCTGAAGACAAATTATGAAACGTTGCATTATCAAATACAGCACTGAAATAAGAGTTTCTGGTATTATGAAAAAAAAAGACCTAATGAGAAGCTTAGACAGAGAGGGCGTTATGACGAATTAAACAATATGCCATTCATGTCATTGGAAAACCATCGTAGGTTTAATCTAAAGCAAGTAGACTTGTACGGAGAGGAGCACAACGGCACGTTCGACGGGCTGGTTGGGCGCATGCAGCGCGGAGAGCTGGAGGTCGGCATCACGTCCATGTTCATGCGCTCGGACCGCTGGCGCGTCGTGCACTACTGCGCAGAGACCGTGGAGCTCAAGTTAGTTAAGCAGTAGGACATAAGCTATCAATTCAAATTACATTTTTGATATAACCAGAATTTTACTCGATCTAGGTTCTAAGTACTTCTAACACTGAAAATTAAGAACTCTAAATAAATATGCAGCTCGAGCTGCACGTTATAGTCGCTCTTATATATCAAGGGTCATGTGTCATAGTCGTGGTTGAGATGTTATGTAAATTGCAGGGGTGCATTTTTGTTCCGTCAACCATCGCAGTCCGCGGTGTCGAACGTGTTTGCGTTGCCGTTTAGCCGCGGTGTGTGGGCAGCAAGCGCGGCCGTGTTCGCCGGCGCGGGCGTCCTCCTCGCAGTGTTCGGGCACGTCGCGCGGCGGCATGTCCTGGACTCCATGGCGCGGCGCCTAACGCTGCCGGAGAGCTTCACTTATGCTATTGGCACTATTTGCCAGCAAGGTAACCTTTCTGTGATTAAGTTTCACCTACAAACAATATCATCTTTTACTACCGATCCTGGAATACAGGTAGACTTATAAAATGATTACTATGGGTATTTGTTTCGAGTTAATAGTGAGCTATTCCCTATTTCGATTTATTGCTTTGGCCTTATTTACTCGTATACCTACATTCCAGTTATTTTCAGGGTCGGATTTATCTCCACAGCTATGGTCAGTACGTCTACTGATGTTCTGCACTCTGCTGGCATCGCTCTTTGCCTTTACTTCATATTCTGCTAAAATCGTAGCGATCTTACAAGCTCCGAGCAACGCACTGAATACTATTGCCGATTTGACGCACTCGCCCATGGACATGGGAGTGCAAGAAACCACCTATAAGAGAGTCTATTTTGCTGTAAGGATCTGTAATATGTTTTTTGGAGACAGTATTATTTGACAAATGAAGTATGTGACTAAAAATAAAATAATTTATTGGCCAAAATCTCAAAATTATGAAGAAATAAAGAAGTAACATAAAAATTAAAAAGTAAATATGATATAATAAATAGTTCAATGTATAAGTATTTATACTAATTCTGCTTAATAGAATAAATCTTAACTTTTATCTTGATAGTTTCTTGTAAAACATAAAAGCAATAATAAATCTTAGTAGATTATTACTATATACTAGCATAGCCCGCGGCTCCGCCCGCGTTCAGATGACCAAAAACCCAATTCTTAGGTTTTACATATTAGTATACTCTTACATTGCAGTTTTTGTATTTTTTCTCAAAAATGAGACATTTTCCCGCGGTATAAGGTATCCTATATGTTGACCCGGATAACCAGCTATCACCATACCAATTTCATCAAAACCCCTCCAGTGGTTTTTCCGTGATGCGGTAACAGATAGACAGACAAAAATTCTAAAAACTATAGATTCGGCCTCTGTATCGATAATAATGTCTATTTCAATAAGATTTTCTAAAAAATATATAATGTACAGATTTGTCTTGACTGACTGATGGTCGTAGGAACGTGAAATTTGGAGGACATATTTCTTATATGATGTAGGCATCCGTTAAGAAAGGATTTTTTCTAAGGGTGTAAAATAGGGGATAAAAGATTGTATGAAACTCACATATATATATATATATATATATATATATATATATATATATATATATATATATATATATATAAGATTGTATGAAAATACACAGAAAGTGTTATTTAGATTAAGATAAAAAAATAATTATTATTTGATTATTTTAGAAATTCATATCCTAAAGGGGTAAAAGAGGGTAATAAAATGTATATGGGCAAAATATTATTTATGGTCAGAATAACTTGAAATTTTGTATTAAAGCTCTTCAATACAATTAAATAAATACGAGTTTTAGCATTTTTCGAAATTCAATCCCAAAAGGGGCTAAAATTTGGAATGAGAGTTTGTATGAAACTCGTTGTTTGTGGTTGTGCTGTTTGTACGGGGAAAAAATGTGTATGATTAGAATAACTTAAAACTTGGTATTATAGCTCTTCATTACAAATAAATAAACATGTATTTTGGTAACCTCTTGCCTTTGAATTTAATCTATTGTAAATTCTCCTTAAAGTTTGCATTGTAAAGACCATTAATATATCTCAGGGCCAGTCGTTAAAATAGACTAATCGACATTATAGCGGAACCTTTTTTTTTTAACGTTGGGAAATGCATTTACGCACGAGGTGTGGGACTCACCGGCGAAGCCAGTACTACCCACTAAAATCCAACAAAGCCTTCCCCCGTCTTAATGGGGCGTCGCAGGATCGCTTACGCATTCAACTACGACGCCCCGACGGCAGGTCTGCCGAAGCAGACCACAACAACCATGGGGTTGCTCCAAGGTCCACTCTGCTATCAGAGAAGTACCAGGAGCAACCCGCATGGCACACCGCCCTCCGAAGAGGGCCGCCTTCCACCGCCCACCGAAGTGGGCCACCTCCCTGTGTGTTTCTTGGCTTCGCGCCCGATTATAGCGGAACCTAGAACTAGACAGAACATCCACCAATGTGGTATATTTATGGTTAGTTTTTTAGCGTAAGCTAAATTAAGTGATTCTGGAGTGATTATATAAATGAACATATTATCAAAAAATCAATATGAGAACATATAAATTCAATGGATATTAAAACTGAGCAAATTCTTTGTCCACGCGAGCGTAGTCGTGGGCAGAAAGCTATAGCAAAATAAGAATTGCATTATATACATATTATGTAATTTAAAAAAAAAAAGGATAAGAAGGGAAACCTTAAGTTACGAGCGTACATTGCATTGGGCCCTTAAAAATAACGTACGAGTAGATGTTAGCCTGTTAGTATGTTTGTTAAAAGCCCATATTAGCTGAGATACATGATTCTAAAGTCGTAAACATTGTACAATACGAGTTGTATCATTGTACTCTCTTACTCTAATTTTGGAGATATGGGAGTAGAAAAATGTGCATAAATTAGAAGCAGTGGATCTTGCTATTTAGTATAGGTATTTACCTAAAATATTTTTTTATAGCATATACCTACGTTTAACATCTTTTAAGATGCTGAATATTTTGAGCTACAATCGCTAAAATTAAATTAATTTATATAATATATCTTTAAGAAAAAATATGAAACACGACCTTACTTTCGCAAATAATAAAGTATGTATTGCGAAAAAGTTTATTTTTTTCGTAGTTTGATTGCGGGCGACACCGGGAGTTCTGCTAATCCATACTAATATTATAAATGTGAAAGTGTTTGTTTGTTTGTTTGTTGGTTTGTTTGTTTGTTTGTCCTTCTTTCGCGTCGAAACGGAGTGACGGAATGGCTTGATTTTATGTGTGGAGATAGTTGGAGGACTGGAGAGTGACATAGGCTACTTAACCGCGGGAGATTATCTCATTCCCACGGGAAAACACAAACCCAAAAATTACTTGAAACTTGGTATAAATGCTCTTCTATACAATTAAATAAATACGTGTTTAGCATTTTTCGAAATTCGTCCCATAAGGGGGTAAAATAGGGAATAAAGTTTGTTTGAAACCTACCTGTTTGGAGTTTTTTTTGTGTACTTTTAGCGCGAGTGAAGCCGCGGATTCTGCTAGTATAAAATAAAATAAATAAATGTTTAAAAGCGCTGAGGTCCTTCGTTTATGTAGTTATTCTTTGATCGAGTGACGCGCGTTACAATACTTGTCGACTGACGGTTAGTTTGTATTGCTACTACCCGCAAAATTAGAAGATAAAATGTTTTTGATATTGTTTTGTTGTAAAATGATTTTATTTTATGTGTTTAAATAATATTAAATATTCTTGTTTTCTCGTATATTAAATGTACACTAATTCTGTTTTACTGGAAGAAACTAACATATAAGATATAGGCTCGGCCCAGTTTAGAATTTAGTGATCACCGAATGATGTATAAAATTATATTTATATTATAATATATATATACATGTAAGAATAAATTAGTTTCCATCAGTGTTGTATTTTTTGTCTTTTTCCGGTAAAAGTGTATACTTACTAAATATTAAAAAATAGCTATAGTGAATATCTTTCGCTTTCAATTCGTTAGTCTTGCTTAGTATCAACAAATATACTTATAGTAATATTCATTGTATAGGAGAGTAACGACCCGGCGACGCAGGCGCTGTACCGGCGAAAGCTCCTGCCGCTTGGCGAGCGCGCCTACCTCAGCGTGGTGGACGGCATCGCACGCGTGCGAACTGGACTCTTTGCATTTCAGGAGAGTGCTTTATTTTCTTGCTGAGTCCAAATACATTTAGTTAATTACACTGACTTAAGATAAATTATCATGATAATATAAAATTTGCAATAGTCCAATGTCGAGACGATGCGCTCGTGGTGGGAGACTTAGATCAGTACATAATATATTTGGATGTTTAAATTCATATTTGTGCACATTCAGGTGGAACAAAGCTCTGCATATGACATAATTAGCCAGACGTACACAGAACGTGAAAAGTGCGGGTTAAAGGAGATTAAGGCGTTCACTCTGCCCATGGTGGCGGTGCCGCTGCGCAAGCATTCCGGTTATCGAGACCTGTTCGCTGCGAGGTACCTATTAAAACTTGTCAATTTTATACTTCTATGATCCAAAATTCTGCTTTTTGCACCAACTTCGCCCTTATAATAAACTCACATTTTTCTTATAGTGACTGATCTTATGTTCAATACATTGACCTTGAGAATAATGTATTTTATAGAATTATAGTCTCTTATTAATTTGCAACTCGTGCAAGGAAAAGAGCTCGTGTTTGGGACATTTCTAATTTCATCATGATTAGTGAAAGATAAGGCGCAGCTAAACGTGCTTTCCACCGTGGGACTCGCCGGCTAAAAAAGTTAGTAGGTACTACCCACCAAAACCCAACAGAACCCCCAGTCTCAATGTCAGAACAGTACCAGCAGCAACCTGCATGGTACACCGCTCACCGAAGTGGGCCACCTCCCAGTGCATTTCTTGGCTTCGCTCCCAGCTCAACTGTTGGTGCTGAACGAGCTGGTGAACTTACACAGTTTGAAAGAATGACAATTAAATAAAAATGAAAAAGTAATATTATAATATACACACATATTTAATAGGTATAAGGGAAAGTTCTGTCGTTTTTGAACACGTGCACTTATGCGTTACCGATCCTTACCAAGAGTTCTGATCCAACTGAAACTGGTTTAAATAGTTATATTAGTACATAATTGATGATTTATATATATTTTTTCGAATTTAAGCCAGTTTTTTAAACTTTTAAAACTGTCTACATGAGTGAAGAAAAATTGCACTTATGACATTTTATGTTATATGAGTTCCAAAAAAGGAATAATGCAGTGAATGCAAAAAAAACCTGGTGTGACGTGTTTGGAGAGGACGCAGTAATAGCTCGAACATGCCAAAGGTGGTTTGCGAAATTTCGTTCTGGTGATTTTTCTTTGAAAGATCAACCCAGATCAGGAAGGCCATCAGATGTCAATGACGGAGAGCTACGCAGTATGATCAAGACAAATCCCACGTTAACTTCCATAAAAGTAGGCTTCAAGCTTGGAATTCATCAGACTACTGCTTTTGATCACATTGAAATGCTTGGTTTCGTGTCTAAAGTCTCGTTTTGGTGCCGCACGAATTAAGCGAAAAAAATTTATGGACAGAATTTCGATATGTTCTTCAAATCTTGCTCGTAACAAAAGGGGGCCGTTTTTGGACTACTTGGTGACTGGAGATGAAAATTATTATTATTATATTTTGGGACGTCAATACACAGCACCATCTAGTTCCACTGTAAGCTACGAGGCTTGTGTTATGAATACTAGATAGTTGATACACTACATATATATAACTTTAAATACATACATATTATAAATATAAACACCCAAGACTGAAGTACAAACATTCGTGCTCATCACACAAATGAATGCCTCCAGCGGGACTCGTACCCGCAACCGCTGGCACAGTAAGTAGGGTCACTACAAACTGAGCCAAACTTGTCGTCAAATTGCAGAGTTGGGTTGGGAAACTTTACCTCAGCCAACATATTCTCCAGATATTGCACTATCTGACTATCATCTGTTTAAGTCGCTGCAAAACTTTCTTGATGGAAATAAATATATAAATTATGATGGTGTCCAGTAAAAGAATACTTTACCTCCAAAAAAGAGGAATTCTTTTCCAGAGGGTTAGATAAGCAGCCAGATCGCTAGCAGACAGTTGTAACTAATAAAGGATATTATATTTTGGATTATTTTTTAATAAAAAGTGAAAAAAAAGTTCTTTCTTTTAGAAAAAAAACGACAGAACTCTCCCTTAGACGTATTTCGATGTAATGAATATTCGGCTACAAAAAGGTTTTTGGTTGGTGTGCTTATGAGGAGTACCTGTTTTGAGTCTTTAAAAATTAATTCATTTTAGGTACCTGTCTACACTTTGTATCTATAATATATGTAATATAGCGATATTCGCTAATTGACACAATTAAATTGTTCGTGACTGACATAACCTGCTTTTGATAGCGCACAACACTATCAGAGCATGTATGAAGTAATTTATAATTTACTAGCGACCCGCTGGCTTTGCCCAAGTAGTTTGAGAAATAATTTCTTATACCCACATAGAAATGAGCGAAAAGCACAGCTATTCCGCACCTTTCTTTTCTTCTCTACAAAAAAGAATATCCTGATGTTGGATTTTTGGTTAATGTTAATATGTAAAACTAGCGACTAACCCTCGCTAACACTACCGCTCGTCTAACACTCGGAACACAAAAACAAATCTATCCCACAGAAACCGTATATTTTTTCGGGATAAAAGTAGCCTATGTGTTAATCAAGACGATAACCTATCTCTGTGCCAAATTTCATCTAGATCTGTTCAGCTATTCTGGCGTGAAAGAGTAACAAATATTCATACTCACAAACTTTCACATTTATAATATTAATACGGATTTTTAAAATGGTGGTAAATTCTCTCAAAATCTCCTCCCCTATTCTGATCCTATCTGCGATCGTGTGGGTTACAACCGTCTGCTAACCGTTAACTAAACACAAATGATCATGTGTCATCGTCACGTTGTGTATGTTAGACTTCGATGGCAACGCGAGGTGGGTCTGATGGACCGGTTCCGGCGTGTGTGGATGAGCTCGCGGCCCCAGTGTGACGCGGGGCGCGGCGGTTTCGTCAGCGTGGGGCTGGTGGACGTGTTGCCTGCCGCGCAGGCGCTGCTCGCCGGCATGCTGCTCGCCATCCTCGTGCTGCTCGCCGAGAGACTGCTCCATGCCGTCAGAACGCGCTCTGTGACTTGTCATCGATGTAACGCTATGTAATAGGGTTGTATTGTAATAGTTATCTCGTTTGTATGCACGCGAATAATAACAAAACTTTTATGTTAGTTTATTAAGTTGGTTAGTTAATTCTTTATTGAACGATTTTCAAACATATGCTCGTTAGGGAAAGAACCTATTTTTTTCATTATTATAATAAAAGTGGGCAATTTATCAATGATATTTGCTTAGAGATATGTAGAAACAGAATAATTATTACTATTCGGTGCGATTAGAACTGCACGTCTGTGATAAAAGTAATATCGCTGCGATTAAAACTGCACGTCTGTGATAAAAGTAAAAGCTTAATCTAAATTACCTGCTAAAGTTTTTATTATTATTAATAGAAACACAAAATATTATTGAGGTGTTTTATTATAGTTATCATATATGTAGGTAATTAGGTATATACACATATCATCTTGTACTATCATTATGTACACTTATACAAATAATTAAAGAGGAAATAAAATACAAATTTCTGTAAATAAAGGGTATAACAAAAATTATGACGAGAATCTCATAGCCGATTTTGTAAAATATCAAATTAAATTCAAAAAAATATTGGCATATTTGTGATAAATTAAAAACTATTCAACTGTTGTGTGTGGCTAGCTTAGACCTCTGCAGATCAAGAGGCCCTGGATTCGACCCATGGCTCAGGCTCAAAAGGTTTATTATTGAGTTATTATTCAGGGTTTTTGTCAAAAAAATCATAGCATCAGCCAAACATTGATATTTTGATAGTGGGTTGGTAACATTCCCACGATTTAGAGAGAATATAAAGCTCTCGGTTTTACGCCTAGATATTTCTCCAATGTTGACTTGCCGATCGAATGAGAGTGAGAACTAGTACCTACATTATAATATTTCACAAGTACATAAATATATTAGTCGAAGTTAGATTGACGATCATGATTATAGTCTCAGAAGGATATAATTTCCGCTTTAAATCTTACACTCAAAATATATTAGATGAAACCACAGTGAAACCAGAATCCAACTCTGAGAATCCTTTAATTTCACTATCCACGTCCACTTGCAACAATCATTCTATTAATTACTGTACAGCAAAATGTATGAAAGAAGCTAAGCTTTATAAAAATACAAAAAATATATATTAGATATCTACACAATCATTATCTCAACTAAATTAACTTAACTAACAAACCTACTTTTAATTTAAGTTTATAAAGCATTCGAAAATTATTCGAACAATAATGACATTAAAATTGCCGTAAAACATAGACTTTGTATGCAAAAATAACAACAATTATTTAGATTTTGATTTCAGAAAAGTCACAATGGCTCTGCTGTTGATTTATGTCGTTAAAAGTATGATTCTCTGCGGCGGAACTGCCTTCCTTGCCGAAGCTGGAAGTTTGAATTTTAAAAATGTAAAATGTGACGTTGATCGGATTTGTTTTGACAAAAAGTTCTACTAGGTAATAGCATATCCGAGATAATTGGTGTCTGATATGAGGGAAAAGTAATCAGAAACTCAGGAACAAGACGATATAGAGTGTGAGTAGCATGACGGCGAGCAGCAGGTAGTCCAGCAGCTGTGCCGCCGCCGCCCACGCGCTCCACTCCGCGCTGCTGCCCTGCATCGTAAAACAGAAAGCAAATAAAAACTATATTTATACTAGCGACTCACCCTCGCTCCGCTAGGGTTCGTCCCTAGTGAATATTTAGGTTCAAATTTAGGTTTATATGTAAGTATATTTAATGCCGAATCATAAATAAATTAAAATTAAAAAAATGTCCAAAAAAACAAAATTTTTTTTGGGATGGACCACCCTTATCACTTAGGGGTAAGAAAAATTATTCTCAGGCCTACTGAATATACACATAAAATTTCATAAGAATCGGTCAAGCCGTTTCGGAAAAGTTTTGTTACAAACACTGTGACACGAGAATTTTATATATTAGTAATTAGAGAGATAGAGAGACATACGAAGGTTAGGTACATATATAAGTCATATAAGATGTTTATAAGCGAATTATTAAAGCAGCAGTGAGAAGTTTTCTATTAAAAATCGAATACATTTATATACACAACAAATAACCGGGTATAAGCTTACATTTTTGTCTGTTTTTCTGTACGTCTTTTTGTCTGTATATCTGGTGTATGTCACGCTATAAATTCAGAACGTATTTTGACTAAATGGTATGTACTTAGTGATAACTTATTGAGGAACAACATTAACGAAACCAAACCAAACCACTTTATTTTTAACATTAAAGGAAAATCTTTCGCATACACAATAACTGGTTCGGCGAAATTATCGTTCATACAAAAATTTTCATAAAAAATGATTTATTTCACAAAACTATTAATAGTAGCGTTAAAAGTTAACATGTTTAACACTTTGTTTATTTCAGAATACTCTAAATTAGTAAGATTTCAGTAAAGAATCAAATACATTGTTATAATAAAACAACTAACCTCAGGCGGTATAAGCTTACAAAAAGCGGAAGCGTATGTGACAATAGCTCGTAACGAGTGCGGCGGAGGGGAGGTGCAGCGCGCCACGCGCTGCACGAGCGCCGCGCCGGCCGCCGCGCCCGCGCCGCACACGCACGCCGCGCACAACAGCGACAGCGCCCGCGGCGCCGACGACGAGCCTGGCAGGCGCACCAGCGCTGATATTAACCTGAAATAAGTATATTATTCAGAAAAGTCGCTTCAAAATTATACACAGATCAAAATATTTTGAAAACAATATCTTAACATTTTTACGGTGCACGATTGAGTGTTTAGATACTAGTATAGGTACCGAGCGTCGTAAAGAGCGTAAGGGCCAAATGACTGTAAAAGCGAGAGATGTGTTGAAAAAATTTAAAGGTGCTATCACAGTACCGAGTATGTAGTTTTCCTCCGCATTCGTTTCTGCGTGAAGAAGTATCAAAAATACATATGTCCAAGAGCTAGTGAACCCTGGGAGTAACGGTCTCCCTGTAAGGTTAGAAATTTGTCTATTTACGATTTATGGCATGCTAAGAGCAATAGCCATGACCTGGCAGGCGTCAGCCCTGCACGTCATCAGCCCCTTTATTTTTTGAACTGTTTAGTAAATTGAGTTTTAAAACTTGTTTCTGTAAATTTGAAAACTTAATAGGATAAAGTTTATTTATTGTACATCTTAAAAAAAATTGACAGGCGATTAAGGCGATAGGCCACAAAGCTTACCATAAAGCGGCTACTAGCGAGGCGGTCGCGCACAGCGGCGGGCGCGAAGCGGGCGGGAGCAGCGCCGCGGCGGTAAGCAGTAACACCGCGCCCGCTAGCACTGAGACCACGGCCAGCGCGTGCGCCCTCGCGCGTCTCCTAAGCGTCACCCGCCACTCCACCACCGCCTGCTCGGCCCCCAGCCGCTGCCTCGTCGACTCCGAGCTCTGGACTGATAGCAGCTCCCACATACCAGATTCGAATATTGTAGATTGCTAAAACAATATTATTTTAACTTATAGTTCTATTTTAACATATTATTCTATATGCATTATGCGCCCTTATTCATTCTGCTTTTCAGAATTGTAAATCTTATTCGTTGGCAAAAGGAAAACCTATTATAGTTTCGAGACGTCATACCCACGCGTAGGTCCGTGGGTATGCCTGGCCACAACCATTTTATTGAAGTGAAACTTCTTTAGAATCGTTGTGATATGAAACTCGATGAAACGGAAATGCAACACTAAAAAGACACAAACACAGAAATATATAGGATTAAGCCGGCGAGAGAATGAGATAGAATACGAGTACATTGCCATGTTGCCATGGTAACCGCTGTTATTTGAGATAGAATGCATTACACAAGAAGTGAAAAATAATAAAACTAATTACTGAATAATATGTAATGTATATTTATGTCAAATAAAATGTAAAATAACCTTTAGGCTTGTTAAAAATATTAAAAAAAAACTTTATAATTATCCTACTTCTAATTCTCTCTCTATATTCATCTTATTCTCTCGTAGGTTCCTTTCTGAAGTTTCGCTTCTAACATGTGTGCAAACACACACGTACTTCTTTAAAATTGTATATTATTATACAGCTAAAACTCAGAAAGTAGAACTGTAGATCATATGAATTTCAAGTCATTGTTGTAGATATATTCTGCGTGAAAAAATTATACTCTAATCTCATAAATCAATGCAAAAAAAAATGATTGTAATGTATTGACAATAAACTATTTTATTACTAGTTTACTGGCACACTCTTTTCGATTTAATTTACATAAATTGCCTTGTCATGTATGTGAAACAATCTAGATAAGTTTATTGCTTACATTATTATTTATTATTAAGTTCATAGCATGAGGAACAGGATGCGTATGGTCGTTGCCTGCCGTGTTTAACGTAGCAAATATATAGATATCCAATCATTTAGAAATTACACATTTATGTTTTGTAATAAACAATATAAAATTAGAATACAATGATTATATTTCCGGATTTTATAAATGAACTAAAAAAATCGAATACTTAAGTTTTACATATTAGTATAATACTCTTACATTGCAGTTTTTGTATTTTTTCTCAAAAATGAGATATTTTCCCGCGATAAAAAGTATTCTATATGTTGACCCGGATAACCAGCTATCACCATACCAAATTTCATCAAAATCCCTCCAGTGGTTTTTCTGTGATGCGGTAACATACAGACAGACAGACAAAAATTCTAAAAATTATATATTCGGCCTCTGTATCGATAATAATGTTTATTTTAATAAGATTTTCCAAAAAATATCTAATGTACAGATTTGGCTTAGTTACAATTTTATTATATGTATAGATAAACATATAATACCTCTAAATCAGTTAACTTCAAGTCCAATTCATCAGTAGAATGCGATCGTGAGCCAAATTTGAAGACGGCCTCATGTTTGTCCTGGGGCCAATCATACAGGTCTAGAGTCAAGGGGGCAGTAAGATCGAACCGAACAACCCAGGAGACGCGTCCGTCACTGCTGAGCCTGGCTCGCAGGCCTGTGTCTCCGCCAGAGGAGCCGACGGTAGCCGCGCTCAGTACCCATACGTCGGGCAGCCACAGCCGCTCCGAAGGCACCAGCACGTTGTCACAACCCCAACTGCTCACGTTCCAGGACAAGCGCTTGTCCTCCCACTTCTGGAATTGGAGTCGAAAGTAATTAAAACTTGGTGTATCTTGTCATATGAGAATCATATTAGTATTAAATATATCACCCAAAATTAAACAAATTTTGCCTATACGCATACATCTGATCGATATAGGTAGAATGTAATATATCTAATAAATACCTACATAAATTATATTTATAAATATAATTGGCTTAAAACATTTTAATTTAGTTTTACTGTACACGTTCTTGATAAGCATTAATTTGAAATAATTAACTGAAATAAAAAAATATATCTAGAGTATTTGAATATTTATTTTTAACGAATAGTTTCGTGCGCATGACGTGTTTTATCTTTTTACAATACAATAAAAGATCCAGTAAAAAGTTGACTGAAATAGTCAACTTTACTTTCTTCTAGAAATGTGCAATGTACATATATGTAGCAAGTACCCTTTATTATCCTTCTATAAATTGCACCATTAGCATTAGGTACTTGACATATTTACATAAATAGGTACCTACATAATTCATAATTGTATATAGGTACTATGTACACTTCATACTCAGTTAATTTTTACACTGTCTGTTTCGCTCTTTACTAAATCTTCAAATACACTACGAAAGTTATCTAAAATTGTCTATTTAGATGATCTAGCTGTTTTGAATATTAGAATAATATAAGGCAAGATAAAAACATCAAATTGGTAACATGGAGAGTGATAGCGTGGGGCACAAGAAAATGACATGGAAAATAAGCAAAGCTTGGTTCCTATATAAATACTTAAATAAACTGACCAGGTACAAGGCAGCCAGCAGGCGCACGGCCGAGGCTCTCTCGTCGATGGACGCGTGCTGCACGTCGAGTGCGGCGCTGACGGCCACAGCGGCGGAGTGTCCCACGCCGCGGTCGTACTCCGCCAAAAGCAGGTCCACTTGCGACGATATGTACGTTATGTTGTCGCAGGCGGATGTTGTCCGCACTCCTGCAATTAACGAAACTTTTTATTTTATTTTATTTTATTTTATTTTAATTAGGATCTCCAACAAAAGATACACACAATATACAACATTATATAAAAACAAAAAGCAAATAAGACTCACAATACGTGTGCTCCTTCACTTATAGGAGATCACAACTTGCTCATTAATTTATTTTACGTTATAACTAAGTTTAAACTAAGAAAAAATTAACGTCTAGAAACAAATCTGAAACTATATATAGAGACACAAAAAAAAAGAAACAAATCATATTACAACATATTTAAACATTTCTACTAAAGTTACGATAAGAATTTAGTAAGACTACTTTTGAATTGAAACATATTAGTGAAAAAGATATCTAATTCAACATGTTGTTTAGAAAGCGTATTGTACTGTCGACAGATCCTTGGAATAGCGGCGTGATATCTCAAATTTGTTTTGCACAGTGGAGTAAAAAACAAACTATATGTATTTTTCCGAGGCAAACGAGAGGGTACGTTAAATTTTAGAAGCTGTAGTAATTCACTACAATCAATTTTCGAATGGGTTATTTTATAGAGTGTTATAATATCTGTTATTTTTCTACGACAAACGAGCGAAGTCATCTTGTAATATTTAAGTCTATTGTGATAGTTAGGGAGATTTTTAGCCGTAGTATCACTGTAAGAAAGATGATAGAGGAAACGTTTTTGTACACTTTCTAACCTTTTGGTGTAAAAGTCATAATGTGGGTTCCAGATGATGCTATTGTATTCCAAGATAGGACGGACGAGTGTATTAAATAATTTGATTTTAGTGGACGCCATCTTAAACTCTTTACTATTTCTTAGTACGAATCCCAACATCTTAAAACCCTTGGATACAATATTTAAGATATGGGTATTGTATCGCAAACTAGCATCTAATGTAATTCCAAGGTCCTTAACAGTATCTACCTGGGAAAGCTGATGTGAGTTGATATAGTATTTGTTTGGGTTAGCGATTTTATTGCGAGTGAATTGAATGTAATGGCATTTAGACGTGTTGAGTGACATCTTATTTTCGACGCACCAGCTTATCAGTCTGTTAACATCATCTTGTAGTTTAGTCACATCATCGTTATTTTTAATAGGTTTAATTATTTTTAGGTCGTCTGCGAATAAGTAGAATTTTGAGTGATGAAAGCACTTTGTTATGTCATTAATAAAAACATTGAAGAGTAATGGACCAAGGTGAGAACCTTGCGGTACGCCGGATGGCGCCGAGCAGGTATACGAGCTGTGACCACTAATAACTACTTTGAAGGACCTACTTTGTAGGTATGATTGAAACCAAGACAACAGAGTACCACTAATACCGAATTGTGAGAGTTTTTCCAATAAAATTATGTGATCTACTTTGTCAAATGCTTTACTAAAGTCTGTATAGATTGCGTCGACTGGAACTCTATTGTCAATGTGTTCAGACAGCGTCGAAGTAAAGCTTAACAGATTACTAGTTGTTGATCTTGATTGTAGGAAGCCGTGCTGATGACAAGAAATTTGTTGCTTAAGATCCCGAGATAATCGCTCGTTTATCATTTTTTCGAGAACTTTACCCAGTGTTGGAAGTAGAGAAATTGGTCTGTAATTAGAGACAAGGTTTTTACTGCCGTTTTTATAAATCGGAACTATCAAAGCTTCTTTCCACAAGTCCGGAAAGATCCCGTCCCTTAGAGAGCGATTGAAAATCGCATTTACGGGTGAAGCTAGGGCTTTTGCACATCTTTTTATAAAAATCGGAGGAATTCCATCACTACCAGCGCCCTTTCTTTCATCTAGAGATTTTAATGCATTGTATACTTCTGCAGTATTAAGAGATAAGTTGCAAATGGAACCAAAATTAGGTGTAACGTCTTTGATTTTTGACGAACATTTTGTAACCTGATTAGCGTCATGATAGACCTGCGCAAAGTTTTTTGCACACAAATTACAAATATCGGTACCAGTTGATGCTACTGTATCGTCGAGTTGCACTTGGGAAGGATATGCCCAATTACCCTTTCTTTTCATTTTCATTAAGGACCAGAACAGTTTAGGGTTTTTAAAGATCGAGTATTCAAGCATTTTAATATATGTATTATAACATACAGTAGATATCTTACGACAATCGTATCGAAGTTTTTCGAATAGAACTATATCTAAGGGATTGTTAAACTTTTTAATTTTTTTATGAAGTTTAAATTTGTCTTTTAGGAGTCGAATAAGACAATGAGAGTACCAGGGAGGGTATATATTGTTGCCGTTATTCTTCATCAAAGGAACACATTCTTTTATGATATCTCTTATTAATTTGTAAAAACGGTCTAACATATGGTTAATTGATAAACAGTCTTTAAATTCCTGGTCCCAATTAATTAAATTAATTAACTTTACGATATTTTCGTAGTCAGCTCTGAAAAAGTCACGTCTAGTAGAGATTTTAGTTTATAGGTGGTAAGGTACTTTTAAGTGTGAACAAAATTCTAGAGCAGGATGTAAAGGATCTTCTATGATTAACGGTGTGGTACACCGCATTAGATTCTGAACAGGAATATTACTAATAATCAGATCGAGCACTTTACCTTTACTATTTAGTATATCATTATATTGGATAAAGTCATTTATAAAAATAAATTCTAGTAAAGTCGCACTTACTTCAGAATGGTTTGATATGGTTTCTGTATTGGTGTCAGTCGACCATTTTATGTTGTTCAAGTTAAAGTCTCCAATTATGATTGTGTGTTTGTTCGATTCAGCAGCTTTTTGAGAAAATTTAATAAACGACTCTAATAGATCAGTATTAAGCGGAGGTGGCAGATAAACTGCACCAATGTTTAGTTGCTCAGTTGTTCCTTCGGAGTTGTTGACATTAATACTCACCCAGAGATCCTCGCAGGTACCTTCGTAATGTGGCAGTCTTATTGGTTTTAAATGTTTTAATATGGCAATAAGTACCCCGCCTCCCCTTGTACGTGTTTTATAGCGACTAGTTTCGCGATCCCGTCTGAAAACTATATATCTATCATCGAACAGTTCAGAATTATAAATGTCACCACTAAGCCAAGTTTCTGTAAGTACAATAATATCGTAGTTTTCCAGAGATATATTAAAGAATAAATCAACAGTTTTAGTTCTTAATCCGCGTACATTCTGGTAATAAAATTTAAGATTATTGAATTTTTAGAAATAATACAATAATAACAAGCAATATATACAAGACAACAAAAAATTACTTAACAGATTTCAGCATATCTGTACTGTTAATGACCAAGCTCTGCGTAGTGTCGTCCTTTCTCATAAAAACCCTGCCGTTACGTATCCAAACGTATTTAAACCCTAACTCTTTGGCACGTACCCTTGTGGCTGCATGTATTGCTTTATTAGCAGCGGAGAGATGTTCCGTTACGTATATTGGCTGCGGCTTATCTGTTGCAATACCAAGATGGCTCGAGTTCAGTTTATTGTTTGTATTTGCTCTGTTGAATTTCATTACCGCGGCTAGGCAACTATCTCGAAGACGAGGAGTATTGAATTTAACAATGATCGAACGCGGCCGTTTGCTTGCTGCATCTAACTTTGCTATTCTTGAACAGTACACGACATCACCATCATTAATTTCATGGTTTGTAATTCTCCCTAATTGTGTAATTAAGCTAATTAAGTTTTCAGAGCGGTTTTCCGGTACATTTTGCAATTCAATGTTACAGGATCTTGAGGTTTGCTCCATAATATTTAAACGTTTTGTTAGATCTTCAATTGAAGTCTGCATACTGCTATTTACTTTTTCGAGTTCTTGTATTTTTACTGATTTTTCTAATAAAGACGACTTCATAGTTTCGAATTGATCATTGAAAAATGAGAGAGATTGCTGAAAGCTAGATAATAAATCATTCATTCCTTTAAGTTGATCAGCTAAGGCTTCATGAACAGCATTTTTTATTTCATGTCTGATTAATTCCTTTAAGTCGGCTCTAGATATCTCAAAAATATTTTCGTCACTCGATAAAGCTTGAGTACTATTAGTACAGCGTTTGTTACGCAGTGTTACGTTGGTGCAAGACGGAGAGCTCGTATTGTGAGAGAGTGTAATGTCCGATTGAGGCGGACGTAAAGGAGTATTAGTATTTTTATAATAAGACCAAATATTATTTATGCCAAAGGATGTGTCCTATTGTGTACGACACATCTTTTGGCTTTAATAGAGATTTTACGCATTAATAGAGTAAATGATCTACATGGCTTTTTTGGTAGCAGTAGTTTATAGTCAAGTCACATTTTTTATTGTTGGAAAATGCATTTACATATATACACATATATATATATATATATATATATATACCATATATATATATATATATATATATATATATATATATACCAATATATATATATATATATATTGGTGGTTTTATGGAGACTCATCTGTTAAAAAATCCAGTACTACCCACTAAAACACAACGGAATCTCCTCCGTCTATTTGGGGCGTCATAGGGTCGCTTACGCACTTACCTAAGACGCCCCGATAGTTGACCTGCTTAGGCAGACCACCGTTATCATAAGGTTGTTTCCACGGTCCACTTTGCTAATAGAGAAGCATCAGAAGCATGGTACACCGCCCACCGAGGTGGACCGTCTCCCAAATGCGTTCCTTGGCTTCACGCCCGGCTAGATTGCCGGATGCTTATAAGTGGGAGGCTCCTTGGACAACGTGAGCATACATCTGGAGGTATAGGTGATTTTTTTCCAATTGGTTCCATTGGGGTATTAATTCTTACAAATATCCTTTGAAATTAACTCATTTTAATAAGAAAAGTTCATAAATAAGCTACTGCTAAAAATTGTTGTGTTAAGAACTTTGCGAATAAAAATGTAACGATCTATAATCTTGACAGCACTCATAAATTAATATTTTCATTGCTAGTCCTAAAACACGGTTGCTAAAACCGCCACCACCACCAAACTAGTGGATCCACGACGACGCCTCATTTTATTTAACTGTTATCACAAATTGATATATAAATGGAAGTAATTTGGTCACTAGATTATGAAGCCACTTCACTAGAGACAAAGTACATCGTTTACCGAGCAGCAGCGGCAGGGCAGCGAGGAGCGCGAGTGCGGGGACCGGGCGCGGCGCCATCCTGCGCAGACTGCCTCGTCGCGGCGCTCGTGCGGCCTGCGGGCCCGACGGTCACAGTTGTCCGCAACCTTTTACTGTTCTCATCTCATTTATTTTTTGTTAAGGGCTATTTATATATAATTTATTTATATATAATTGTAAGTAGTATTATTCTTTTAAAATATATTTTTATTTCTTTGTATTAAAAAAATTAATGAAACTAGATTTATGCCACCAATTTATTACTAGCAGTTCTGCGAACAGTACACCTCGCGAGCATAAACTTTTTTGCAACAATTAATATTGAGAAGCTATTCTGCTCATCACGCCGAATATCATTACTAGATATTCACCAATTTTTTATGAGGCCAACCTAAAATTACCTTTCAAATAAAAAAGAACCATAGAAATCGGATCTCATATAGGGGTGATATCCATCCAGTAGCCCACTTTTTGCCCGGATGACACAAAAAAATCTATAAAGCCGTAAAATCTGTATACCAACATTCGTCCCGATCGATTGTAAAATACGAAGAGGAGTACCAACAAACTGACAGAGGAAAGCAAATTTTGTCAGACTTGACACACAGCAAAGCGCTTAGCTCGCTCGGTCAATTAATGTAAATCTTAAAGGGCAGATTTCCCCTCTTACGCTATAGATAAATAGAGATTCCTCATTTCCTTATGTATACAATTCACTTCTTATATCCATAATATGGTCTATGACTCTATATGTACAAAAATAAACCTCCTGGGAAAAATCTACATGGTATCATGTGTTTCTTTACAGACCGTAGTCAGTATGTAAAAGAAACAGAATAATATCCTTGAATGTCTCGTTCGATTTATGATTTATTATTCAAACATTTTTATAAGAGTAATTACTACCTTTAGCTTCATCAGCATGTGTGTAATATCTTCCCCCACCGTTAATACTCGCATTAAATGGAAGAGCCTAGAAAGTATATTAAAATATATTTGAGCAATTAAAATAAACGAAATTAATATTTAACGATTATGTTTCACTCAGATAGTTTGCCTAAACGCTAATGTACGGCTACAAGACAGATTTAAACATTGGTCTTTTGCTCCTCCCTAAACGATGAACTATTTCACGAAAACCAGTTTGTATTCAGCCAGTATTAACGTCCCACTGCTGGGCACGTGTCTACTTTCAATGAGATGTGGTTTAGGCTATAGTCGACCACGCAGGCCAGATGCAGATTAGCAGACTTCACATCTCTGAAAGCTATAGGTTCTCTCAGATATACCGAATTCCTTACGATATTTTCATTATATTACATCATTTAATCTTGTTGAAAATGAGAAATAATTTAAGTAGCTCTGATTACATTTTTCTGGTTATTAAATAATGAGTTTAGTAAAGCTGTTACATACAGTTCAGCAATCGACAGCGCGTGGGCGCGCTATCGCGTCCGGCGCCGCAAGGACAGCTCAGTTCCCTAGGTATTTTTATATTGTATAGCTATTATTATTCTTTGTTACAACGGGTAATTCCTAAAAATGTCCTGATATTTAGATTGTTGGAAAACACCAATGTTTTATTAAGCTCTTGTTAGCGGCAACACAATACAGCTGAAAACAGCTTGTTAATTAACAAGAGTGCAACAACTTTGTTTTGCTTGTTCTGGGAAAATATAAAATATAGAATTGAATATCTTAAGTAAAAAGGAAGGAGGAACCGATCTCTTAGCAAAAATCGCCTTGTGATTGTCGAACTTTGTAATATGAATTAAGATAAAAATATTTGTTTACTGAACTGCCTTATTATCAAAAATCAGCTTTGGTCCATTAAATGCAAAACTTTCAAAAACTTAGCATTCAATTGTAATACCTATTCCAAATTAATATTCTATCTACAAATAATTTTTGCTCTACAATTTCAACCATTGAGGAGTTTCGAAGGGTGCAAAAAAAAGGATTCCATTATTTGTAAGGAACTTTATTGTGATGTAAAAATGTTTTATTTAACAATATTATATATTTTCAACAAAGTGATGAGACAACAAAAACAAACAAATAACTGTTAAACTTCTTATATGAATATGATAACTCTGTAGTTGCATGCCTACCTACATATTAGATAATACAAAATATATATCGATTATGAATTCAATACATTTATGACACATTGGTTTGTATATACTGAACTGTATCTGAAGAAAAATATAAATAAAACGGATTGAAGCATCTTCCAAAAAATAATTAGATATTTTAATTTATTAGGTATTTATAAAAAAACTTATCTAGCGCAGTTACCCCTAAAAATTATGAATTCTTATTAATTTGTTAAATAATCTCTTTCTTGCGAGGCTTAACCTAAAAAAGCGAAGTTACAGTATGAATTAAAAAGTATTACCTATTATGGTATGCTCTTTGAACCTGTAATTAATTCTTTGAACTTGTACCTATTTACCACATTTCCATACCGTATATTGAGAAATATAAACGGTCTTTTGTGTCAAATGGAAGTTTATTTAGAAAAAAAACTAAGAAAATAAAAGGACTGATATTACAATAGTAAAGTCGTCCTGACTAATTTCGACAATGACGGCCAATCTCACTGAGACTTGCCATGTGCACAAGAGATATACATATAATATAGTGCACAAGTATATACACTATTCCTAACATTCTCATACGGTGTGTCGACATTTTAAGAGGTTAGGCGCAGGACCGACGACCTTACTTGTTCTCTTGTTACTAAGAATAGCTTAACAGAAAAACTCAATAACTAGGCCCGAACTGGGACTCGGGCTCGGTCCTGGTCTCCGGATCTGCAGCTGTATATGCTAACCATTGGACTACCGAGGCAGTGATATTAATATGGCTGACATGGTCACCTAAATTTATCTTATCGAAACTTTCTATTTTATCTATAGTTTTTGTTATTACAATTTTAATAGGTTTTCCAACAATTATTGTACCTATAGTAAAAAAATAATGGATATAAAAATCGATTTTTAAGCACAAGTTTAACAGTTTCTTTGAAATTATCGAGGAAACACCATCATATATTATTATTTACCTAGTTTACTGAATAATTACGAAAACTTACCTTTAGGTAATTACGAAAAAACAAATCTATGTATGTAAATATATTATATAAATGTATGTATATTAATTGCTTCTTGCTAGAATGAAATAAATGAATTTAAAAGTACAATAGATACAAAGATAGGGGAATAAAAAACACAATATTTTCTTTATTTATATAACTGAAACTTACAGCTATTTTATAAACACAACAACTTATTATCAACAATCTTATACACTTACATACTTTACGCAAATAAACCTTAAACATCGAGATAGAAATGAACTCAGTGTCTAGTCACTAGTGTCGGGGCACAAGAACAAGAAACTAAAAACATCTACACAATCTGCGTAGATACTAATACATAGTAGTGCATATATATATATATATATATATATATATATATATATATACATATATTCGAAGTTTTGACTTATGCAACTTAGAACGTCATCCTATATATTTATTTTTCTTTAAGTGATAGTGATATTATTATTTAGAATGTCAATTTTTCTACACTCTATTACACACGTATGTAGCCTACGTTTTGAACCTGGAAGCCAATAATTCTAATCAAAGGGAAGTAAACTAAACAAAAGAAAATAGTATTATGCAGTCGGAGACGTACGATGTCGAACTTACATACACTTAGTAAAACTCGCAGTAAGGAGTCAACATGTACCTACTTACTTTGCCTCTGACCGCATATTATTAAGTAGGTACATCTTTTCATTTTTTATGTTATCTTTAAATATATAAAACTTCAATGTTTAATAATAGCCATATAAGTTTTATATATTTTCGTTATGACCTTTTAAAAACCTTTTTGTGATACCCCACTTGGTTCGGGAGAAAAAAAATTTTACACACACACAGATTGGGGTCTGAACACCATTTTATTTTTTAACAATATTCATATAGCCTTATAACACTCACGTTATCAAGGCGAACCTAACGACGTACAAATCATCAAAATCGATTAAGCCGTTTAGTTATTACGAGGGAACATAGGATCGGACATAGATACTTACACACAGATTAAAACATATAACCCTTCTTTGGGCTTCGCCGCAGTCGGGTAGACATAAAACAAAACAAGTTGTAGATTGTAAGAATAATAAATGCAGGTTACGTTAACGAAGCTTGAGGACAGACTTGCGCCATCTTATAATGTTCAACAATACTAAATATTTGGGGTTGATTTTTCGTCAAATAAAAGTTATTTAACTAAGTACTTATTGTTGTTTATCCGGATTGAATAAAAATGAAGCACTTGAACTTTTTCATTTTTTTCATGATAAACTTAAAATATCATCTTCAGGTAAAAGTTATTTATATAAAAATAAATATTGCAATATAAATAACTTTTATCTGAAGATCGGAAAATCAGCTCTAACTCTGTATAATATGTAGATCAATATCTCATAATATGTAGATTGTAGATCTTACAGTAATTAGATTTATGTATTTTAAAGTAACAACAAGTCGATTCATAAGTAAACATGCCGTATGCATATTTTCCTTAGCGAAGCTGATGAAGCTCGAATATAATGTCGAGTTCACTGGTGTCTAGTTGGGTGCTACGTGGTGGGCGGCGGGTGCGGGGGCAGCAGCGGGGGGCGGCGCGCGCGGCGCGAGGTAGTGCCAGTAGGGCGGGGCGTCGGGCGCCTGCGCCTGGCAGGCCGCCGCCAGACCCGCCCAGCTGAAGCGGTACGCGTAGCGCTTACCGTGTACCTAATGGTCACACAAATGTCTGTAATACTCTTTATACACTTCACTTAATATCACTCTTCAAGGGCTCACAATTTCGGCCTAATATTTGACCGCATACCCTATGCACGATAGATGGGTACAGTACTCTGCTTTTCCCAATACAAAAGCTAGGCCTAGAGTACTTATCTCAAAAGACAATCTAATACTGATGACATATACTCGTACAAATAATTTTCTTAGAATTTAGTGAAGTCATGAGCGCTGCTTTAATATTGGACTCTACAAGAGTCCGAATTAAAGGCCGATATCGCGTTCGCAAATCTTCTTATGTTGCAGATGTCTATGAGCGACGATATCCACTTACCTTCAGGCGGATCGTCTGTTCGTTTGCTCCTCTTAACTATAAAAAAAACAAAGTATATGCCATACCTTAGTCATTATATTTTTATCGTAGTAATATCTAAGCGCGCGCGATAGTTTGTCGTAGTTCATGTTGGGTTTCTGCTTCCGCCGGCCCCAGCGCCGCGCCACCTCGTCGGGGTCGGAGAGGCGGAACTCGCCATCGCCGGGAGCACCCTAACAATATAGTGATCATTAAAATCTGTGGTATTCACTCAGGCTAAGGAATGTTATGGACAGAGTGTCATTGAACTAAAAAATAATGTTTTAACATTTTAAATAAAACTATCTTTTCGGATTATTTCGCGGATTTATTTTGATTTTTGGTTCCCCACGTTTCGAATGCTTTACGGCAATCATGGTCACGGGAGAGACTAAGATCATAGACGTCTCAAAGGCGTTATATACACTTGTTACAGACAGTGCCTACCCACTATTTTACAAAAATGATTTCAAAAAATACAAAAATGGCGCTAAAGTAGTACCTTACAATATTTGTTGATTTTTATTTCTAAACATTTAATTTTCTTTAATAAGTATTATAATTAAATATAGCAATATTATTCATTCAATTTTAGCTTTTATTATTATAAATATAACAATTTAAAAAAACTTTATTAGTTACTTACTTAGTCTCTCCCGTGCATCGTTAGCATTCGAAACGTCGGGAACCAAAAATCATATTAAATCCGCGAAATAATCCGAAAAGATAGTTTTATTTAAAATATCAAATATTCGCGTAAATCTAATAATGTTTTAAAATAATATACAAATATTACCTAATAGAATACTCATTACTGTGATAAATATATAGTGTTTTTTTTTTAAATACAACCTCTAGGTACCTATATAAAATTTTCCTTATTCTGTAAAGAAAGTACACAATCTACATGAAAAACGCATTATTCGGACTGTTGTGAACATTTTATAAACAAATAAGCCAATTTGGGTCTGCTGCTCTCAAGTGCTTATCAATGAACAACATTTCATTTTCATTATCGGTAACTATACCTAAATACTACCTAATGGGAGAGATAACAGAGATGACAGGTTCCATTTTTTTCCGAAAAGTAGTTATCATAGAAAACAGCTCACCTCCCAACAAATGCCCGGCGCTCCCGCCGACAGCTCCTCCAGCAGGAACTGCCACAGTTGGACCTGGCCGCTGCCGCGTGCGCACGCGCTTAGGGATGCATAAGGTTCTGCGAAAAAATGCGAAATTAATAATGGAAAAATATATTTATTAAATTTTTCCATTTTAAATGAAAGCTGGTAGCCCGTAGGTCCCTCACGGACTGACTACACTGACGTCGTTTAAATTGACGATTCAAAAGTACTTTTAATAAGTCTATTTGAATAAAATTTCATTTCATTTCAAAGAGTTTACACTATTAACAAATAGACAGATAGGTACCTACTAGTGTACTGATTGCATAAGTTGTCATATATATTAATTAATTAATTCCAGATATTGAAAACTTTAAAGAGAAGTTAAGCTCCTGGCTTTAGGGGTCGAGTTCAGCTCAGTAGCAACGCTCGCTCTCTCTCGCCATACTTCAGGAAAGCGGACTTGTGTTGTATTCTCTGAAGCCGTGTCTGCAGAAGTAGGTTTAGACTGGCCCCACTTGGCCCATAATGTCCTTCAAACGCTTCGTCGTCACGTATTTAGTTAAATTTGCTGATCTCTTCAACATTTTATTTTTTATGACATTTTTAATTTTTTTTATTAAGCTATTTTGTTTAGAGTCTTTAAAATCTCCTTGCAATAGCGTTACTTTAGCTCGTTCTCGACCACTCTACATTTTTCACTATCATTGAAAATTTCTTAATGGAAATTGTAAGGTGTCTATTGAGATTAAAATTTTCTTGAAATATATTTTTTTTTAGTGTTAAAAGTTGAGAATTGGACGCTTTCATGCAATTTAAGACATGACGAATTCTAAAATGTATCTTACTAATATTCTAAATGATCTCTACCTCTTACCTACAATATGATTCTATTGTCCCATTTGTGCGGCTAAGAATAACAGTACAGAAATTCACAGTAGTAATTCATAATTAGAAAATTGGTTATTCTGTTATTCAGCGCTCCGAAGAACACGCATAGTTTAATCGAATAATTGTTATTAAAAAACTTTCTTCTTACAAATTACCTGCTTATTACTACACTAAAAATGGTAAAATAAAAACTTTTTAACAAAAAATAAAAACTGACTTCCAGGCACTAAAATATATAGAAATAAAATATATATAGAAATATATAGAATGTAAAAAATAACTAAACGGAGGTTTTCATTTAGAATAGATACCTAATCAGATATTTTCGAAGTCGGTGCCAGCCGACAATATTTTAAGATATGAATATCTAATAGGTAAATATTATGTATTTTACGTATCGAAATATATTAGATTTGCTTTGTATCGGCTGGCACCGACTTCGAAAATATCTTATTAGGTATCTATTCTAAATGAAAACCCCCGTTTAGTTATTTTTTATATTTTAGTGCCTGGAAGTCGGTTTTTATTTTTTGTTAAAATGTTTTTATTTTTTAATAAAATGAACTTGTATTTTTTAACTACTTTCAAAAAGGAGGAGGCCTATGTTCGTTTGTATGTATCTCCTTTTTTTAATTCCATCCCATACTAAATTCCAAAGAAATCTAGATACTTTGTAGATCAAATTCAGTTTATCGTAGATACTAACTCGTTAATTTAATATTATTAATAATAGATATTTAGCGAACAACGTCTGCAATGTTTTTTAAAAAATATTAGGAAATTCAGTGACCCTCCCTCGCATTGATGGAAGGCCCATGCCCAGCTGTGGAACGAATACATACAAAAGTTACCACTTAGATAAAATTTTAGGACAAAATAAGAAGGTACATCACAGGCCGGCATCGCACTTTTCTTTTCGAAGAGGATTTATTCACAGAATATTAATTAACTTTGAATCTACGCAAAAAAGTTAGGGGAACAGTTATTTTTTTTTACTTCATATATTTTTTATTTTTTTTATAGAGATTTATCGTGATTCGGCACCCCGTAAAACAATGTACTTTAAATAAAGCTAAACTACTTCAAGCGATGATGACTCACCATGATACAACTGTTGGAAGCGTCGGTGCTCGGTCGCCAGCCACAACATTACTGTGCTTCAATTTACCACATCTTTTTTACAATGTAAAATATGTACGATAAAACGATATTATTACATTTTAGATTTAAATCTTTAAAATACAATTTAAAAACATGTAATAGGTACTTGTACTTCAATTCGATTATAATTGCCACTTTTTTGCTTTTGATTTTCGCGATAACCTATATTTATTTACTTATTTTCCAACTTCCTACAAAGAACATTATATAAAATATGTTTTTCCGGCAGCGAAGTAACAAGCCGGTGCGTCCGGATGCGGGACCGGAAGCCGGCAAGTGGCGGAAGCGGCTGAAGTTCGCCCCTTCTCGCCCAATCCCACCCCCTGGGATTAAACGTAAGACGTTTACAATCATACACCCCCTGGTGTCCTACAGGCCATATGAGTTAACATAAATATTAATTTCATTGATATATTTAATTTTCGTTTAGTAGTTTAAAACAACAAAATATAGAGCGTTTTAAATAAACGAAGTTTGTTTTCATTCAGCATAGTTGACTTTCAGCGAGTGATGTTAAAAATTAAGAATAGGTATTTTTTTTTCAGGTACAGAGGACACCTAGATTATAAATTAATATATGAAATAAATATAAGAGGAAGTAAATTCTTAAAACATATAAAAAATTGCTTATAATATTCCTTTTGTTATAATGTTTCATCAGGGCTTAAAAAGGTCAAGCTACAAAAAACTTAAGTCAACTTCTAAGACAGACAATTACCTACAGCGTTGTCAAAACTTTTGATTTTTTTTTCATATATCGTACTATATATAATTTTTAACATTCTAAAGATAAATATTTTAAGTAACTTCTACGAAAAGGGAGAGTGTAAGGGTGAAGTCCTAATACAATGGACGTAGGCTCTGGCTCAGACTCAGCAGGCGCGGCTTAGCGGACCAATGATCTCTATTTTATTACCTCAGCTGTACCCGACACGGCGGGGTGCGGGCTTATTTCCAAACTTATTTTAACTTAATCAATTTTATATGTTATCAATGAGACATTTTACAATTTGTCATTAAACATTACTATAAAAATAGAATGATTAACCAAAAAGGTTAAATAATTGGTCTCTATTAGAGAAATCGGTTGTAGAAAGTTAACTTGTCCCGATGAGTACTAGGTATAAGTTAAAAGCTAGAAAAAAGCTATAGGTACAAATTTTGCAAACCCCTAAAGGTAAGTTCCCTCGGATAAAGTCGAAATCTCCTAAAAGATTGATCTTTAAACTATAAAATGTCTATATCTATAGTTAACTGTTTTTAAATAATTATTAAATCATATTTTTTTATCACTTACGTCCCTCTCCATCTTACTACCTATCTGTGGAACTCTAAAAAAGGGTTGAGAGATATAGACAATACAATATTAAATAGACGTGATGAAAAGGCAACTATTTAAAATCACCGAAATATTTCCCGAAAACAAAAACAGATAATATAAGATTAAGTTAATTTAACATTAAGTCAGTGGGATTTATGTGTACGATTTGGAAAGTTTTAATAAACAGAGGTCCCGCTTTGCCGCATGCATAATGCATGGCAGATGTCGACTCCCGACTTCTGCCACGTATCTCCTCATCTAAACGAATGTAATAGCGGGGGATCCCCGATCGTATAACAGATATTCGTAGTGTGATAAGTTTTTCAGAATCATTGTGCTATTTTTTCATTAGGTATTAAGAACTAGGATTTGTGGTGTTTAAATTTTTCAACAAATGTAGTATACTTTTTAACAAATATTATCGCTCGCTACTCGTTTCCCGAGCCCTTACCCTGATATGGGTTTCATTTTCCAACCTCACATCCCTACGTCCAACACAAAAAGACTAATTAGGTTATTCAAATTTTGAGTATTTTTTTAATATTTTTTGTTTCATTAGTTTTTCGACATTACCCATCGTTTATGTTTTTTAAATTAGTATTTTTTATCTGTTAGAAAATTCTTCAATTATTTGCGTCACTTTCGGCCAATTCAATCACAGTGAACTGCGGTAGGTCTTTTTTGTAACGGAGATAAAAATAAACTCAAGCACCTCAATACGAGGAACAAAGTTATAGGCAGCAGGTACTACTTTGTGCGGCTTTAGATAAATTAATCATAAATGCCTGGTTTCATTTCGTAAAAAAAGGTCGTTATAGTAAAAAGACCTATTTTCTAAATTTGATAAGTATAACAATTAATTGAATGCTGTGAAAATATGTTTGAGAACGGATCGAGCCTCATGCTAATGGAGGCGCAATTTGCGGTTATCATAAATTACCCACGCCGCTCGACGCGCGCAGCCGCCGCGACGCTTCTCGGAAACCGCGGGGTCTCGAGTTAGAAGGGATTAGATCGTTTTAATTTAAACTATCTTTTCGGAATTTCTCGGGGTATTACTTTAAGTTTTTGTTTCCGAAATTTCGGAAGGTTCGGTAGGTCTCTGGACAGACTAAGGTAATTGACTTCTCAAAAATTATTATAAAGTTGTAGGTATCATTTACCTTTGTTGGTATACAATAATTTTGTAGAAAATTACATTTAAATACTAAAGGTCGGGAACAAAACATGAATCCACTTCATAATATAAAATGTTCGCGTTAATCTAAGAAAATATTACAAACTAGCAACTCACCCTCGCTTCGCTCGGGTTCGTCTCTACCTTGCTTCTCAATATAAACTTTTATCCCCATTTTCACCCCCTTAAGGGATGATTTCCGGGATAAAAAGTATTCTATGTCCTTCCCAGGGTCTCAATCTATTTTCTTACTAAATTTTATCTAAATCGGTTCTGTAGATCCAGAGATTACCCCTTACAACGTCACAAACTCACAACCTCACATACTTACAAAATCACAAACTTTACCTCTTTATAATATTAGTATAGAATATAGGTATTAGATAAGTAGGCAAGTTAATTGCAACACTTTATCAGCATTATTAGTCTTCATAGGAACATTCTTTAATCTTATATAGATAGGGATATCGAAAGTCTTGAATTCTGCATAATCGATTCCTCGATTTCTGATTTCCTCGTAATCACGTGATGACTTCACGTTGTACCAGAAGAATTAATTAGCCTAATTAAGTAATCAATGTCGTAATTAATTTTGCCAAAATATAGTTTGAATCATCGTATAAGTAAATGTTTATTATGTTGTAACTATCTCAAGTGTCATCAACAATTATTCTGATCGATCGTGCAAGCAAAAGTGTATTATCAATATCTATAAATACTATCAGCTATTATATGAAAGTTTAACTTCGACTTCTTAAGTTTATTACGTATTAGGTTATTTACGTAGGTGAAGATTTTTTATATAGGTACCTAATATGTTTATAATACTGACATTTTAAATAAAACTATCTTTTCAGATTTTTTCGCCCGTCCGCGACAACTCAAAACTTGCTTGGTTAACGATCTTGGCGCTTCCCCGTAAGTTCTTTTTGAAGATATTTTCACACATGTAAAAATGAGACCATGATTACGATACCTATTCAAGAAAAAAAACGAAAAGAATTTTATATTTATATGTAGGAATATTTACGGTATATTTAAGATACGGGTAATTAAAACTTAAAATATATATTTCTGTAGGAAGCCATACGTCCGTCACTTGTACCACACAGCCTGCAAAAGAAGGCCGCAGGGCGGGGCGGGAGGAGTGCCGTGTCTCGCTCCGCCTATACCACCACTCGAGGCTCTCCAGTTACATAACTCAAGGTCGACTGAACTTAGGATACTAAAAGTAGAAAATGAATATATTTGCGATAGTATATTTACTCGTGCAAACAAATGATGTGGTATTTTTGTTGTAAGGTTTGTATGAATAGAAAATTATGTTATGGTTTTTATTCAGAGTTGTTAGAAATATCTGTTATTATCTACATATATTTTCTTGAACCTATTTTTTATCCGAAAGTTTCAAATTTGGATCGTAGATACTTTTCTACTGATAATTTGTCCTACTGACGAATTTTGACCACGGCGGCCGATCTTACTGAGACTAGCCAAGTGCGCAGGAGATATATGTATAGTGCACAATTGTATACCCATACACAAGTGCACTATCTATTCCTGTTATTTTCAATCTACATTATGCCAACTCGATACGATCGGTGAAAGATCAGACGCGGATCAAAGGCTTCAGGTAGGTACATACACTCCGAGGCACGAAGGTAAAACTTCGCTAACTTCCCATTTAGCTGGCCTAACTTCCCAGCTGTTACTGGGTAGAAATACTCAATAACCCGACCCGGGATTCGAACTCGGGTCACTAGACATCGGGTCATCAAAGCCGTTACCTTTTTAGCAGATACCTTCAGAATACATTTTTTTTCTTATTTTAGATTTTTTGTTCACGATCATCACCAGCCTTCATTTAGTTACATTACACGATACAGTACCTATTCGTAAATCGATGTAAAGCGGTGTACCTACATATGTGTTAATCCAGGATTGGATACTGCGTTTTGAACTTAACTCCTTTTTTTTTTTAACGTTGGGAAATGCATTTACGCACGAGGTGTGGGACTCACCGGCAAAGCCAGTACTACCCACTAAAACCCAACAAAGCCTTCCCCCGTCTTAATGGGGCGTCGCAGGATCGCTTACGCATTCAACTACGACGCTTGAACTTAACTCCTAGAATTATGCGTAAATTACAGCAGCGTTGAAGAAGTAACAAACACACTTACACACTCTCACTCACTCGCGTGTATAATGTTAGCATGAATGCAAAGCTACCTTTAATCTAGGACCCTGACTAAACCCACGTTGTTTGAATAATAGTTGTTATTAAATTTTAATAAAAACAAATTATGAAAAGTAAGAAAGAATCCGGATATTTATTAGATTTTATGTTATTCATGATATACCACAGATAGTTTTTATAATAAAATCAAACTTTAAACGTAAACAACCTTACTCCTACGTAATTCTGCAGCTAATACATCATTTGTTATGTTCAAAAATGTAATGATTGCACCAGAAATAATCCTGAAAAAAA